AAGGGAGAAGGGAAAAGGAAAGCAGCACAATGAGATGAACATGCACCCGACAAGTGGCAGGGAGTCATTTGTTACTGTTTTAATCAATCCAGTATCAAACAACCATTCTCCTGGAATACCTTCAGCGAAGCAAACAGGCAGCAAACACAGGGATGTGACAACACAGCAATCAGCTGTTTGTTGCTTGGATATTCACAAGTCACAGAACTCTTCCACCCTTAGATTCTATTTCATTTGTTATAAGAAATCATTAATAATTGAAAGTCACATGATAAATTATTTAGGGAAGTGCACAGTTTCCAAGGAATCATAGCGTGAGTCTGGATTAACGGCACAACGCAAGTCAGATGCCGAAGTTGAGCTGACACCCCACAATCACCACACAGGGGAGCAGTCCAGGGAGCTGGGCACTTCCCAGCGTGTGCTTTCCACCACAGGGACATAAAGCACCTGAACTATTTATGAACTATTATGAATATTTATGAACTAGAATATTTATGAACTAGAAGTCCTTATTGCCTACTGCGTACTCCAGCCGCTATGAGTTAAACCAGAGCTTCACTTGGCACAATTGATTAGGACATTCATTGTCTATAAGTGATAGGACTCCCCTTGAAGACTACTGATAAACATAAATCTCTGCCATATAACACTTGGTCTTTAACCACAATCACCTGTTCTAATTAGCTGATAATTTACTCTGGGAGACTAGGATAGAAGTGACTGCAGGGATATTACTGTTTGCTGTAAAAATGCTGGTACAATCCTGCTACTTCCTTTATACAAACCAAGTTACCTGATTATTTCGGGTAGCTTTAGATCCATGATGTCCAGGAACAACAGAAAGCTCCTCAAAAACTAAGATAGATTTTTGCAAACTCATATGCAAGTCAAGAATCTGGAAAAGAAAAACCAACCAACCAAGCAGACCAGAAACCCCACAGAAATAAAACCTAAACCACTAAACACCAGCAGACATCCTGCATTCTGAAGGTGTTTTGGTGATTTTCTCTGAATGTACCAGTAAACTAAAAGCTATAGACACTTTATTTACAAAAATTCATCTAAACCATGCCCTAGACATAGTATTGAAAAGCATTCCTTGTCTTTGTCATTAGAGAATGCACTTGAGCAGATCATAGAATCATGGAATGGTTTGGGTTGGAAAGGACCTCAAGCTCATCCAGTTCCAACCCCTTGCCACGGGCAGGAACACCTCACACTAGACCAGGTTTCTCCAAGCCCTGTCCAACCTGGCCTTGAACACTGCCAGGGATGGGGCAGCCACAGCTTCTCTGGGCACCCTGTGCCAGCGCCTCAGCACCCTCACACTGAAGAACTTCTGCCTTAGATCTAACCTGAACTTCCCCTGTTCCAGTTTGAACCCATCACCCCTTGTCCTATCGCTACAGTCCCTGATGAAGAGTCCCTCTCCAGCATCCTTGTAGTCCCCTTCAGACACTGGAAGCTGCTCTGAGGTCTCCACGCAGCTTCTCTTCTCCAGGCTGAACAGCCCCAATGTTCTCAGCTTGTTTTTGTATGGGAGGTGCTCCAGGCCCTGATCATCCTCGTGGCCTACTCTGGACTTGCTCCAAAACAGCTCCATGTCCTTCTTATGTTGAGGACACCAGCACTGCACACAGTGCTGCAAGTGGGGTCTCACAAAAGTGAGATCCTGGAGGCGGCAGTTTTATAAGCCAGTACTGAGCTGACGGTACTTTGCCAGCAAAACAGATGCTGTATTCACACATGGGTGTCCCTTGAATTTCCTATCAAATAAGATCTAATAATCCCCAAAGCACTCATATACGATATGTTAGCACAGAACAGAAGGTAGGCAGTAAACATCAATCACCTCACCTGTGCACACGCTCAGGGACCACCATGGCCTAACCTGCTTTTCTTGCAACCGCTAATGAAGGCATGCAGAGGGAAAATACAAACACTGGAGGGATACAAGAGGGAAGGGAGAACCTGCAGCTGCAATTAGGGAAAGTAAAAGCAAAGAGGGGGCATTCCAGTAGAAGGAATGTGGTCATAACATGCAGTGAAAAAGTAGGGCTTAGGAGAACCAAGGATGCACGTCTACAGGAAACTAGGCATCCATTTTGCCACACACAGAACTGCTTGCTTCCAAACTACAGAACTGGCCCCCATGATATTAGGCTCTAGCAGAGGATTGAGAACCCACAGTATAACTAAACGTTCTGGAACACATATCAACATGAAGATATCAAGGAATAGTTTCTCAAGTAGTGACGAGTTATTCTGCACAGCCTTGCTACATGAACACAGGCAAACTGTTTAATCTCCCTGTTTAATGCCCATTTGATAAACTGGATAAAAAGTGCTTTCAGGTCCCAGAACATTAAAGGTGCTAAATGCATGCAAAGAGCCATTCAGAATGCAGTGTTCAATAGTGGGCATTCATGGGTCTAGACAAGTGACTGAGTAGCATTGTCTATCCTTTGCTAGTAACATTAAATTATACAAATGTAAAGAAGAAAAAAGTGCAACGTTACAGAAGAAAAAGAGGAAAATGAACAAAACCACATAAGAAATAGGTTTTTACCCAGAATAAAGCTACCATTTTTTTCTTCTTAAAAGAGCCAAACCCAGAGCCTCTAAAAATATGTGAAACTCCACTAATGGGCACCTAGTGATGTTCATCCCCATCTGTCAGGCCTAAACTCAGTCCAAAAGGTTAATGTGAAAAAGATTAAAAACCACAGCAAATATCTGCAGGAGCATCCAACACTTATTTGGACTCAAGTTACATATCAGCTAAACCACTTTGCAATGTGAGATAAAGATTTGCCAGAGCTCACTAGAATGGAAAGAGAGCATCAACATTAAGCAGTTCAGTGTTGGTTTTAGTGACTGCACAGTACCTGGCTCAGAACAAGATCTGCAAGCCTCTAACAGGGAAAGTACCACATAACACACAAACCAAGCCATCCTGAGTTAACAGGAATTAAGCAGCTTGCTTTCATACATCTCTTGTGTTTAACTCTTATATTAACTAAGATGATATAAATTCTGACCATAGTCTCTTCCAAAACAGGGGGAAATTGATAATCTTTCTCCTGTGTGGATTGCCCAGTACATGAGAAACTTCTTTCATAGTGAAGAGCCTCCCAGCTTCTGGCCTTTCTCTTTATGAGAGCATCCATTTTGTTCTCTACTCTGCTGTTTTCACATAAATCACAGGAACTTCTAATCTTTGATTCATAGAATCCCAGACTGGTTTGGGTTGGAAGGGACCTTAAAGCTCCTCCAGTTCCAACCCCCTGCAACGGGCAGGGACACCTTCCATTAGAGCAGGTTGCTCCAAGCCCTACCCAACATGGCCCAAATAAACATCTCTCTCTCTCCCCCAGCTGAAGCAGCTCTGTGTATAACACTTTGCTTGTGACGGCCAAGATCCTTGAGGGCTAGCAAAGTACAAAACACACCCCAAAACTGTTTCTAAAATAAGGCAAAAGCTCTGCTGAGCATACATGAAATTAGATGATAACCACTGTCAGTCTGTCCTAATTCATTCAGTAGACATTGCAATCATGGAAAATCGAAAGAGATAGCCCCAAGCAGCTCCCGTACCAATATCTGAGATGTCACTCTTCTTGGGCATTTGTATTCTTATAACTTACTGCTATGCACTTTCACAGCACTTTATAGAAATTTTCAGGAAGCTCTCTGTGGCTGAGTTCAGACTGTATTTCTCTCAAGATGCTCTAGATCATCTCTGAAACAATACAAACAGACTTACTTCTGCAGAGGTCATTTGGGACCTAAACATCTCAATTCCTTTTTATATTTGCCAGAGTGCTTTCAGGTGAGTAAAAAAAATAACCACCTATTCTTTCATTCAATATATATATGCACTTCCCAATTAAAAATGGAACAGAAGCAGTAACCAGGACACTTTCATAAGAGATTATTTTCTGAGTTCAACGTAGTGTTGAGAATGTGATTTCTAGTATATTTTACCACCGTAAGAAACAAGTATTTTTAAATGGAAGAAAGTGTCTACACTCTGTCTAGTTATAGTACGTGAGCTTCCATGTTCACCTGGGCCAGTATTTTTGTCACCTGGTAGCAGTGATACAAAGTTGTGGGAATGCGCTCATCCTCCTGCACTTGAGATGAGGAGTAAGTAACTGCGATACGCAAGTACCCCCTAGTGATGGATAGGATGAACTGCAGCATTGCACTAGCACCTTGGCTTGTTAAATTTTGTTGCAGTAACAAAAAGGGACCGATAAACCAAAAAAGAACATGCCATCTGATACGCACAGAGATAGTAACTACTTAAAGGCAAAGCCCACATTCCTTGGTTTTGAGGCCTGGCAGCTTGTGCTATAGCAGCAGATAGGTGAAGACCTACATTTCACTATACCGTTAGTATTTTGAGTTCTAAGAATGAGAAATTACACAGTATAAAGCTTTAAGCCTTTAACAAACAATTTTGTTACAAAGACAAACAGCAAAGTTGTGAAGCCTCTCATATACCTTTGCCCTGCTTCTTGTCAGGGCGATGATAAACTTTATCACTGTTCTGAGTAAATACAAGGGTCTTTTCTACAGTGTATATATCCTGCATTAGCAACTTGTCCATGGTGTGACACTGGGGTATAGGTAAGCTATATATATTTTGATTGGTTTTGAAATGTGTTACAAAGCTTCAAAGGTGTATATTGCTATGGGGATGAGGGTCTGAGATTTTCCTACCTCCACTCTGCCTTGCACAGGTAATGAAACAGGACTGAAGAGAAAAGCACAGTAAGATAGACATGTCAGATAAACCATTTCAAGCAATGGACTCAGCTGAAATGCTGAGTCTGCAAAAAGCCTGCACCTATCTTATGTCCTCCCTACAGCTTAAAAGTTAAGGCTGCAATGGAATGCCAAACTGAGAGATGAGACACAAAGAGAACATCTACAATGCAAGAAATACGTTCCAACCATTTTTACTCGAAGCATATGAAGGGTTTACTTACAATTCTTCTCCTTGTTTTGCTCTTCTGTCAGAAACCAGATACACACTTCCAAAGCTTCCATTGCCAAGTTTCCTCTGAATAGTGTATCTTCTAGCAATCACAGCGCCTGAGTGAGCAGAATTCAATCTGGCAACACTGACATGCTTAGCAGTTTCTTGAAATTTCAGCATTTCTCTGTGTAACAGAAACCACACAAATTTCTCTAGAACGCAGCTTTCCAACCCTTTTACTCTTCTGTGGATGCTCACAGGAAACACTTGAAACAGTAAAAAAAAAACCTATCTGTCAATGTATCATTCTTATTAAAGTCTTCATTTAATTCTATGGTAGTGCTTACAAATTAAGTGGAGTCATTAGCTGCTAAGCTAGGGGCAGCAGACTTGATAAAGAAACTCTAGGTAATGTAGATGTGATGTTGTCAAGCCATCCTCTCAATCAGCTTTAAAGGAATTCACTGAACTGATAACACAGGAGGAATTAAATGCAGGTGCTTATAAATCAGCTTATTTTAAAGTTTCAAGTGCTGTTTGCAGAGATAACTACACCTGTGTTTCACCTGACAGTTCCCCTAGGAATGGCACTCTTCCTCACCACCACAGTACCTGACACCAAAACCTTCTGTGTTTCAGGATACAAGTTAGTTCACTTGTGTTTCATGACCGTTGTATATACTGAAGCATAATCTCCACTTGTAATATGTCACCCCCATCAGTAACTACAAAGCTCTTTTCCCTGCTCTTCCATTTGCCCCTCAGGTTTCACCCTCTGTTTCAGCGTGACTGACCACTAGAACTGGAGTTTCATGGCTGTCCACATGTCTACAGGATTTCAGTAAAACCCAATTGTGCCAGCTCTTCATTCTCTTTTGCTGCAATAATTCTTTCCTGACCCACCCTTCTAACAATGTCACTTGGATTCAGAACTCTCGTCTAACTGAGGTCCTCATTATGCAAACACAGGGACCACAAAGGCCAACTTCTAGTGTTTCTGTGGCTTCCAGTAACTGAGCATGAGCTCTGAATAACCATTTACTCAACCTTCCTCATTCCAAATGATTAAAGGGTAGGTGTTTTGCTGCACATGATTAAACAACATTGCTTTCATTACTTTGCCTTTATATAATGCTACCTGCATCATTTGTGCTTGGATCCTTTGGAACAAATACAGATGTTGTAAGACCCTACGATCAGTGCAATGAATCCTACCATCAGCACCGGCTGCTGCAGTGCAGTGTGCGCACACTCGGTTCGCTCACCATAGCATTTTAACATCAAAATGCTGCTTCTTGTTGTTTTCAAAGATAAATGACAAACTCATTTTAAAAGCTGTGTAACTACTGTATCCATGTCACCGCCTTCACTTCCTAACACACTCAGAGCCTAACTGAAAGGTACAGATTCGCATCTTACAACAACAGCATGTATGAACATAATTTAATACCCATCTCCTGAGCTGCTGTCACACTGTACCAAGCAGCCTGATGTACGATCACTATGTTATGAAACACAGCCAAATTGTAATTACCGTCTTACCAATGATACAAATCCTGTCTGCTTTGGAAACAAAAGCACTCCTGAGGTTCTGTTTCTGTATTCCCTTCCAGGTCCTAATAGCGTGTCTTGGTTTAAGCCTGTCCTGGAGGGATGGGGAGGAGAATGGAAAGAATGTAACTGCCACGGGTTGAGATAAGAACAGTCCAGTAACTAAGGTATAACACAAACCACTGCTGCTACCACCAATGATAATAATGATAAGGGAAATAACAAGGGAAGAGAATACAACTGCTCACCACCCGCTGACCGATACCCAGCCTGACTGAGCAGTGATCTAGCCCTTCCAGGTAACTGCCCCCAGTTTCTATACTGGGCATGACATGCTGTGGTATGGAATACCTCTTTGGTCAGTTTGGGTCAGGTTTCCTGTCTCTGCTTCCTCCCAGCTTCCCCTCCTCCCTAGCAGAGCATGAGATTCAGAAATTCCTTGGTCAGAGTAAACATTACTGAGCAGCAACTAAAAACATTGGTGTTATCAGCACTGTTCCCAGGCTGAAAGTCAAAACCACAGCACTGCACCTGCTACTGAGAAGGAGAAAAATGACTGCTACTGCTGAACCCAGGACACACGACAAAAGGTTTGAAATGCAAACATCAGCTAGAAAATTACTTCTTCTGTAACACCAAATCTGTCTGAAGAAGCATAAATGGCTGGTGTTGAGGTGTGGGGAAGGCAGGAAGATGAGCTCCATAAAATAGTACACTGCCAGCTCTGGAAAGCTTGCGTATTTTGCATTTACTATTCTCATCTGATAGGAAGTTGCTGGTTTATGGATGGCTCCGTAAATTCCAAACAGAATAGCTTTGAAACATATAACCTTTAGAAATGACAATGCTTACAAACACTGCTGAGCGCTCTGTCCCTTTTTTCTGGAGAAGAGTCACTTAACACTGCTCATCTTCACATTTTGATACTTACTTGGGCCCTACAAATACATCACAATCCTTTACACCACAATATCACACTTGAGATCAAGAACCCCATTGAGACTAATAGTTGTGCTTTACCTCTCACCTGCTACTCTCAATGCTTCAATTTCCCTCTGTATATAACAATTAATAATAACTATCATGGAACTATGTGAAATGCTTTGATATCTACTGCTGAATAGCGTTATATGCCAAGGGCCAGTGGTATTGCAGGCACAGAAGGGACGGATTGCTGAGCCACTGCATTTGAAAGAAATACCCTGTAAGAATCAACACACGTTAGAGCCTGCCTCAAGCATAACACCAGCTGATTCTTTGAGAACATATGAACTGGTGGCCTCTCCTACGTCACTCTAACTTTTAGCCCCAACCTTCCATGTATTTTCTCACTAGTGTCCATCTTATCCCGCTGAGTAGGCATTTCCCAAGCAGCAGTACATCAGAACAAATAGAGATAACTCAAAGGAATCAACCCTCCAGCCCTGTTGTCTTTAAAAATCACAGTATACCCTATCTGGTAACACACTGGTAAACAGTGGATGTTCCTTGTTTTCCCTCCAGGCCCCATTCCAGAGCCTGGCAGCTGCTGACACCAAACTACTGCAATCACATTGTCTGGATCACTTCTTTTTCCTTCTTCCTTGGCTGAAGTCTCCTTTTTTCACTTGTTTGTTCTCAGCTAAGGCAAAGCTGTTGTTCAGGGTTTCATAGCTCCACCTACACACGCTAAGCACACAGCCCCTCCGCTTCTTCCCCCAACCTTCCTTTGCTTATGTAAGTAAGATCCTGGGGTTAATTTCCTCTAGGTTTCTTTAGCAACGGCTAACACGCCTTGCCAGGCAAGGACATTTGCCAGTTCAATCACGTTTTCTTTTAGCTCCTGAAGAACCCCTGTGCTACATCAGCATCTGCTGCCCCTGGCAGTACAAATTCCAGAGGTTTCATATTTATTAATATCTAATATTAAATACTAAATATTTATCAGAGGGTTTATATGTAAAATGCCCTCAGTATTTACTACCTTGATTTCGTCCCTGCCAATGGCTTCATTGCTCCTTTAAACGTTCTGGAAATAAAAAGATGAGGCATTCCTGCTTTTAAACTTTGCTCAAAAAGCCCCTACCATTATCTCCTGAACACTGGGTCCATTGCAACACCTTTATAAACCCAGCCAAGCCTAAAGCAACATCATTTTGGTTGGCTCCCCGTTTTACTGCTCCCAGAGGAAGCATAACTATGAAGATTTTATTGCTCGTGTCGGTAGCAAAGGAGCTTGCAGGTGACGGTAAAACAAGGTCAAATGCGGTCGATTACGGAAGGGGCTAACCAATACCTCCCCGACACACATTCAGGAAGCGAGACCCCCGAGGGCAAGCGCGGAGACGTTACTACCTCGTCCATAGTCGGGGTAAGGTTCACGCTCCTGCGGGCGCACACACACACACACACGCACACACACACAGAGGTATGAGGCGTCCCCGCTCCCCCGCACAGAGGGCCGAGGGCGGCATGACTCCATCCTGCCTCCCTCGCCACCCCTCCGGGGAAGGCGGCTCTCCCCCGCCCCGTCTGCACTCGCCCGCAGGTACGCGCTCTCCGCACCGGTTCCTGCCCCTCAGCGCCAGGGCCGCCTGCCGCCGGGGGCTGCTGCTCCTCGGGGTCCTCCTGCTCGGGGCACAGGAGGGAGCGGCCGCAGCCGGGGCTCCCTGGCGGCCCCGTCGCTAGGAGAAGCGGCGCTCGCAGTGACCGCCAGCAGCAGGAGGAGGAGCTCCGACGGGCGGGCTCCGCCTGTCGCTCCCAGCACGCCCGGCGCGGTGACGGGGCTGCCATGGGCGTGCGGGGCCTGGCGGGGTTCGTGGAGGAGCGCGGGGGGTTCTGCGCCGAGCTGCGGGTGCGGGACACCAGGCTGGTCATCGACGGGAGCAGCCTCTACCACCAGCTCTGCTTCGCCTCCGCCGCCGACCCCCGCCGCGGCGGCGATTACGGCCTCTTCGCGGCGACCGTGCGCGACTTCTTCAGCAGCCTGCGGGCCTGCCGCGTCTCCCCCTTCGTGGTGCTGGACGGCGGCCGCGGCGCCGACGACCGCAAGCTGCCGGCGCTGCAGGAGCGCGCCGCGGAGCGGCTGCGGGCGGCCCACGGGCTCTCCCGCGGCGAGGGCGGGTGCGTGGTGCCGCTGCTGACCCGCGAGGCCTTCCTGCAGGCGCTGCGCCGGCTCGACGTGCCCTTCGTGCAGTGCTTCGCCGAGGCCGACCGGGAGATCGCGGGCCTGGCCAACCGCTGGGGCTGCCCCGTCCTCTCCCTCGACAGCGACTTCTGCGTCTTCGAGCTGGCGGGCGGCTACTGCCCCCTCACGCACTTCCAGTGGCGGAGCGTGTGCGGCGGGACGCGGGGCCGCTACGTGCCCGCTCGCTGCTTCTCGGTGGAGAGGTTCTGCGGACACTTCGGGGCGCTCAGGAGGAGCCTGCTCCCGCTGTTCGCCGTCATGTGCGGGAACGACTACATCGAGCTGGCGGCCCTCGAGGCGTTCCTGAGCGCGGTGAGGTCGCGGCGGGGCGGCAGGAAGCACGCCCGCCTCCGGGGGCTGCTGAGCTGGCTGTCGCAGTTCAGCGAGCCCGCCGAGGCTGTGGACGGCGTGCTGAGGTACGTGAAGAAGCACCAGAGGGAAGAAGTGCGGGACCTGCTGTGCGCCTCCATGCAGGACTATACCCCGTCTGACGTGAAGCTTGAGGACTTCTTTCGGAGCAGCACGTACGAATGCGAGGCCGGCAGGGAAGCGGGCTTGCCGCGGTGGGTGCTCGATGCTTTGGCAAAAGGTAAGCTGGCCCCGTTCATCATCAATGCCCTGGTGCTGAGAAGCACTTTCCTCCGTGTTCAGGTGGAGAACATGCAGAGACCTAGCGCACATAGCACAGCTTTGCCCATTCGACAAGTGATCTATGGACTGCTTCTGAAAGCATCTCAAAATGCTGAAGCTGCTTCTGGAAGCAACGAGCTGCCGGTTTTCTGTGAATTCAGCAGGCTCCAAAAGACACTTAGGAAAACCTTTGTTCAAGCAGCAAGCCTACCCCCAGAGTTTTGTGGTGATAGTTTTTCTTTGGAGAAGTTAGTGGAGGTAAGTGGCTGTCGCAACAGATCAGGGTTAGCAGTGTTTCACCGGTGACAATACACAGCTGGGACTGGAGTTTGCCAGCTGGTTGCTAACTGTGATGCCTGAAGGAAGCCACCTCAGTAAGTAACTCCTTAATACAGAGGGACCTACAGGGCTCTCAGCTTGCCCTTGAAAGGCTACACAGGTTATCTCTCCGCACACATGTACCAAGACAAATGATATGAGAAGTTGGTTGTGTGTAGTGCTGTGTATGTAGTATTGTAGACATTCCTTTCCAGAACCTTACCTCTCACAAAGTATGCGACGTAAGGCACCTTCTAAGAGGCACAACATGAAGTTTTATATATGTGTATTTATTTACAATACCAAAGTAGTTTGGATGCATTGTGGTTACAAGGTGTTCCAACTGAGGCAACTTTTACATAGGAGTTTGAATTGAATCACCCTATTTGAAGAAAGACTGAAACCTCTTGGCACCTGTGAAGTAAAATGCTTTTCTCCTTCACCCAACATTTAACTGTGTCATTTCTAAGGCTTAAATAGTGTTTAAAAATATTTCCTGTTCAGGGGATCTGTGAAACCTAAGTATTTTTTTTTTATCAAAACCATGAACTACTGCCTGGTTTAAAACAAGCTTTTGGAAATTGCTCATGGCAAATCGTCTCTTACCTTTGTTTTTCCACTCCAATTTGTTCTCAGGTGCCCATGTCCCGCCGTCAAATGCTTTTGCTGGAGACTCTGGGAGTGAAAATGAGTTTCCTGAAACCTATCCCCAGTCACTTACAACTTCCTGTTGCTGTAACATGTTACTGGATATGTTGCTCAGAGCCAAAAGTTAAGTTGCATCAGCTAAAGGCTTTACTTCTAATGATAGTATCTGAAGAACTGCACAGGATAACGAATGATACAGGTATGTGTCCAAAGAATACAGTTCAGGTGTTAAGCTACTATGAAAAATCTATCCCACAATTCCATTTTCCTCATTTATGGCAAATCATCTGAATTCAGATGAATTGGCACAAATTTGCACTGCATCCTGAGGTGTCACATTCCTTGCATTGATAGAGCAGAAAAAAGTGCTAGCCATTGATTTAACATTTCATAGAGGTAAAACAGGACTTTGCCATCTTGTAAAACATTGATTTGCATTTACCAATGCTTGCTTTAGGACTAAAAGATTTAGAGAGAAAAGATTTAGATATAAAATATTTAGATATAAAAGAATATGCTTAACATACTCATGCATCAAAAGAGAATACCTGTTGTTGATGCAGTCTGATAGAGTTGTGTTTTTCCTCATGAGTTTTTCTGTTGTCATCTGTACTTACAAATGGGGCTGCACAGACACTCTTTACCTGCTTGTGTACTGCAGGAGTTTGGAAGTTGTAAAGTATGACAAAAATTGTTTCAGTAACATTTATACCTCCAAGAGTCACAGTGGCATTTCCTGTAGGAGTCCTTCATTTGATGGCAAAGATGAGGCATGCCAGAGTTACACGGTTTCTTTAGGTTCCAGTTCATACAAACTGGAACGTCGGGGTTGCCACCTCCTTCCTAAGTGGGTGGGAGCGAGATGGACACCTTGTTTGGAACTGATCCACTGACAGCAAATTACCTAACAAATAAAACTCCTGATTTCACAGTTTTTGAGTGTCTCATGGATATTCATGCTTGAATTTTTACTCAATCTTACGTCTTACAGGTCAGTTTGAGACAGCGGAAAACGTTACTAATGCTTCCTGAAACAGACCTGGGGGTTTGAATACCCTACACATTGCAGATACTTTTTGTACTGTTCACAGCAGAACATTTATTTGCATGTCGTTCTTTATTTATCACCTAGATGCCACAGGTTTATGTGCTGAAGATGATGTTACTGCATATAATGAATTTCTAAAATGGAAGGAAAAGAAACTGGAAGATAAAGACTTTGATTTAGATGCTGGACACAGTTTTTGCCAGTGGCAGTGCTGTCTTCAGATGGGATTGTATCTCAACCAGCTACTTGGCAGTCCTCTCCCTGAGCCAGACCTAAGTAGGTAAGGATGTTTCAGAGGTTGGCTTTCCACACAAGCCCTTGGTGGAATATGTTCACATGTTTCATTTTCTCTATTATAAACCCTCTGGCCAATTTTACTGCATTTGAACTCCCTTGTTTAACAATATTCACATGGAGGAAAATACTGAGTAGAATAGGTATCCCTTAGGAGCGCACTGCTGGATGCTGGATGTAGTTGAGATCTGTTTTCATTAAGCAGCATGTTTTCCTGGACCTGTCCTGCTGAGGCGCTATTCTAAATGGCAATTCTCTCCTTCCCTTGAGCAGGCTTTACACTGGGACCCTTGTGCACAGGCTGTTTCAAGAGCTTAAATCCACACCTTCAGTGGAAAATCTATTTAGTTCATCTCCAAAAATGACTCGGCTTTATCAGGATCTGCTACATACAGTGGAGTCAACTGTACCTCCAGACTTCTTTCAGAAGATCAAGGTTTGCAAGACCAAGTCTGAGTCCTGCAAAAAGAAGAAAGCATCTAGTAAGGAAAAAAAGGCCATCAGGTGTGCTCTACCAGAAGCTCAGCATTTATGCAGTGTTAATAGGTTTGCAGCACTTGAAGTGGATGACTGAAAGCATTATTCCTGGAGTAACTTTTAATGCAACGCAGATGAAAGAAGTTCTGTGAAGACAGGTGACTGTATTGGGATTTGCCTGGCTGTTCTCGCACAAGTTCCTGATTCAGTCTTCACCAACAATTCGGGGATTTTATTTACTGGTTTGTAACTAACACTTACAAAGAGGTGCTGTATAAAAGTTGTGGTTTGCTTTTTAAAGGCACCAGTCTGAACGAAAATGAGAGCAGAGTTGTTCAGTGTTTCAGAGTTGGACTATTTTAGAGGAATTCTTTCCTGAGCATTCCAAGGATGAGGGAAGGCTGAGGTACTTCATGCTGCTCTTACCTCAGTCTTCAGTAGTCACACCAGCCATCCTCAGGGTACTCAGTGCCCTGAGCTGGGTGATGGAGATGGGGAGCTGATTGAAGTCCCCATAAGCCAGGAGGAAATGGTTAGTGACCTCCTGCTCCCCTTCGACATACACAAGTCTATGGGGCTGGATGGGTGCCACCCCAGAGTGCTGACGTAGCTGGCAGAGGAGCTTGCTAAGCCACTCTGTATCAGTGGTCCTGGTCTAGTGGGCAGGTCCCAGGGGATTGGAGGTTGGGCAGTGTGATACGTCCCTACAAAAAGGGCAGGAAGGAAGACTCAGAAACTACAGGCCCGTCAGCCTGACCTCAGTGCCGTGGAAGGTCATGGAGCAGATGGTCCCAAGTGAAATCATAAAGTACGTATGGAAAAACAGAGGGATCAGGCCCAGTCAGCGTGGGCTCATGAAGGGCAGGTCCTGCTTGACCAACCTGATCTTCTACGATAGGGTGACAAGCCTGGCTGATGAGTGAAAGGCAGCTACTAAAACCTTAAGATCGATTAGTGCTATAAATACAGTATCTTATTTGGAAGACCTATTTAAACCAAATTACTATACCAACAACTACCTTGTCATTACATATACCGTTAAAAGAGAATTGTTAAAACAGTAGAATCCTGCACTAATGTAGAAGAATGGTTTTTACCACTTGACAGAAAATGTCATGGAAGAGCTGTGAAAAATGGAGCAACCCGTTCCCTAAAGAGCTCAGCTGGAAGCAAAAAAGAGGATTTGTTGTTTGTCCTCGACTAAAGCTGCAGTTGAACTGATCCCAGGTGCCAGGTGTATGCTGAGTGCTGCTGCTGGACCCTGGGAAGGGAATACAGCCAGCAGCTGCTCCACATTGTCACACACTCCTCACTCCTTCCTCTGGGAAGCAGCCCCATTGCAGGCTGCATCTCCCAGCCTGTGGGGATCCAGGAAGCAAAGAACACTGAGTAAATTCCAGCATGTCCACTATGGCAGTACCCAGTGGTGCCATGACCTCATTCAGGCCACAGCAGTCTCCTGTTGGTCTCCACCCTCCAGTTGACCTTTGCATGGGCCATATGGGGCTGTTAAAGGGTGAGTGTGTCCTGTTGATCACTCCTTGGCTCTCCAGTCTACGGATCAGCTTATGCATGGGAAGCAGGGAGTCTTGGTTGGTGTGATATTGCCACCAGTGCGCTGTTGTGGTGGTGGTAGGCATGACTTCCTCACTGCCCTCTCTGTGGTCCTGCAGGTAAAACCAGCAATCTCTGAACCTCATCCTGTTGCAAACTTGTATAATGAAAGACTTCAGCTGAAGCCTGTTTTGTGTCAGTCTTGGGGTTTGACTTGGTGATGTTTCAGTGCAGGTCCCTGAACAGGTTTGTTGAATCACCCTCTGACTTGGTGGGCTGGCAGGGCGCAAGGGTTTCGTCTCTCTTGGGACACTGCAGGCTGGTCAAATGTAAAGGACTGGAGGAAACCCTGCTTGTGACAGTACTGGAGGGCAGGACAAATTTGGACAAGAAGGTGCCAGTGCTACACACTCCTTTAGACATAAACCATTGACCAAGTCTTGAGACTGGGATTGCATCCAGCAGCATCAGCGGGTTGGGGGGGTCAAGGCCCCCAAAACCCCCTTGTATCTTGGGAGGGGGGGGTTGTCCCTGGGCACACTGGGGTGAGGGTGGTACCTTTTTGGTTTACACACACACTATTCACTGAATACCAAAGCACTTGACATAAACCTGAGCCCTGGTTTAGACACACAGAGCTGGTGGTCCTGCGTGCATGTGGCTGTCTGCTGCCTCCGGGACTGGGGTGGTGTTACTCTCAACCATGGGTGTCCTGGGTTTCACGTGTCTCCCACATGCCTTGAAGCAGGGGCGCACCCCAGGACCCCTCCTGACACCCCCTACAAAAACCCCCACCCTGCACCCTGGGGATTCCCATTCTGACATCCCTCCCAAAGAACCCCCCCATCACCAGCAGTTGCCAAACAACTATTTATTAACCGTCAACAAACTGGCCCATGAGGGGTGCAACTCCCAACAGCTGGGTGCCCCCCACCCCCCAACTTTGGTCTCATAACGGTGAGAAACAGGCTCCAAACTGCTCTGTGTCACCGCAGGGAGGTGCACTGGGGTCCTTGATCACCCATCCTGGGGCTGGGGGGGCAGAAAGGGAAGAGGGTGTCACTCAAACTGGGTGAAGTCACCCGGAGTGGGGAGGGAGGCTCCCTCAAACCCAGGCCCACCCCTCCAGTATCACCTTCATGTTCAACACGCTGTCAAAGGCGTCCCAGAGGCAGCCCTGGAGGGGATGAAACACACAAGTGAGGTGGGGCACCCCAGGGTGGCTGGAGGAGGTCCTGGGAGGAGGAGCTCACCCTGCCCTCCTCTTCGCCTCTCTGCTCTTCCTCCTGCTCCTCTTCTTCCACCACCATCAGGCTGTGGCAGGGGTAGAAGAGGGGTGGAGGGACCCCTCCAGACCTGCCTCTCCCAACAGACCCAGTGTTCCCCTCCAAACACCCCAGTACGCACCCCATGCCCTCCAAAAGCTCCACCCCAATACCTACCCCATGTTCTGCCCTCCAAGCCCCCAAAAGACATGCCCCCCTCATCCCCTCCAAGACCCCCAATACGCCCCTGCCATCCCTGAGCCCCCCAGCACCCTCCAGGTCCCGTCCCCCCCCCAGTGCCTACCCCGTGCCTCCCAGCACCCACCAATGCCCCTCCCCAGCAGCCCAGGCCACCCCATGCTGCCCCCTGAGCCCCCAACAGCCCCACTGCCTGCCCTATGCCCACCCTGTGCCCTCCAATATCCCAAATTTCTCTTCCCCGCTTCCCCCAGTCAACCAGCAGCCCCATTCCTCTCCAGTGCCCACCCTGAGCCCCAAAAACCCCTCAATCCCCCCCCCCCCCCAGTGACCCCCCCCCATACCCCCCCTCCCCCCCCCCACTCACAGCATCACCCGATTGCACTGCAGGGTCATGGAGCTGCTGCTGTGGTGAGGAGAGCATGGAGCCGGAGAACAGTGGCTGAGGGGAGAGCTGGGGGGGCCGGGGGTCACCCCGTAACATGGTGGAGGTCAAGGCTGGGCTGGAAGGGTGGGTGCTCGGCAATGGGCTGGAGTCAGGGGCCTGCGGTGGTGCTGCGGGGGGGGGATGTTAAGCATGAGGACACCCCCAACCCCACAGAGCCCAGATGGGTGCTGGGGGTGATGCAACCCCCAGGACCCCTGACCCCCACCCGTACCCCAATCCTCACCCTCCAGGCGGGGTCTCTTGGTGCGGTGTGGGGTGGGCGCTGCACCACGGCTGCTCTCCCCGGTCCCCCCCTCATCCTGTGGCTGTAGCGAGTTGCGGTAGGTGACAAGGGGATGCCACTGCCCTGTGTCACCTGGTGCCAGCACCCCGAGCTGCTCCCGGGACACCTTGTCCAGGTAGGTTAAGCTAGGGAGGGACAACAAAGGTATGGGGAGGGGATCAGTGGGGTACTGCGGGGGCAAACAGACACCCCATATCCTTCGAGGCTCCCCATGTTGACCTTGAGGACCCCAGTGGGACCCAAAGAGACCTGAAAGGACCCTCCAAGACCCTGCCCTAGGGTGCCCCCCCCAAATAACTCACAGCAAAGCTTTATCTGGGCGCAGCACACAGGGCGAAAACTCGCTCAGCACCTCCAGGAAGGGTAAATTGAGGGGTGGAGATCCCGGTTCTGAGCCCGGGATCTTCTGGAAAGCAAACAGAATCCCTTCCCTGGCAGGGATAAAGGTATAAGGAGGGGGTGACACCCCCAAAAATCCCCTCTGCCCCCCCTGCATTTTCATCCTGTTGTACCTGTGGATGTTGAGCAGCAGCGGGCGGCTTCGGAGCTGGTGGAGGCTGAAGAAGAGGGAAAACCTTCGCGCCAAGTCCCGGATTTCTGGGAAAGCTTCCGACACCCGGATGTCAGGACCTTCCTGGTGCAGCAGCTCTGTCATCAGCTATGGTGTTGGGCACAAGGTTAGGGGGGCACTTTTGGGAACTCTCCTCCCCCAACCACCTTGGAGCAAACCCAGAGCTTCCCAGATCCCTGGACCTCCCCAAAGACACCCCCCAAACCCCATCCACATCGTCCAGAGCCCCCCAAACCTCCCTAGAGTACCCCAAAGCCCCCCTCAGAGCCACCTGGAGACCACTTCAGATCCACCCAACCCCCTGGAGTACCCCCAGACCTCCCCCTCAAACCCTGTCCACACATCCTGGAGCCCCCCAGACCTCCCTAGAGCACCCCAAAGCCCCCATCAGACCCACCGGGACATCACTCCAGATCTACACAGAAATCCCCAACCCCCTGGAGTACTCCCAGACCTCCCCCTCAAACCCTGTCCGCACATCCTGGAGCCCCCCAGACCTCCCAAAGCCCCCATCAGACCCACCTGGACACCACTCCAGATCCACATAGAAATCCCCAACCCCCTGGAGTACCCCCAGACTCTCCCCCCACATCCCCAGACCCTCAAACCCTGTCCACACAACCTGGAGCCTCCCAGACCTCCCTAAAGCAGCCCTCCAGACCCCCCTGGAGACCCCAGGCCCCACCCCAGGCCCCCCCAACACACACAGCCCTCCACCACCACCCCAACCTGCTGCAGGCTGAGGAGCAGCGTGCGAGCCCACTCCTGCCGGTCGATCTGCCGGGTCAAGCTGAGCGTTTCTTTGATGATGTCCCCATAATCGCTGTAAAACTGGGGAGGGAGGGACAGGACCCAGTGTGCCCGAGGTGTTGTGGGGACAGTGGGACAGCAGGGACCCACCCTGGTGCGCCCGGTTACCTTGGTGTAGTGCTTGAAGACGTCGGAAGCGGCGCTGAGCTCCAAGACGCCGTAGATGATGAGTTTGCAGAAGCCGGCCAGAAGCACGCGGCGTCGGTGCAGCTCCTCGATGCGGCTCTCACTGTCCTCTATGGGGACAGGAGGGGACAATTAAGGGGGGGCACAATTAAGGAGGGACAATTAAGGGAGAGACAAGCACTCTAGGGGGTCACCCAGTGATTTACCAGTGGCCAAGAGCTGCTCGTGGCTATAAGCAGGGTAGAAGACGTGGTCCATGAGGAAGGCGGCCAGCTGGGATTGCAGCTCAGCATCGGGACGTAGCACCAGGGGAGCCAGCTCCTCTCGCCCGTCCTCTGGCAACCGTGGCCCCAACACCAGCAGCAGGTCGCTGAGCACTCTGAAGGCCTGAGAACACAAGGATGGGCTTGGCATCAGGGCTGGTTCCATCTCTTCCCATCCCTCCAGGTTCCTGTGTACCTGTTCCCGGATGCCAGTGTCCACGTCGGACAGGCAGCTGTGGCACAGAGAGCAGAAGGTGATGACTTTGGTCTTCAGGCTCTGCAGCTGCTCCTGGGCAGGGGGACATGGTAACGTTTGTGGACATGGTGGCATTTAGGGAGACAATGGCCTTTAGGGACACAGGGGCAACCCCAAATTGTCCTGGTGGTCGCTCACCTCAGGGACATCGGTGCTGGGCAAGCAAGAGAGCTCCCAGAGGATGTGGAAATAGAGGCAGGTGATGGTGGGGACAAGGACCTGCAGGGATGGATGTGGGTGAGGGATGTGCCTCATCGTGTCCCCAGTGTGTCCCCAAAGCTGTGTCCCCAGGGTGGTACCTGCGGTGGCACCTCACCCGTGTCCACGGCACGTTGCAGGAGCTGGGTGCAGGGATCAAAGAGCTGCCAGGGCGTCAGGTCATGGGCGCTGCGGGGACAGAGCAGCATCAGCGGGGTGAGGGGACATGGGGGACAGGGATGGGGACATGTGGAGCATGGGGCATAGGACATGGAGACACAGGGAGGTAATGACGGCAACACAGGGAGCAGATGGGACAGGGGACATGGGGGCATGGATGCCGGGGATGGGGACATGGGGATCAGAAGGGAATGAGGGCACCCAGGGGACCCTTGGGGACACAAATACAGGAATGGCATGCTGCCTCCCACTCACTTGAACAGGATGGAGATCCTCTTCAGTGTGGCTGCCATGCTGTACACTTCCTCCTCGTCCAGGGATGAGGCCTGGGCAGGGCCAGGGGTTAGGAACACCCTATAAAGGGTTGAGGACCTACCACCAGCTGGGGACACCCCACTCCCCATTGGCCCTTGCTGTCTCCCTCATCAAGTCCTTCCTAGACCAGCTTTTCCCTGCCAATCATCCCTACCCAGGCCACCAATATCCCTGCAGATCCTTGTCCCTCTCTTGTTCCCAGCCCAGCTCCGTGTACCTGTCCCCAGCCCTATCCTGGCTTCTTGTCCCTGTCCCTAGCCCCATCCCTGCTCCGTGTCCAGCTCCTCAGCCTTCTTCCCAGCTCCATGTCCCTGTCCCCAGCCCTGTCCTATCTGAGTTCCTGTCCCTAGCTCTGTGTCCCTATCCCCAGCCCTGTCCTGACTCCATGTCCCCGTTCCCTCTACCTGGAGCATCTCGGTGACCTCCTGGTTGAACTTGTCTGCCAGCTGGTCAGCCAGGCGGCTCCGCACCCGGTCCCCGTGCCGCTGCAGGGCCAGCTCAGGGTCACAGAGCGCGTGGAGTGCGCGGGATGCAGCTTCCAGCACCGTCTGCTCCGTGTGTTTCTGCACCACCTCCTCCAGCTGCTCCAGCACCAGCTCCAGGTGCTGCAGGAGAGACACGTCACCTCACCATGGGGACAAAGCCACCCAGGGGCAACCCGTGCGGACATACGGACCCCCTTGTGAAGATGGGGACAGCCATGGACACTCTGGGGTGATGGGGACAGTATGCTGATGGGGGGCACCTGACCACCAAAGGGGACATTTGGGGAACACGCTGCATCCTATCCCTGCCTCAACAGTTTTGAGGGGCAAAGTGGCTCAGCCCCAGTGCTGGGGGGATTGGATGCTACCCGGGGGGGTGACAAGAATTGGGGTGACACCAGGGGACAACACCTTCTCCAGCCGCCCGGTGCAGTAGATGCTGAGGTCGAAGCAGCACAAGACCTCCAGGAGCGGAGCCGCCTTCTCAGCATCTGCTGAAAACTTGGTTGGGGGGGGACATGACAGTGAGAGGATGAGAAGGACAACGGGGGGGTCAACACCAACTCCCCCAAAGCCCTGAGGATACCAGTGGGGTGTCCCCCCTTCCCATCACCTTGCCCAGCAGCTTGGGAAGAGCTGGGATAAGGCAGTGGGTAAGGCGGATTCTTTCCTCCATCTGCACCTTCCGCTCTCGGGATGAAGGCTGGGGACAAAAAGAGGGGGTCAAGGGGAGTTCCTCCCAACCCTCTCCCCCCCAGTTTTGCCTCCTCCCAGCCCCATTACCTTCTTGGCTGGCTCACGGCCCACAGGTGGTTGCCCCTCAGCTGCCTGGACCACGCTGGCTGCCAGGATCTCCACCAGCGCCTTCTCCTGCTGGTCTCCCAGAACTGGGGAATTGGGGGGGGAGGATTGGAGTGAAGGTTGGAATGAAGTTTGGAATGCAACCAGCACCTCCCCATCTCCTGCATCAGGGGGGCCCAGAGCATCCCAATACCACCCAGTATGAGTCCCGACTGCTCACCAGTGCAGTGGCGATGACATAGCCTACACAGGGACATCTGAGAGGGTTCCATGGCTGTCCTAGTGCTTCCCATTGACATCCCAGGATCTCTCAGTAATGTCCCAACATGCCCCAGGAATGTCCCCCAGCATCTCCCAGTGCCTCCCAGTGGCATCCCCATGCCTCCCTGTGTCTCAAAGCGCCACCCCAGTGCTTCCCAGTTTCTCACAGGATCTCCCAGTGCCATCTCAGTGCCTTCCAGTGCCTCCTCCATGATACCCCAGCACATTCTGGTGTCTCCCAGTAGCACCATACCCTCAGCAGGTGACTCCTCCAGCAGCAAAGCACTGATGGTCTCCCAGTCCCGCAGCCGAGGCCCGGCGCAGTCCCACAGGCTGTCCACCAAGTAGGCTGCGTGCTCATGGAGCTGGGGATGGTGGGGACAGGGGAGTCACGGCACGCAGGGACCACCCCACTGTCCTGCCTGCCCCCGCAAGGCCATCCTCACCTCGATCTCGATGAAGAAGGTCAGAAGGACATGAAAGAAGGTCCTGTTGTCCCTGTCGTGAGATGCATCCACGCCCGCACCTTGCTGGGGGTCCAGCAGCCTGAGGACACAAGGACAGAGTCAAACACGGGGGTCCCACATCCCCCCTGGCGTGGGGACAGAGCTGGGGGACACGCAGGCACCAGGCACCCAAGGGACATGGCAATGGGGGTCCCATGTACAGCCCACTTTGGGGACAGAGCTGGGGGACACCAAAGGGACAGGGATAGAGGGGTCCCATGACCCCCACCGTGGGCTGTACCCTGATCCCTGCATCCCAGGGGATCACATCTGCCTCTGCCCCAGATGTGCCAAACCAAAACACTGCCGATGCCATAGGCCTGTGCCGAGATAAACACACGGCTGGTGCAGGAGCACGAGTGGCTCCCATTGGATTTGGCCATTCCAGCATCCCGCTCTCATTAATGCTGGCACTAACGAGGCCGGGATGAGGGGAGCTGGCAGGAAGACAGAGCCTTGACTCATGCTTTGGCAGGCTCGGTGTTTTGGGGGTTGTGGGTGCGTGACAGCAGCACTAGGATGGGCTGTGCCGGGTATCGGGTCTTGCTCACCGGCGGTAGAGGAAAATCCCAGCGGCAGTGGCGAGAGGCCGGTTGGATACAAAGACAACAGGGTACACGCTCTGGCAGTCCTCATCCGTCAGTGCCTCCTCCATGTTCCTGTGTAGAAGGAAGGGTGGGAGGTCCCCAAAGGCCTCTCGGATGTCCCCTCACCCCCTGCAAAACCCCATCCCCATGCTCACTCCAGCATCAGTGTCAACAGCTTCACCACCTCCACGGCCACGCTGAGCTCCTTGTCGAGCACCATGGACACCATGCGTGTCTGGTGAAGGACACATCGGTGTCACCCTACTGGGGGTGGGGGAGACACCCAAGGGACCCTCCTCATGGGGGCCTCCTCACCTTGAAGCGCCTGGTGAAGAGTTCCATGTGGGCAGCCGTGTCCCGGTGGCCGTAGAGCCCCTGCAATGCCTTCACGCACTGCAGGCGCACCTCCCACTGCTGCAGTGGCAGCTGTCAACGGGGTCCTGTCCCTGCACCCCCATGCCCCCCCATCGGTACCCACCTTGTCATACAAGGTCCACCCGATGTACTTGAGGTAGCTGTCGGTGAGGAAGGAAGCCGCGTAGGTCTTCATCCACGTCCCCAGCTCCTCCATGCAGATGGCTCGGATGTCCGGCACCACGTCCCTGCACCACACAGCAATGCCAGGGGTCTGCTGCCGCTCACCCTCAAATCTCTCCCCCACCCATGAGACCTCCCCCCCCCCCCATTCCACTCCCAAGCCACCAACCTGTAGCGATGTACGAAGACACCCTTGAAGATGGCGTTCATCATGCTCTCAATCTCCTCCTGCTGCTCTCTGAGCTGGTGTGGGGACGTGGCGCGGTTTGACCAGGGCCCGTGCCACCATCACCGTGCTGGCAGCACCGCCACTCACCTCCTGGCGCTTCACCATCAACGCCTCCAGCTTCTCGGTGGCGCGGCGGCCGGGCCCCTTGCTCCGCTCGGCCTCGTATTGCCGCAGGTTGTTCTCCTGGTGCACGCTCACGCCCAACGCCACCTTGACCAGCGCCGACATCACCTTCATGGCTACGACCGCAACGCTTGTGGGTACCGGGACCCCTTCCATGGGGTGCCCAAGGGGAGCCACCCACGGGTGCTGCCTACCTGCCAGGGTGCTGGTGTGGCGGAAAGCCCGTACTTGGGAATCAGTGAGGCTGATGAGGAAGGAGATGAGGGAACCCATCAGGAATTCATCATAGATGATGCTGTATTGGCATCGCTGCACCACTGCTGTCAGCAGCTCGCAAAACCCAGCCCGGAAACGGCGCCAGGGTCGGGTGCTGAGAGAAAGGGGGTACTCGGATGAATCCTACATGAGATACGGATGGGGTGAGCTGGATCCCCCCTCTCCATCGCCCACTCCCACACCAATCCAGCACCTCCTTGAACTGCTCCGTCAGCTGCTGGATGATCTCCGAGTTCTGCAGGTCCCTGAACATTTCTGGTGTCACCACACCTGTGGGGGAGAGGGAAAGGGATGAAACGGGGGTCCCGCCAGCAGCACTGAGGGGACTCCTCCACCCTGGGGACCCCGACCTTGGCAACCGCAGGAGCAGACAATAAAGTTGATGAGCTCCAAGAACCCTGTCTCACGGTCTCGCTTGTAGGTCTCCAACCAGTCATCCACCACCGTCTGTGGGCACAAAAACAGGTTGGGAGCCCCCCAAACCCCCCTTCTCCCCCCAGATCCTCACCCATGCGGCCCTGCATCCCCAGGGAGCGCTGCACCAGTTTGGGGTTACCTCCACGGCGATTTTGGCCGATTTAATGGCTTCAAAGAGGGTGCTCGGCTCCGGGTTGACTGTGGGTGTGCTGCTGCGGTCACCGTTTGGCTCCATCACCCGGGGACGCTTCCTGACCTGGGGGCAGACACATGGAAGGGGGGTCAGGGATGCCGTGGGACGGCACCCACGCGTGGAAGGGGGAGAAGGGAGGGTCAGGACATACCTGGCTGTGCTTTGGCCCCTGCTGGGGTCCCAGTTTGCCACATGGCTGCAGAGTGGCCTCAAAGTCACTGCCGGAGTCATCACTGCTGGTGAGGTCCCTGCGGGGATGGGGGGGGGGGGCAGAAGGCTGAAGGGGTCGCTCTGGGTGCCCCCCCCAACACCCCCCCCACCCCCCCCCCCGTCACTCACGAGGTGCCAGAGGGGGGCGATGATGGCCCCACGGATCCCGGTGTGGAGCTGGAGCTGGATCCCTGGGTGCGGGATGAGCACCAGGGAACCATAGTGACAGCAAGGCCTTGGGGGGGGGGGGGGCACAATGGGTTCAGGCAATGGGGGCCCCTCAGCCCTGACACCCCACAGTCCAGGGGATCCCCCAAGCACCCAGAACCAACCCCCTCAGCCCAGACTGGGGATGCTGAGGGGCCCAAAATGGCCCTTGGGGACGCATGGAAGGAAGGTGACACACACACACACACACACACACACACACCCCCGGGGCACAATGACGGGATCAGGCACCCCAGATCCCCTCAAATCACTGTGTGGGGAGGTCAGGCTTGCCCCAAACATCACATGGGCACACTTAGGGTGAGGAACCCCACTTAGGTCACACTGTGGGGGCTTAAGACCCACCCAAACCCTCCCGAGGCCACTTCAGGGGGTTCAGGGCCCCCAACTCCCCTCGTGTCACTGTGCAGTGGGCTCAGGCCTCCCCATGTCCCCCCGGCTCACTCCGGGGGTCAGCCCGCCACCCATAGCCCCCATAGGCACCACTGGGGGTCAGGCCTCCCCCAACCCCTCCCCGGGTACGCTCCGGCCCCTCTGCCCGGTCCTGCCTCGCCTCCCGCCGCCGAGCGACCGACGTCCGGCCCAGCACACCCCGCGGCACCCCTATGGCCTCCCAGTGACCCTCGGCTTCCTGCCCCGTGCCTCCCAGTACCGCCCAGTGCACGCTCCGGAGACCGGGACCCCTCCGGACACCAGGACCCCTGAGCCCTCACACGGCCTTCTCCGGTGGGGCCGAGCGAGCGGCTCCACTTCCGCAGTGGATGCGACGGGGTGCACCAGGACCCGGGGGGGCCATGACAGAGATCACCGAGGGCACAGGGTCCTGCCGGGATGCGAGGAGGTGGAGAGGGGTATGGATATGAGAGGATGGAGGGGACGCAGTGGTGCTCCCACCACCCCGAGTGGGTTGCGGCTAGTTGGGGGGGCTTGGGGCCCCCAATAAAGGTGCCTTCACCCCCTGCTGCTGTCGTCCGCAGACCGTGGGGGATCTGCGGCACCATCGCTTCACCCTGCAGCACACCTGACCCCTGCTCCCCAAAACACCCCGGGGGTGCCCCACGGACGCCTCGGGTGGGGTGAAGGTCCCCATCCCATCGCATGAGGATGGCGGGATCCTGAATTGCACCCTGTACCCGCCCGCGTTGTCGTCCCCCCCCCCGTCCCCCCCCAGCCTGGCGCAGGAGTGGAGCCGCCCCACTGAAGGACCAAGCTCCCTACGGGCTCCAAATGATGCCGCTGGGACATCCCAAACTCCCGGCGGGGGGGCGGCCCCGGCGGGCGGGGCGGGGCCTGTGAGATTAGGGGGCGGGGCAGGGATGGAGCCCTTACAGCTATAAAAGGAAGGGGATGTCTATAAAAGGAGGGGGTGGCACGGGGTGGGCGGGGCGATATCTATAAAAGGAGGGTGAGGGAGGGGCCGGATTGGGCTGGGCGGAGCTCCAGCGGACTCTCACCTTCCAGAGACAGCCCACCCGCCGGGGTGGGCGCGGCGCATGCGCCACTGGCGGTGCGGAGGCGCTACATAGGTCGTAGCGACTGCCCGCCCATTGTAACGAGATCAAGATGGCGGCGTCCAGGTCGAAGGGTGGTAGTTGAGGGGGGCAGCTCCAGCGCGCAGGTAACCCGTCCCGTCAGGCCAGCGGTTCATCTCAAGCTGCCACTGCTCATCTTCATCACCCTCCGGTGCTTCCCCTGCCGTGCTGCTGCCGGCTCCGCCAGCGGCCCTGTGCCCCGCAGCGTTCCCCTCGAGTCTATGGCTGCTCTTCCCCTCGAGTCTGTGGCTGCTCTTTCCCCCGCCGGCTCCCAGTCCCACAGGGCCTTTGTTAATAAGCTGCAGGGAGGAGTGGAGGAGCGTAGGGAGATACGTGGTTTGTTTTATAAGTCAAACTTGAGGCACAGGGAAACGAAAGGGACTTGGTTGTCTGTGTCAGAGTGAAGGGAATGTGCTTGCCCTTACCAGGCAGTTTTCAATATCTTAATTCAGCAAAGGCCTCCTCTCCTGTGTACTTATTGTATCTTGCCAAAGCAGGACTCGCCTTTTCTTCCTCTGTTAGTTCAGCTTCTTTCTCCCTTCTTTGTACACCTGCTGAGTTTATATAATTCCAGACTGGTTTGTGTTGGAAGGGACCTGAGAGCTCATCCAGTTCCAACCCCCTGCCATGGGGAGGGACACCTTCCACTAGAGCAGGTTGCTCCAAGCCCCGTCCAACCTGGCCTTGAATATTGCCAGGGATGGGGCAGCCACAGCTTCTCTGGGCACCCTGTGCCAGCCCCTCAGCATCCCCACAGGAAAGAACTTCTTCCTTAGATTTAATTTAAATCTATGCTCTTCCAGTGTAAAGCCATTCCCTCTTGTTGTGTCAGTACTTGCTCTTACGTTTGGCTTGTAACCTGATGCTTTGAAGACCCCCGCAGTGCTGGCTGGAATGCCTTCAGCTGTGGTGGGAAGGTGGGCTCTTGTCTTAGTCCCATGCACACAGCACTGGAAAGACAAAACCACCTAGTGCCACATCTTCTGTATTTGGATATCTTCTGTATGTCCTTACTTGGCCCAACTTGTGACTTGCTGATTGTTGCATCTTGTGTCTAGGAGCAGGAAAGAGGTCTCTTTCTCATCCTGGAAGTCCATGTGGTTAAGTGATGTTTGCCCTGGTACTGTGACCCAGGCTGTGTCCCCTTTCCAGCTTACATCCACTGCTCTGACCCCTGCTTGCATGATGTGTAGGGCCTGAGGTCACCCCCATGTGCTCTGGCAGGTGTGACATTGGCAGGTGGGTTTCTCCTGAGCTGTGCACAAGGGTCTACCTTGTGTCTTTTCTGTCTGCTTTCATCAGAGGATTCACTTGTGTATAACTTGTATTTTACAATAGGTATTTTGTAAATCAGCAATGCTCAGAGTCTGCCACAAGGCAATACTCCTTTCTGCTGTAAAATAAATTTAGGTAATAGAAATAAGACATAAGGAAATAATAAATAAAAATAAGCCAAACAGTGCTTATCTTGCTGATTTTGAGAAGAGTGAATAAGATTATGGAGGGGGGGAGAAATTAGGTGTCTCTTCAATAACTTGAGCATCTGCGCTGGGAATCCTGAGTTCAGATCTGTTGTTGTTACAAATGAGAGAGATTATAGAGATTAGCAGCAAAAAAATAAAAGCACCAGAATATGTCGCTTGCACTAGACATATAAGTGGAAAAAGAAATGTTTGAAAGTGCCTGTTTGGTAGCTAAAGAGAAGAAAGGTGCAATTTCATACGTATGTAATGAGAGGGAATGAGGGCTTCTGTATGCATATGTTGTGGATTCTAAGGAAGTATAACTCTCACTAGCTTAGTGGGGACCTAATTTAGGTGCTATAACAGCTATTTCTACTGATAATGTTGCTATCATATGGGAAATACATAAATAAAGCCATTTATTATATGGAGCTTCTCTACACAGAAACTTTACCGGTGTAACTCTGCAAGGAAAGTTATGAACTGACTGCAATAGAAGGCTTGGTACAACAGTCAAGTGTACAGACCAAAAATTGAAAAGAAACCCCAGCCATAGAGGATAGAAAACACTGATACAAAAAAGAAACTATTTAATTTGTTTTGTGTTTTGGTTTGTTTTTTTGTTTTTTTTTTAAGGAATTAGGGGTGAAGATGAGGAAGAAATCTCAGAGTAGGGGTTGGAATTTGTTTAATGCTTTATTTCCTCCTGTAGGAAGTAAAATCAGCAAATACCTTACTGAGGCAGATCCTGAACATGTGGACTATTTGATCTTTCTCACATTGAGTAGTTTTATTTCAGAAGACTCGCTCTAAAGCATTTGAGGAGTTCTTTTAGCTGTTTTTTTGTTTTAGTTGAAAGAGGAAGCTTTAGCAAAAGTCAGTTTAGACTGTCTAGTTGAAATCTACTAATTACAGTCATTCCCCCCATCTCTTTTCAATGATGACAAATTCAGTAGATTTTCAGTATAATTTCATGCAACTTCCCCTTCTTTCTATTTGATTCTGAATTTTTACTAACACCGTCAGTCATCTTCTGTTCATCTTCCTGATGCTGAGCACCTTCAACTAACTGATCCTGCTCTTAGGGGAGATTGAACGCAATATTGGTCCCTTATTAGAGAAGACATCTAACAGAACAGTTTTGTTCCATTCAAGGGGCACAGTTAATTCTCTTGGCTAAAAGAATAAATGCTTTTATTGTTCAGACATATGGTGATAAAATGCACATAGCATAAAAAACAGGCAAGTAATCTGAATCAAGCTAAAATGTTTCACAGCTGCCAGATTTCTTGTAACTGTAATAACCACTTAATTCCTATTATATATTGTTGACTAAAATACATGTTTTTGTCTTTTTCAGAAATCATAGCCTTAAGAATGCAGTCGGTTTGTCAGACAGTTGGTGCTTGTTCCTCATGTTTGAAGAGACAATTAAATGGCTTCATGGGATTAATTAAATGGCAGAGCAGACTGGTTCCTGCTTGTGTCAGAACTATTTACAGCGAGACGGGGAAATGGGAAAAAAACTATGGATTGGAGACAAGGAAAAGAGTTGAAAATTGGTGGCTCCCACGAATAAAGGAACAGTTCTGCAGAATTTCAGAAACTGATGTAAGTATTATGAGATATTTGGAAATTACATATTTGGTATTTTTGTTTTCTCAGAATGAAGTTAATTGAAACTTACTTATTACAGTTTCTGATGCTAAGATGTATGTTATGTTTCAGGGGAAAATACTTTCATATAATAGTAGATTACTAAAAACAGTTGATGAAATAGGTGGAGAAATAATAACTAAAAAAAACTTGGGGAAAACCATGATGATAAGCAAAGTATAAACCTGTAAATTTAGGAAGTGTTCAAGTAATCAATTCTTTCTTCGTTTAGTATACCTGTGTTTGTAACCTCTGTAAGCAATTTTCTCAAGGTGTTGTTCCTAATGGTTATGCCAACTCTATTACACTGCACACTGTCATTCATTAAAATCCATATTAAGGGAAGATGATTTTTTAAGGATATTTTGTGGTTTATAGTGTTTTAGGAATAGTAAGTGACTTGCAGGAAAGAAAAAGCTCTCCCATGCAATAAAAAATCTTGAAAACAATGGTAATCCCAGTCTCTGACTCTTTTTGCCTTCACAATTACGCTCACTCCCATAGGTATTAAAGTATTTTTGTGCCTCCCTTCATCTTTATTTATTCTTTCCTGAGGTATGCTCCCCTTACAACAAAAACCCGGCATATCAAAGCATCAAAGACAGAAAAGGGGTTTGCTTTTTCTGAGGAGGAAAACTGAGATGAAAATAGTGTGCATGCATAAAGTAGCAGGGAAAGCATTAATTTAGGTTTCTGTGTGTAATATCTGACAACGTGCGAATGCACAGATATCGTACATCTGAGAAGTTTAAATTGTGTTTTTAATGATACTTTTGTTTTATCCTTACAGTTGAAGGAGATGTAATAACATCTTGTATTAAGAGGCAGGCAGTGTGTAGTGCTGCAGTCAAGTTTTCACATTATTTCTGATTTTGCTAGAATTGGAGAAAAGCGATAAAGAAGAAACATTTATAAATATATATATAAATATATATTATATATAAAATATAAATAGACTTCTTTTCAAAATGCTAAAAGGTGCTTTTTTTCCCCTCATTATTAACTTAAGAAAAATAGGAACTTTTCAAGCATGTATTGATGATAAATTCAATGGTAATCAAGATGCATTAGGAATAACTTATGTGAGAGACATTACATTTGATTTCTGTGTAACTTAAACCTATCTAAATGAAATTTTTACTTTCTTTACACTATGCAAGGTAGTGCTTGTAATACTTCTCTGGAGCTGAGCATGTGTAGTGGCTCTGAAGGATTTCACTTCAATGGATGTTCATGATTTAGTCAGTGGATTACTGTGGTTCAGCTGACGAAAAGCAATTGGCCAGGAGCAAGCTCCCATATTTGTTGTAAATACAAAGTAAACCACTTATTTAAACTATACTTAAAGAATATAATCTGTCATGTTTTCCTGTTTTGGTGGGACAGACTAAGAGCACATAGAAAATCAATTGCAGATGCTATGGTAGGGAATGGTGATTTTTTTAAGCTGCAGTTCTGTTAATCTTTTGTTGAGTAAAGATTGATTAAAAACATAATTTTCAAGTGCCATATGAATATATGAGATGACAGCAAAGTCTGGTAAAACATCTCCATCTCCATCCCTAAAGAACTTGATCTGATGAAGGGTCTAGCAGAACCTTGTTTTTCTTCAGAGTACCTTGTGGTTTATAATGTGCAGTTGTATTTAGTCAAGTGAAATGCAAGTTCATGTACTTACAACTTTCTAAAATTTCTTTCTAGAAATCAAGACCAAAATTTTATGTGCTCTCTATGTTCCCATATCCTTCTGGAAAGCTTCACATGGGCCATGTTCGTGTCTACACTATCAGTGATGCAATAGCTCGATTCCAGAAAATGAGAGGGATGCAGGTAAGAAAAGATCGTTTGTAGGACTGGGTGGGTTTTTGATGTTTTAATAGCATAATTGGTCAGGAAATTAGTGTTTTCAAAATCCATGAATGTGAAGGTTTAGTTGGAATTTGTGCTACAGATGCATCGATAATGACCTGTGGAGCTTTGAATATTGACATTTCGGACTTTTTAAGAGCAAGTGGTGTTCAGAACTCGCTGTTGATAATGCTTTGTTAGAAGCTGTCTCCAATGATAGAACTGATGCTGTATCACCTACCTGAGTCTGTTGATGTTCAGCATAGTGTTGAGACTGAAGATCCCGCTGCCATCTGGGTGGGACCGTGGTGGGGGAAATGTGTAGCTGACAAGAGAAAACCGAGGCACCACAGAAGTCAACTTCTTTCACCTCTTCTGCTCTTGAGAACTGCTTGATGTCCTTTGCCAGACTCAGAGGGATGTCCTGCACCTCTGTGCCAACTGGGAGGGAAACCTTTTGTCATGATTGCTACAAGTCAAATCACAGAATTATAGAATCACAGAATGGTTTGTGGTGGAAGGGACCTTAAAGCTCATCCAGTTCCAAACCCCTGCCAAGGGCAGGGACACTTTCCACTAGCCCAGGTTGCTCCAAGCCCATCCAACCTGACCTTGAGCACTGCCAGGATGGGGCAGCCGCAGGTTCTCCAGGCAACCTGTGCCAGTGTCTGAACATCCTCATAGTAAAGATTTTCTTCTTAATGTCTAATCTAAATCTCCTGTTTCAATTTAAAATGATTCCCCCTTGTCCTGTCCCTACATGCCCTTGTAAAATGTCCCTTTCCAGCTTTCTTGCAGACCCCTTTAGGTATTGGAAGAGATGACCAGGATCATGTCACACATCATGTAGGTGTAATAAAAGAGACAATAAATTTGAAATCATTTTCTAAACCACTGTGCCTGTTCTTCCATCTCTATAGCAACTACATAAATAGATCTGTCTCGGAGATTAATTTGAGGGTATTTTTAATGTCTCTTCGCATTCGGGTGTCTGATTGAAACCTGCATTAGTATACTTCTTCAGTTCTTTAACTTGAAGAATGCTGTTGGTTGTTCAATTGACCTGCCTTTTGAATGTGATAAGTGAATACACTGCGTGATATTTTTAACATACATGCTAGAATTGGGAAGATCTGTGTGAGCAGATAACTTGTGCAGGCATTGATGTGAAAAATGTCTGCATATGAGCTGTCTGGAGCATCAGTCAGCCCTTTTGTGGAGTCTGGAGCTGCTAATGAAGCTGTTCTTCCCACATCCTTTTGCTCACGAGCATGAGAAATGAGACTGTGTCTTGCTTTTGGCTGCTTATCTGTATCCAGGGGATCTTCAGAAGCCAAATTTTAGAAAAATTAATCTCAATGTGCATCAGTTTGCAGTAAAAGAAAGCATTTGTAGGGGTGCGAGTGTAGGGCATTTGTCTAAACAAAGGGAGTTCAAATAAGAGAAAATACATATTATACATGGAAAAGAAAATCTGCTTTGTGTCATTGTTTCTGTCCAGAAACAGGTCACCAGCAGCAGTAATGGTGAAGAAGAGCTGAACTGCAGAAACTGGTATTTCAGTGTGCCCTTAAAAAAATGCTGTTGAGATTTTTAGTTCACATGAAGTTGACCTGTCTTTTTTTTCTCTTTTATGCCAATAGTTTTGATTACTGGTGGGAGGAGGGAGAGGTGTGTGTGCTTCAATGGGGTGTTCACAAGTGGTTTAGGCTCCAAATGAGATTTTCCATGTAGCACTTATAACGTTGGAAAGCAGGGAGTTAGGGAGTCATATTTCCTGACACTGATAAGAGGAACAATAATCTGTCTGATAATAGGGAAAACTCGTGAGAGAGAATAGCATTCCGATTTCAATTAGATGTATACATCATGTATGTGCTGTGCATGGACCCTGGCTTGAATCACAGTTGATCACAGGTTAATACCTTTGGTTTTGTTGCTGCACCAGCAGAGTTTCGTTTTAACTCAGTATTGAAAATGAGAATGCTGCAGAGTCGCATCTGTTAAATCCTGTTGCATTTACACAGAGTTGGTGCCTAGAGCACCTTTGTAAAGATGTCTGTAAAATATTCTGAATGAAATAATCTGTTGGAAGACAGAAGATTAGAAGGTTGTGGCAAAGAAGAATAAAAATAATTCAAACCAGTGACAAAAGGAGCTCTTGTGCTTCTGAAATGGACAGGATTTTCACATGGAGATAGCTTATGAGATTAGTATTGCCCAGCCTTGCTTGGTTAGTGCTTGCTTGCTTACATGCAACCAAAGAACAAGTGGTTTATGTAAATACATTTTTAAGGGGTAAAATGTTACTCGGTCACCTTTTGCTATTGTTAAACTTGGCTAACTTTAATCATAAGTACTAAGTTTATAGCACATTTGTAGGTGTAAGAAATGGGATCGTTTTTATCGTGTATCGAATATATATGCGTCTAAAGACAGCATCTTAAGTACTGGCCTTTCTTTCCTTGCCTATTAAACAGGTTTTTTGAATACTTACTGAATTGCTACATTATTTTCCTATATAATATGCACTTACATAGGAAAGAGGTATATCTCTTTCAATACCATTTATTTGGCTGCAAGCCACTGTACATTATTTGGAGGCCTGTGTGATTGTGTATTTCCTTTTTGCTGACAGGTGATAAATCCAATGGGGTGGGATGCATTCGGTTTACCAGCAGAAAATGCTGCGGTTGAACATGGGCTTCACCCTGCAAGCTGGACACAAAGGTAGTTTATAATGAATTTAAGTAATACGACGTTTCCACTGAATACCTGTACTGTGGCCCTCATAAACCAACAAAACAGAGCAAAACCAGTGTAGGAGTAGAAGAAATCCAGTACAGAAAGAAGCAGGATTGTTTACCAGTGTTTTATGGGACTTTGCAGAGGAATCCGTTTTGAAAAATAAATGTATCAGGATGATTTTTAAGGTTTTAATCTCAGTGGATTTTAAATCGTAAGAACGTAGAATATTGAAAGAGTGACATTTCCCAAACACCCAAATCAGCAAGTAAGAAATAAATCAGAATTTCATTATGATGAGGTAAATCTTAGTGTGGAATACACAGTTGAAAATTGAGCCATGTGGTTAGGTTTATTAGCAGTTTCAGTACCATGCAAAAGAGAAAAAGGATAGTTTGCATTTGAAACTGGGTTTTGGAAAATGATAAGCAGAATTCAGTGTTATGTTCCCCCAATATTGATTTAAATTAATAGTTTTTATAAATGGCTCGGAAACCGATCTTAAGGGAAGCCCTTTGTCGTGCTCTGGATGCAGTAACGTGGCTGTGGTAACATTCTGGATCTTTATCCATTTCCTTCTTCGATAGTGCTTCTGGTCCCACATCAAGATACTTGATACTTTTCCAACAAAAATAGGATGGCAATTGACTTAATTTAGGGAGAACGCATATGTGCATCACACACAAATTCTGAGTTAGTTATGCTGATTTAAATATTTCCTTTATGGTTTAGATAAGAGCGTGTGTGAGAACCAGTTACTATCAAGACACAAAACCCTGTTTTTCTTTCTTTTGAGAGAGTCTGCAGAGTCACCACGCACAGCTGACTGAGTTGAATTGGCTCAAAAGAAAAGCAGTGAGCATGTGGGGCAGAGACTGCAATAGCAGAAAACCATATCAGCTCAGCCTGTTTCATCTTATCAGTTTGTCTAGGTCATATCAAAAAAGCATGTGGCAGAGCACAGCCTGAGCTGATTCTCTTCTGCTGTTCTCTGTGCTGTCGTGTTTTGCTCTTTTCTTGTAAATGAGTGTGCATTGTTCCATGCACTTAAAGTAGTTCAGGTAGTAGTTACAAGTACCAGGTCTTCTATACTGGAAGAAAATCTTGCATTGAAAATTTCCTTAGTCCTGAAGAGAGTGATAGTCTAGTTTTAAGCTAGATAACAATATATTATAGCAACAGACTGAGAAAAGTTAGCATATCATTGTTGGGACCGATTATAATAACATCCAAATAGAAAATTATTTACATACCTATTTGCATTTTGATTGTGCTAAGGGAGTTGGTTCACCACGCAGGCAGTTTAAATTCTGACCTCTGTAGTAACTGCTGTCTCCTGTCTTCTCCACTGCCCCTGTCCTGAATGTTTCTCATGCCTGCAGCAGGGAGGACTGAACTGAACGTGGAACTGTGATGGTGTGATAGCAGTCTGATATGCTCTGGTTACCCCTGGTGCAGAGCCAGCCACCCCTGTAAAAGGAGGCACACTGTAAGCCTTTGAGCTTAGTTATTCCAGGAGTGAGCAACCAAATTTCAGAGCATCCTAATTTTCTCAAGAGGTGATTTAAAATGCTCAAATTGACTATTACTTCTTATATTCTCAAAGTTAAGAAAAAAACCCCAGCCCATAAACTACGTTGAAGACTGAGTTATTTATAGAAAATACAGAAACTTCTGTTATTAAGAGTTAGTATAGTGGCAGAAGTTTGAAAGTACATTGAAATTTGAATTATTTTTATTATTGGTACAGTTCATTTTGAATGGGACTTTAATATAAGCAGTACTACTGAAAGGATGGCTTCTCCCAGTGGAAGCTGTGAGTCCATTAAGAGGATTTCCTGGTATGCATACCAGGAGAGGTGTACAGCAGGTCTTGTGTAAATGGGGCTCTGTGGCTGTTAGTGCTGGATGCTTGCATTACTCAGTTACAGTTACTCAGCAGTGCAAGTTTGTGGTGGATGAGAATTAAATGCTGGGCTTCATGACTGTCAAATTAGCCACTGTGAGGCTAGGTGATGCTTTACCTGACATAATGCATTTTAGTAGAAAGTTAAAAGTCTATAAAAAATGTTAAGCAATTCACAGCAGCTCGCTGGTTAATACCCCAAAAACTGCAAACTGGTAAACCGCCTTTAGTACACTTTCAAGCTAAAGCTTCACTGTATGTTCTGATGTATCTTGTTTTGCATTTTAATGTAACCCATATGGGGTAAGCTCTATCCCTACGGTTTTGTAGTTGACTTAAGTTCATGGCTGTGCTGCCACCAGGAGTTTATGGCTTCCTTGTCACCTCCCAGCACACATGTTCCCACCACCTCCTTTGCGTTGGCTTTGCTGTTTTTGTAGCCACTGTATTGGCTTGATCAGCCTGTTAATCAGAAGGAAGCAGGAAAACTGGGGAGGATTTTATGGAGCACCTTATGTAGGGCATGTTTTCAGTTGACGAAGAAGCTGATTCCACTCGTCTCATAGGCACACAAACACCAGAGCCAAAGTAAAATATAGCCAGGCTAGCACTGTCAGAATAGAGCAGGATTAAGGTGATGGTGAAAGTGCAGCCTATTGCATTGTGAAGATTTCATAGGACTCAACTGCAGTACAGGTAATTAAAAATAATGAGAAGTGCTGCTTCAGGAATGTTTCCCTCAAACTGTGATACTATATTTGCTTTCCAGTTACGCTCAGATCAAGAGAAGAGAAATGGTTGTCTTGTATAATACACAGTATTGAAATTGAACTAGAATACACTAGGGACTTTGAAAAGTTTTGAGTATTCTGGCAGTTCCTTGAGTGTGACTTCTAGTAAGATAATAGTGTTGTTTAGAGGTTAATTAGTGCTTTTGATTTCTCAGAACTTTATAAGCATCTGATTATAATCACAGCAGAAGTGTTTTAAGTTAATTTTGTATTATTATTTTGCAGCAATATCCAACACATGAGAGAACAGTTTGATGCGCTAGGTCTGTCTTTTACATGGGAAAGGGTAAGATTTTCTTTTCTAAGGGATTCTGCTTTATTTTATTGTGTGATGGAACATTGAAAAGCATTCAGTTTCACTATTTTACATATGGCAATATAGAAGCCTTTGAAAGTGACCAGTTTAAGTTGTCAAACTGTAAAATAGGTCTTATCTCAAGCTTTTTACAGCTTTGGACACACTGGTATCACCTGAGAAGGTCAAGGGTTAGGAGAATCTTTAATTTCAGTTTTTCATTTGTGTTGCGTTTTCAGCTCTTTCAAAGTAGCAGTGTTCTGTCTTAGAAGGTAAGCAGTAGTCTGAATAGATAATGTATGAAACGGCATATGTTTAAGGGGTATGTGTTTTGAGGAGTGCTTTTTTCTATGTGCCTGTATTTAGAATATACTCAAGAGTTGAAAGCTAGTAACTTGAAGTGGTGGTTTGGTTCTGTTATTCTGAATTTGGATCATAAGCCTGCATTTTTGTAGGTGTTCCTATCATGACCATTCTGGAAAATACAAATTTTATCTAAATACATTAGTGCCTGAGAATCAGGTGTTCATCTTAAAACCTTACCAAATACAAGCTAATGTCATTAGACATAAGCTAATATAATTTTCAAGATAAAAAGATATCAATTTTTAAGCAATTGTTGGGTTACCTCATTTACAGTATCAAAGTGAATCAAACTACCTTTACATTCTCAGCAATAACTGCTGCTTATCACCTTAATATGCTTCTGAATAGAGTGTTAGGGATGCTAATCTTGGAATTTTATAGCAGTATTGTAGATCTGAAAAGGAAAAGGATTAGTTTTCTGGCACTCTGAGACCTGCCAGCTGTTTTCTTTAATCTTGAGGGTGAATCTTACATCTAAAAAACTATATTTTAACGTATCATATATATGTCAAGATTTTTTAGTAAGATTTTAATTTTCTTGGTAGCCAAAAAGCTGCTCTGAAAAGATTTGTTGAGGAAGGGTCACTGCACACATTCTTGACAATTATTTTCTTATATTTAAAACTGTTGGTATCTCAGATTTTCTGTATGTGTAAAACAGCAATACTTCACTACTGAAATCATACTTGTGGGCTGTATTATGGAACACACCAGAGTTGAATGTTATAGATTGCCTTTCAAGAAAAGTAACTTTTATTTAACCCTTCCACTCAGAAGAGGTTTAGAGCTGGCAGTACTGAATAAGTACATAAAGAAAAGCCCCTTGTCAAGTCTATGCCTTTTCTTTGAGGCTTCCTTCACTTTTCTAGTGAACCATATTTTGGTTAATTAACTTTGATTTCTGAATACTTGTGAGAAGTGCCTTGATGCTTTACAACAACCCCATTTAAACGGTAGTGAAATTGAAATAGGGGTAGGTAGTTAATGTTTTGGAAAAGTAAAATTTTGAAACGGCTAAAAAGTGTTCCCCAAAACACAAAGAAGTTTGGAAAATTAGCTGTGAGTTATGCTACCTAGAAAGCCTGCCTTATTAAGTAAGTGTGACCTGAATGGTAACCATTAGAAATAGATGCGTTTTTTCATTGCAAAAACTGTATGATGTCTGAAATATATCTGTATTATGTGGTCTCTAAATGCACAGATGCTTGAGCTAGCCATGAAAGACCTACCTTTGGAAGCAGAATGGCTAAGCTGTAGCGAAGTGAATTTTCCAGGCTGGTAAAGCCTTTTCTTTGCAAGGCTAATTAGGCTGGGCAGAACATCTTACTGCCTCAGTTGTAGTGCATCTGGGCTAGCTCAAGCATCTTTGTAGATATTTATCTTAAAAGTGAACTCTTTGAGGTAAGGCATGTTTTTATGATTATTCTATACTTGCGTGGCGCTAAAGCAGTGGCTTGCAAGATACTGTGGCCATGCAAACAAATCCACTAATGCTGGTTGAAAAATGAAAGAAAAACACTTTTTATATGGGTTAGTCTAATTAACCTGTTATACAAAATGGGAGCTTGTTTTTAATTTCATTTCATTGGTGTTGCTTAATGCACTCCTTCATTATGTTAGTACTTAGGAAATATATGCTGGAAGGAGCCCATTCCTCTATGGTAGATCTCTATTAGATTTCTTCACAGAAAAGGTGTTCAGGCATCGGAACAGACTGCCCAGGGCAGTTGTGGAGTCACCATCCCTGCAAGTGTTCACACACTGTGTAGATGAGGCCCTCAGTGCCATGGGTTAGTGGTGGCCTTGGCAGTGCTGGGGAATGGTTGGACTTAAAGGATGATCTTAAAGGTCTTTCCCAACCCAGTTGATTCTGTGATTCTATATCCTTCGCAAGTCTTTCACCCTAGAAGTTTAGAGTCTTACCCCGTACTCCACCCTTTCTGCTACACACACTGTCTCCATCAGGAGCCGGGGCTCCTCAGAGCTGTTCTGCTATCCTCCTGTATGTATTGCCTTAGCTGTAGGTCTGCTTGCTCTCTGCAGCCTGCTCCAAGCTGCCATCTGCTTTTCACTGCTGAGCAACAGAGGCAACCTGGCTAAGGCAACTTCTTTCTAGTTTTAGAATCATAGAATAGTTTGGGTTGGAAAGGACCTTCAAAGGTCATCTAGTCCACCCCCCCAAACAGATTTGCTATTTCCTAGGTGAGGCAGCTGTGATTATTTCCATTCATCTTCTGTTCTTATATCTTTATCCACATTGATTTTGTAGAAGTTTTAGATTCCATGTTAACAGGTAAACTTCTCTTTGCACATCAAACCCACTGTCGTGGTTTAAACCCAGTCAGGTAATTCGTTTGCTCACTTCCCCCCCTTTCTCGCCCTCCCCCTGCTCTCGGAGGGACGGAGAGGAGAATCAAAAGAATGCAACTCCCACGGGTTGAGATAAGAACAGTTTAGTAACTAAGGTATAACACAGATCACTACTGCTACCACCAATGATAATAATGATAAAGGAAATAACAAGGGAACAGAATACAACACCTCACCACCCGCTGACTGATAACTCGCCCCCCAAGCCCGACCAAGCTCCGACCGATACCTCCTCCAACCCTGCAGTCTCCCAGCCCTTCCGGCTAACTCCCAGTTACATACTGGGCATGACGTGCTGTGGTATGGAATACCTCTTTGGTCAGTTTGGGTCAGGTGTCCTGTCTCTGCTTCCTCCCAGCTTCCCCTCCTCCCTGGCAGAGCATGAGGCTCACAAAGTCCTTGGCCAAACCAAAACATCTCTATCAGCTCTGTTCCCGAGCCGAAAGTCAAAACACAGCACTGCACCAGCTACCAAGGAGGAGAAACATGACTGCTACTGCTGAACCCAGGACATTATCCACCCCTTATTCCATACCATTCACGTCATGCTCAGATCCCACATTTTCAATATACCATCACTCTTATCTCGGTGCACTCTTATCTTAGTGCATGGACCAGTCCCTATAAAGCTGCTGCGTCCATCTGGTCCATGTCAGGCTCCATCTCTTGTAACAGTCTTCCAGAGCAGGAGAGACTGTGTGCAGTGTTCACACTCGGGCATAACCTGGGCAATAGTGTCCATTGTTAAGTCCACCCCTCGATCATGAGTCCATCTCTGTGTTGCATCTCTGCTCTGATGGCCTGAAGTGCCATGGGCCCACCAGGCTTAAAATAATTCACTGTCCCCTTAAGCAGTTTCTGCAGCTTGTTGCTGGGGACTCCATACAGCTGCCTTCCATCTCCGACGCTTCCAAAGCACTGGAGGGGCCCAGTGGACTAGATACTTGCCCATACTGTCCCACACACCCTGCCACTCATGACTGTCCAGCCTTGGGGAAAACCTCTTGGTCCCCCTATATTGTCGTCTAACCCCAGACAAGACCCAAACCTGACTCTGCTTAACTTTTGAGATCAGACAAAATGGTTGTGGGTAGAACACAGCCTGTGTGTGTGCCAACATGCTGATCCCCATCACAATCAGCAGGCAGGTCCCAAGGATACCCAAAGGCCATTCGAAACCTTCAGAACTCTCAAACGATGCTGCTGTACTTGTCACTGGGGCTGGTGTAGCTGCTGTGCTTGCCGGCTCTCCCACCACCGGCTTCTCTTTTCCTGAGTCCAGCTCTTCCTCCTCTGCCTTGATGGGAAATGCTGCGTGGTCTCCTGCATCCTCCTGAGGCTCGGCGGGTGGCCGCCGGGGAATGCTCTCGGCCGTCGCGGGGCTGGGCTCCTCCGCGGGGCTCGGCTCCTCCGCGGGGCTCGGCTCCTCCGCCGCCTTCTCCCGCTGCTCGGCAGCCGCTTCCTTCTGCTCCTCGACCTCCCCGACCTCCTCCACCGGCAGCCGTCCCCTCGCGGCCTCCGGCCCCGCTCCCGCCGCCGCTTGGTCCCCGGGGCCGCTCTCCCGGGCCGGTTCGGCTGCCGCCGGCTCCCGGGGCCGCTCCCCCTCAGCTCCCTGCAGCCTCACGAAGATGGAGAGTAGGGCGAGGGCCAGGCCGGTGAAGAGCAGCCGGACGGCCAGGTACAAGTCCACGGCCACGTCCGTCCCGCCCTGCTGCTGGAGCCCACCCGTATTACAAGCCATTGCCATAAAGCACAGTGAGACGAGAACCTTAGCCCAGGCCCCATACTTGATAAACACTAACACAGCAAATACCGGCTCTACGTAAGTTACAACATTCTGAAGCTGTGAGATCAAGAGAAACAACTCTGAGAGCCAATAAATCGTCATTGTGAAGAGTGACTAATAATCCTGTCAGATCTGTCGTTATCTCAACCCTTCGTGCCCCACGTTGGGCGCCAAAAAGAACTGTCGTGGTTTAAACCCAGTCAGGTAATTCGTTTGCTCACTTCCCCCCCTTTCTCGCCCTCCCCCTGCTCTCGGAGGGACGGAGAGGAGAATCAAAAGAATGCAACTCCCACGGGTTGAGATAAGAACAGTTTAGTAACTAAGGTATAACACAAATCACTACTGCTACCACCAATGATAATAATGATAAAGGAAATAACAAGGGAACAGAATACAACACCTCACCACCCGCTGACCGATAACTCGCCCCCCAAGCCCGACCAAGCTCCGACCGATACCTCCTCCAACCCTGCAGTCTCCCAGCCCTTCCGGCTAACTCCCAGTTATATCCTGGGCATGACGTGCTGTGGTATGGAATACCTCTTTGGTCAGTTTGGGTCAGGTGTCCTGTCTCTGCTTCCTCCTGGCTTCCCCTCCTCCCTGGCAGAGCATGAGGCTCACAAAGTCCTTGGCCAAACCAAAACATCTCTATCAGCTCTGTTCCCGAGCCGAAAGTCAAAACACAGCACTGCACCAGCTACCAAGGAGGAGAAACATGACTGCTACTGCTGAACCCAGGACACCCACACAAAGCCCATGTTCTCTGATTTTGTATGCAGGTGAATATCGCTCATTATAGACATTAGACAAATGGTGGCTGTACATAAATACATACCCAAACAAACATTTATGTGTTCTCAGGAGTGTTAACATAATGTTAATTAAGTTAAAATGCTGTAAGAAAATAGTTAAGAATAGTTCCAGGGATTTTTATTGTACTTTATTTCTACAGGAGCTGACCACTTGCTCACCAGAGTACTACAAATGGACACAGTATCTCTTTCTCAAGCTTTTTGAAGCTGGGATAGTGTATCAAAAAGAGGTAGGTACAAACTTTGACCGTACTTTACAGGTACACTAATGCAAATCACTCATGTCAGTGGCTCACTTCTGGATCATCCATTCACATTCATTAAGTGGATTTTCCTCTACTGGTTTTAAATCTCTGCAAAATGGGATTAATTTTATATGTAACTGAATTATATATGTAACTAAATTTTACATGTAACTAACATGAATGGGTGTTGTAGCAAGTCAAATCAGAAAGATTTATTGTTGGTGATTTATATTGAAGTGTGGGATCCAAATATCGCTCTGTTAGTTTATTTCATGGCTTTAACACGGATTATACTAGATCACGACTTCCCTCCCGTGAAAGCATATAGGATAATGGGATCATTAGGGGTCTCTTCAGCAGTGAGATTATTTAACTGTGTAACATTAGTGTGATATAGTCTCAAAATTGATAGGATAACTGGAGATTTTGTGCCTAACTATCCAATTCCTGGAACCTATTTGTGATCTCTAAAATATTATGGAAATATTAGAAGTTACAGGCCATCACAGCTGTTTATCTGTTAGCAGTACATTAAGAAATTATTTACCTTGTAATATTTTCTAAATTACATATATCAGGCTATCTGAAAAGGGAAGGGTTCAGCTAACTTCTTAGGGAGGAGGTGAAACAAAGACGTTAAATGAGCGTTCCAATGAGCTCTCTGCATAGCCAAGGCAATGCAGTTCCAAAATACCTTAACAGCTGTGCCTAAATGAAGCTGAAATTTAATGAATGTTTCTAACTTAAAATAGAAACTAAAATTTCTTAAATATGCCTTGACATTTCATTTGTATTCTGTAGAAACCAGGAAACCTGATAGGATGTAATCAGGGATGTACTGTAATTATTCTCTGAACCCAGCAAAAGAAACTGATGGTGAAAGATGGCATTTGGAATAGAAGGGTGTTACTGAGGTACTTCTCCTGTTTTTGTAGGCAGGGTGTCTTCAGAGATCTTAAATGGCAACCTGCAGAAAGATTCAATAGTTAATGGCATAACATGCTGGAGCACCAATTTCATAATGTGTTGTAGCATTACTGAAGAAGCTGTGTTTTCTGAAATTCTAGAAAATAGGTCGAGAAAATAGTAATAGTAGAATATATTGATTGTTTGTAATTTCCCAGTGAATTTTCAGAAGCCTTTTATAAAAGGTATGGTGTGATATTACTGGTAGGTCACAGATAAAAGAGAGGCAAGTGTAAAAAGTTTAAATGGATGTTATGAAAAATGCAGAAAATTCAGAGGCCCAAGGGCTGTTTCTGGATCATTCTTTTGGTATCTGAAGTTTGAAATAGCTGCTGAAAATATTAATTCTTCCTGCAACATTTTTTAGGCCTTGGTGAATTGGGATCCAGTGGATCAGACTGTTCTAGCTAATGAGCAGGTGGATGACAACGGTTGCTCATGGCGTTCAGGAGCAAAAGTGGAACAGAAATACCTCAAACAGTGGTTTATCAAGACTACAGCTTATGCAAAGGTATGAGAATACAGTTTGGGGACCTTATGCTGTAACTTAAAAGAGGTGACTTTTCATCCAGAAGTATTTATCAAGCTGAATGTGGTCTTCAATATACTTACATGTTTGTGTAATATGTAGTTAAATAATAATATAGAATCATAGAATAGTTAGGGTTGGAAAGGACCTTAAGATCATCCAGTTCCAGCACCCCTGCCATGGGCAGGGACACCTCACACTAAACCATATCACCCAAGGCAATGTCCAGCCTGGCCTTGAACACCGCCAGGGATGGAGCATTCACATCTTTCCTGGGCAGCCCATTCCAGTGCCTCACCACCCTCATAGTAAAGAATTTCTTCCTTATATCCCGTCTAAACTTCCCCTGTTTAAGTTTTAACCCGTTACCCCTTGTCCTATCACTACCATAAATATGCGTGGACTATCCCTGGGTATGCATGTATATAAAAATTATAATTCCTGAAATCTAAGTAATTGGTATGGGATTAAGTTTCGAAGAAATCAAAAAGCATAAATTAAAGGTGGGTGAACTAATTCTGCATTCACACGTTGTCATCCCATATGTACCATCAAGTGCTCTTCTGCATATTTTAGGTGTCTAGCTGTGCAATCACTGAACTAGAAACTTGTTCACTTAGTCAACCTGTTGGACTTATGGGCATGGCATAAGCAGTGAAGATTCATTGGACCTTCTGGTTTACTTTATTTCATACCCTCTTTGATTTTCTGTAACTTAAAAAATTTTCCATGTTATTTAAACACTGGATTTTGTTATGAGCTCAACTTTTGATTGTGATGGAACAGTGTAGCTTCCACACCATTGGTTCTTCAACAAAATTTAGGGCTTTATGCTCTCTGAAGTGGAAGTATCAACTTCCTGTTTTATCTGGGTGGAGTTTTTATTCCATGTGAGCTTTCTTTGTGTTGAGACTTCAAGTACAGATTGAGAAAGCTATTCCCAAGGAAATACAAAAGTTCATCTTTGACCCTAATCTTTGATCTGTAGTGATAGGACAAGGGGTGATGGGTTCAAACTTAAACAGAGGAAGATTAGCTTAGATATAACAAAATACTTCTTTACTGTGTGGGTGGTGAGGCACTGGAATGGGTTGCCCAGGAAAGTTGTGAATGCTCCATTCCTGGCAGTGTTTAAGGTGTGGCTGGACAGAGCCTTGGGCGACATGGTCTAGTGGTGTCCCTATCCAAGGCCAGGGGATTGGAACTGGATGATCTTAAGGTCCTTTCCAACCCTAACTGTTCTATGATTCTGTGACCCTTTTCCTGAGCCTCAGATTCAAGTGAACAAATTTCCACCACCATCTAGGGAGAAGAAATCCAGGTCTCACACTAGGTCCATTCATAATAAAGATAAAAACTTTCTAAATCCTTCCCGATGCTTTGATTCTTCATACACAGCCAGCCAAGGTACTTCAGATGCATGTTTTCTGACTGTGCTGCCTGTTCTGTTCACCAGTACAACTTTTCTTGAATGCCTTTGCTGTTCAGAGACTTCACATATTTGTGCTTCTAATGATAAATGAGTACAACAGTTAGGTTCTTTATGGGCCTTGCTTCTCTTTTTCCTCGGTTGGTTGGGCTTACCATGAATGTGTGTGTAGTACCTTTTCTACAGTTATTTTCAGGCACCTGAAGGCTCAGGATGCTGCAGTAGTAGAAAGCATTTTTATCCAAGCTGGGCTCAGATGTTGAAGGTACTTAAAGTACACTTAGTGAATTTGCTAACCCTTCATTCTTCATGCAGGTCACCAGCTGGCAATAATGGCTGAATGTGTAGGCATACACTTCACTTTCTGCTTGGAGCATCCACAAATTATTGTTGTAACTATTTAACCTATTTATACTGCATATTGATGACATTGTTAGTCATCTGTGTTCCTCTCCTTCACCCATTTATCATTTCATGGTTTTTCCTATATCTCACAACCTGAATAAAAAGTAAGGGTAAATCTTCATTTGCAATGCTTAACTACTAGTCAAATAATAACAAGGACTTTTGTGATCAGTAATGGGCTGTGAAGTCATCTCCTGTGTTAAAGGAGTCAGTGTTTCATTCCTACACACACTATTTTTAGATATCTGTTGTGTCCAAATCTTCTGTGAATTTGCTTTGATTTCTTTATTGTTACTGCGCCAGCTCTTGAAATACAAAATGCAAACAAAGCAAGCAGTGTTGGCTCACATTGCACTTTACCATTGGCAATGGGTTCATTTCAAAGGGCAAAATATTGGCTGTGATTTAAACACCTAGCAGAAAGCATTTTGGTTGTGTGAAGTAAGAAAGTTGCCATGACCCCCTTTTTAAACTGTGAAGTACATCTGAAATGCTCTAGCAGCTATTTAGATTCAAGTGCAGTGCCTTAACTGATGGCGTTGTTATACAAATTGTTGTGTGTGCATTTAAGATGTTTAAGCCAAAATACTTAGTTGCTATGGTTACCCAAGTGAATCTGTAGGCAGATTCATTGGAAAAATCTATCTGGAAATGTTAGTATTTTCTGTGCATACCTGTAAATGGGTGTTATGGGTATTTTATGCAGTCAGCTGAGTCCTCAAATCGGAATCTGTAAGGCTAGTCTTTGCAGAGTCCCTGTTCTTGCTAAATTGATTTTATACAATATTTTTTCATATTTTACTTTTCAAAAATCATCCAAATAACTGAAAAATTATCTTTTTTTTTTAACAAAATAAAGTAGAAACAACTTTGAAACCTCAAGTTTTTGCCTTAAATCATCTCAATTTTTTTCACAGCGACAAGTTAGTATATGTGTGTTTAATATAAATACTGGAGGAAGTGGCAGAGCCTACAGAATTCTGCCACTCTAATTGACCGTTGCCATGCAGATAGGTTTCTTCATTGTTTTTTTGTTTTCTGGTTGGGTTTTTTTGTCCAGACATTTAGAACACAAATCCTTCTCCTACTCTGTGGAATATGAGGAACTTGGAGGTTTCGCGTTGCTGACTTTGTGAATCATGGAATAACCAGGCTGGAAAAGCCCTTCAAGCTCACCCAGTCCAACCGTTCCCCAGAACTGCCAAGGCCACCACTAACCCATGGCTTACATCACCTCATGACTGAGGCCTCGTCTCCACGCTGTGTGAACACTTGTAGGGACGGTGACTGCAGCCCTGCCCTGGGCAGCCTGTTCCAATGCCTGAGCACCCTCTGGGGAAGGAATTGTTCCTCAGCTCCATCTAAACCTGCCCTGGTGCAGCTTGAGGCCGTTTCCTCTTGTCCTGTCCCTTGTTCCTTGGGAGCAGAGACCGACCCCACCTCACTACAACCTCCTGTCAGGCAGTTGTAGGGAGGGATCAGGTCCTCTCTGAGCCTTCTCCAGACTGAACCCCCCAGGTCCCTCAGCCTCTCCTCACAGGACTTGTTCTCTAAACCCTTCTGAATACCTCTGAATTTGCATCAGCAGCAGTATAAGAATACCTCATCCTATGTTTTTTCCAGGACCTTATCATTTTACTGTTAGTTACAGTTAAAACCACAGTCTTAATTTGTATGCTTACAAAAGCTGAACGTCCTCATTCTTTCTTTTTTTGCGTCAGGCTATGTTTGATGCTTTGTCCGACCTCCCTGAGTGGTACGGTATAAAAGAAATGCAAGCAAATTGGATAGGTGATTGTGTTGGATGCTTTCTTGACTTCTTGCTAAAGGTGAGTCAAATTTCAATGAAGCTGTCTTGGTTGGGCTAATCACAGCCCCTAAAATGTATGATGGAAATGGATTTTCAGATCTAGATAGCTTGAAACGTACTAAAAGAGATTAATTTACGTTCATGCCCACACCAGCACAGATTCCTGAAGAACACCAGTTGTGGGTTTAAGAGATACTCCCTGCTACCCTCTTTTAGGAAGGGTTTGTGTTCAGGTGCAACATCAGATGCAAATTGGCTGTGTGTATTTATGCCAACTAATACTAAAAGCCAGGACATTTAGGGGAGTAGTGCCAAGAGCGGTATCAAATGGCATTGCACAAATCAGCTGGATCCTAGTTGGGCTTTCTCTCCTCTGCACAGCACCTTCTGTGTCAGATCCGGGCTGACCTCAGGTAAGTCACTTTACTTACATTTGTCCATTATTTCATTTACTACATAATTATTTCAATTACTACATAATTAAAATGATGAAAACCAGTCAGTTAGGTAGTGATGGACCTACAGAGAAGTCTAGGTAGAAAGAAAGGAGAGGAAGGAAAAAGAAACCTTAAAAAGCTTATAGTTATCTACAGAAGGACTTCAGATTTTCCCATTTTTCTTAAGGGATGCAAAAGGCTTCTTGAATATGATCATGACAAAAGAGATTTTCAGAGACCCTGATGGAATTTCAGCCCTTGTGCTTCAAAGCTTTATTGTGCTTATTTTACTCTGCTCAAATGTTTTAGAGTTAACTCCTTATTTTAAAATACTGAATTTTGGGGAACTTCAAATAGAGACAGCTTAAATGTTCTTAATACCTCTGAATTGTACACTGCTAGGTGCATTTTTGTATTTAAGTTGGTTTAACAGTTGTTTCTAAAAAAGGTGTATAAATGTTTTGTAGAAAAATCTCTAAGACCACGATAAGCTCCACAGTTAGTTGACCTAAAATATAAAGCCTGTTGATAGTAATTTGCCAGGAGGTAATTCTTAAGCAGTCTTGTAAGTTTATTGCCTATAATTTTTGTCCAGTTGTTTTAATGTTCTGCCACCTTTTATTATTCTTGTATGTAAGTTGCAGCATTGACTTCACCAGAGAAGTGTAGTGGGAAGCCTGGTAACTGGCAACATCTGAAATCCTCTTTAGATTTCAGAGGTAACATAATTTCTGTTTCTTGGAAACAAGGCATGCATATTAAAAGTGAATAGGATTTCAGGTTACTTAACTAAGGATTGAATCTAGCTCAGTAGCACAACGTAATATTACATATGATTTTAGAAAGAAAAAATGTAGATGTTTTTGGATAAATTGAGGCAAGGCTGCAAAGGAACTTTCTCAAGGTTTGATTCTGGAAACTCCCTGTAGTGGGAATGCATCTGGCTCCGATACTGAGAACTGTCTCTTTCTGTAGAGTGATGTAGATTTGTTAAATGTATAAAAAGGAAGGGGAATCTAAAACCACTGCACTTCCAATGGGAAATTTTCTGCTCTTTTTCAGGTTGATGGCAAAGTAACAGGAGAGAAGCTAGCAGCTTACACCTATACACCTGAAGCTATTTATGGAGCTTCTCATTTATATATCTTACCAACTCACAGACTATTGCATGGGAATAGCAGTCTCAAGGAAGTCTTCCAGAGGGAGTTCATCCCAGGGAAAGGTGATATTTTTCTCATACAGCATTATTCTATGATTCTATGATTTTATGATTCTAATTTTAAAGGATGATCTTCAGACAGTGTGTGTCAGTCTGAGCAGGAGTTGTTCTTGTTGAGAAGAACAGGTCTTTTGATTCTTTGTATATGTCAAACTGGATCACATCCGCCTGTCCTGGCTACAGGTGTGTTAAGAGCAGCTATGTTAGAAGTCATCCTTTTATAATAGCTCTAACGCTTCGTAGTATATAAAAGCAATGGAACAGATTCTTGTTTCCTCATGTACCAGAAGTGAGTAGTCAAGCTCAGTGTCAGCATGCTGGAAAATCTCACAGCCATATGGTAACTATTCACTTGCACAAAAACAGCAGAACCAACTCTTGCACCAATCATGATCTCATCGTGTCGTAGGGAATATAAGAGGGCAGTAGATCACTAAAGCATAGTGAAGTGGATCGTTGATAGATAGCAAAATAATACTCTGCTGTGCAAATCCTTGGTTAATACAAGACTAATGGAGTAAATTCAGAGTATCTGTATGGCAGGTCATGGCTTGTGCAGAGGATACAAGTAAGTGGTAATTCTTTAACTGGTTTCCTGAAACCTCCTACCACCAATTCTGCATGTCAGCAACAATGGAGCAGGAATCTTGTGGGAAATTGTGGTGGTTGCACAGAACCTGCTTTATTCATTTCTGTATCCTTAAAGTTTGCTTGCTAGCAGAAAGAAATGGAGGCTGAATGTGTTGAGTACAAAGAGCCTTTGTCTCAGAGCTGAGCAGAGGTTGAAGAATTCTTGTTAAGAAATAAAGGGACAAATTTGCAGTTCTTAGAGTTCAGCCAAATCAAAGCACTAACCAGAGAAACACGTATCTATACATGTGCCTGCATCATTGTTGGGTCTTGTGCTTTAGCCAAACCGCGCAAGTGCAAAACTTGGTTTTAGTAAGGACAGTAGTGTATTTTTTATATATTGTTTTTTCATGGAAACACTTGGAAAAGCTTTTTTGTGTCTATTAACAATAAAGTTCACCTTTTGGTTGAGCTAAATTAAGAAATTCTCATTCAGAATAGTGACAGTTGCAAGCCCTTGAAAAAGAGGCACAATTCTAGTAACTCTGCTATTGCTGTGGGCTCCTTCTACTTGTAAATACACTTATGACTTCTTCAGTTGAAATTGGAGGACTTTTCTTACTATTTCTTGAGCATTTCAGAGGCACAGAGTGGTATTTTCCAAAGAAGAGAACACAAGGAGAAGAATTTCTGCATGGACTTTCAGATTTGCATTTCAGCCATGGGACATATGAAGGCATAACAATGGCAATTAAGTAAAAAAGAGATTTTTGGATGGCTTTGAATAGGCCTTATTTTCACATTAATCAAGATTCTGGACAAAAATTCGCCAGTAACATTAACATTTTAATGTAATTGATTATAATTATTTTCTTTTCAACAGGATAGTCTTGCAACTCCTCTTCTTCACTGTGTTCTCATTTAAATAATTAGGAAGGTATGTTTTCATATTTTCTAGGAGAGGAAAAGAAAAGCTGTTGTATGGCAAAGTAACTTGAAGTTCTAATACCTTACTCTTAGGCTAAAAGAGAGAGCTGCACTCTATAATCACTTATATAGAGATGAGCAACCAGTTTTCAAACATTCAGGTTTTCAGCCTAGAAAAATGTATGTAAATTTAGAGTCTGGTAAGTCTAGCTTTGAAAGCATGAGGTGTCTGCAATAATGAACAACCTAAGGGCCGAATGTTTATCTAGTTAAATACTACGCATACATGCTTTTACATTTATAACTGTAGTATCATCTCTTTGCAGCTATTATAATAAAGATGTGAGGAAATGAGCAGAAGGAAGAGTGCCTTCATAAACTGGAGTTATTTTGGGTTCCAGCATAACATCAAAATTATTTCTAGGTGGAAGAGAGAAGTTATGTTTAAGAGCAGACTGTCCTGCCTGCTCAGCTTCCTGTTCAGGAGGCTTTTGAAAGAGTGAAATGATTCCTTTTGTACTTTTTTAAGCAAAGGAAAGGAGCTCTGTGCACTGATTTGAACGTGAGAGATTTTCTCTAGAATATGGATATCTCAGACACCTGAAATTTGAAAAAGTAGTAATCACAAATAAATACATCATTTATGTTAAGAGTGATGGGATACAGTAGCCCTGTTCTCTACAAAGCTGTTACTATGCTTCAAGCAGCTTTTATGCGTTGCAGTACAAGCCTAAGGCGTTCCTTAGCTCAGCTATGAAGATAGGTGAAAAGAAGCTCTTAGCAGTCTGTATGGCGATTATTTTAATTATAATCAACTTAAAGGCACCAAAAAACTCAGAAACAAATCAAAATCTGGAGGTTGAATCCTCGAAACTTGGAGCATTCAGATTTGATTTTCTTCTTGCTGAGCCACCCTAGCTATGCATGGTAAATCAATTCCGGTTTACCACAGTTCTCATCCTTGATTCTCTTCTCCTGTCTCTCCCCTTCCTTGTGGACATATTCTCATCTCTAATATGAATATTCTGTTTGGAAATCAGTAGATTAGTTGGTTGGGTTTTATCACCCTGGTCAATAGTTCTCATGCTTTGTAGTTCTTTTGTAAGAAGATAGGTGCTCCCCTTCAGTTTCATCTGAATGACTGGATTTATTTTTTGCATAATTTTGTGGTAATGCATTTTAATAAATAACTCAGGGCTTACTAGAGCAAATTCATACAACCTTGCAGCAGGCCTGCATTCGGGTCAAGGACTCAATTTTTTCATTTTAATCCAGATCTTCCTCTGTTTTTTTCAGGTATTTGTTATAAGCATGAGTTTTTTTAGAAATGTGATTAGGCTTTTCATTTTCTTTCTTTTTGAAACAAAAAAGTAATTTGAATTTCATGCATGTTTAAGATGAACTGAGCTCTAACAGTAAGTCATGTTCTTAGCCTGTCATCTATCGTATCTTGCTTACCGCAATCATTCCATTTGTTTTCAGACTCGCTCACTTCAGTGACAGCTGTGAATTTGCTCACCCATCAAGAGATTCCTGTAGTCATCTCAGCAAAACCCAATTTTGAGAATTATCTTGATACTAAAATAGGTATGTGACAATTAATCTGTAAGTGGAGTAGTATAGTTTTCAGTTGCTGTGTTGGAGCACAGGATACTGTAAATCTTTGGACACGGCAGCTCTCTTCTGGACTTTGGAACTCTGTTCTTCATTCCTATTCTTCGTTAATGAAGAAGGAAGGGAAAAGTAGTTATGTGGAATCTATGCAGGGGGAGAAGAGATTTACAGGATGATAAATTTTAATGGAAATATTATAAAATTAGGACATTTAATGAGCTGAATTTGAGGATCTGCATATCTTAAGAAGGTTGATTACCCACAGTGTGCATGCATTTGGCTGTCTCTCGCTGTCCTTAATCAAAAGAGAGCAGCATCGTTGTTTCATGTAAGTATTTTGCGAACAACCCAGACTTCTAGCTCAGTTTGTGTCTTATGCTCTACACAAACTCTGTATCCATGTATCTCTTTCTAACTAAAATTGTACTAACTTCTAAAAATGGTGTCTATTTTAATCTACACCCGCTGAGCTTTTTGATTACTCTTGCGTTTTGCTATGGTCTTACAGGCAATGTTCTGTAGCAGTCCTAATCAGAAACAGTTCTCTATTTTCCCCTTTTCCACTACCTTCCTTATCCCTTAACCCCATTATGTTGTGTCCCTGTTGATAACTTCTTTCCTGCTCTGGAACTGCTACTTGCTTTTGTACACCAGTGCCAATATTGGTTGCCCCTGCACAACAACTGGACTGAAGGGAAGTTGTGAATGCTCCATCCCTGGCGGCGTTCAAGGCCAGGTTGGACAGAGCCTTGGGTAGCATGGTTTAGTGGGAGGTGTCCCTGCCCATGGCAGGGGGGGTGGAACTGGATGGTCTTGAGGTCCTTTCCAACCCTAACTATTCTATGATTCTATGAATAAAACCAGCTGACTGTTCAAAAATGTCTTGGATGACCCTCACAACACTGACGGAAATTCTCCACTTGGGCTGTGGACCTTACTTATAACACGCTTGCATCTTACACTTCAGAAATGAATCTGGTTTTAGAACCAGAATGTTTCCTCATGTAAGAGAAACCAAGTAATTGAGATACCTAACCTTTTTTTTCATTAAAAGCTTCCAGCTTGCTCACTGGCACATACCTTGGCCTTATGTCTGTTGGTAACAGCCCAGCTCTTCCCAGGAAGTTCTGGCTGCCAGCTGTTGAGCTTTGCAAATGTACATAAATAGCATCATCTTTTCAAATGAAGAAAGACCAAAAGTGGGACCTGCTTTTTCCCATTTGTAGAGCAGATTGTGAAGCCACCTATTGCAGGCTGCAGGGCTCTCTGACAAATGAAGACAGATACCTACATTATTCTGTAATAGGGCCTTGAAATGGTGAGAGCCATTTCCATTATAGTTAAGGAGTTTCACAGGGGAGTTTTCCTTAGTTCTCTGCTTCCAAACTTCCATATATTGACAGAGTTAATATATAGCAGGCATTTAATTGCCTGAACAAAGATGATTGTTAAACTGGTTTTGAATGAAGTTGTTGTGTGTTAATAATTCTAAGGGGCTCAGCAATATTTTAAGAGGTTTTCTCTGTAGTTTTCACTGGCTTAATGTTGGCATTAGCTTGTTGGAATAAGTATCTTTGCCTTTTAAAGATGGCAGAATTGTGGAGGATTGTTCCAAGTGTTTCCCTAAAAGGAAAAAATATGCAGAAGGATTTATCTCTGTGGAAAAATAACCAACTGTTAGTATCTCAATGTTGTTTTAGATTACACATGATAATAAAGGTAAGAAATTTCTTAACTCACCCTGAAAGAGTGTCCTCTAAAGTAGAACTATGTATGACAGTCCCAAATAATAAGATGCAAAGGGAAAGATAGCATCAGGGCCCTTAAGGACTGTCTTTATATAACTAACTTGGACAGCAGTAAGAAGTGCTCTCAATTGTTAATTTCTGAACAGAAAATTAACCATATTTGAGTTATTTTCCTGAGTTTATAAAGAAATCCTGTCTTTTATAATGAGTTAAAGGGATAGCAATGTAGAGACTGTTGTGTTGCGATACATCTTCATAAGCTAAGAAAGTAGAAGTGAAATTTCCTGTTGAAACAAGAGGACTGTTTCAGCTGGTATGTTTCTTGTAGTAGCAAATAGGATTCAAATTTGTATTATTTAAATACATAATGTTTATGTAATATAATTATTGAATATTTTATTATTTCTCCAGATTTTGTAGCTTTATTTTTAGGCTTTTTTGGAACCATCAAATTTTCAGCCGTTTCTGAGGTAGGACATTAATGAGCATTTGGATTACAGAGAAACTGAGAAAATGTGTTTCTAATTATTGCTTTAATTTCATTGCTTAAAGAACATGAAAACATTTTTATTGTTCTTAGACTTTCGAAATCCCTTGGGCAAACGTAAGTCATTATAGAGTGTCACTGAAATCAAATGTTCTGTCATCAAACTGATGATTGATATCCATGTTAGTCAATCCCAGAAGTGATTCATTTTTCCTCCCCTCCTAGGAATTCCTAGTACTAGTGCAGAAGATGCTGCAGTTGCTAAGAATCTGGGCATTTCTTTTACTGAAGTCATTGAGACATTGCCAGGTGGTTTGGAGAAAGTCATTAATTCTGCAGAGGTGGGTATACAAGTATGGAGTTCTTTCCAACTTGACGCAAACTGAATGTTTTCTCAAGAGTGCCAAATACTTTGTGTGATTAAAGGGATGTATTTTTTTGTTTGAGAATCGAGCCAGGGTTATGCTACCAAATTTCTAGGAATAATTTAGTGATGAAATATGTTGGCTCTTTTGTAGCAATAAAATGAGTTTTCCTTTTGTACAAGAGGGGAATGTATGTTATTGGACTGAGTTTCAAAATGGAAACTGAATGATTAAACCCACGTTAAAAGTTGATTCTTATTTCATTGTCTCAATAGATTTTTAAGTTAACATATTAGCCCTGTTTCCATGCATTCACTGAAATGTGGTATAAGCCTTTATGTTAACATATCTGCCTGAAGTGACATAAATCTTACTTTTAAACAAGATGTGTTATTGCTCTTGGAAGAATGCATTTGATAGCACACACAAAGCTCATGTTCTCTTACATGACAGGTAGGGCCTAAGGAGTTAAGATGTATGCGAAAGCAAGAATAGAAAAACCTGAAACAAACACAGGAGAAAGGAAGCTGTTTTACCATTTGCATTTCCTCAGTTTCCACCCTGTGCTGGTGATACTCTGGAAGTTTCAACACAGAGCAGTTGATTACAAGTATCAGCAGTAAATGCAAATATCTGCCAATAAGGGCTGAAGGGGTCTGCGGGACTCCCAGCCTTGTTCTGTTCAGACCATCAAGAGCATTATCTACTAGCAAAGGGGTTTAAATGAATAGCTGGTATGTGAATAGTCTCTTGGAGAGAGACTGTAGTTGGAAGGGGGAAATTATATGAGGCTCATAAAGTTTGACTCGCAGAAATTGCATTTGTGACCTTGTTCTTGCATGTTCACTGACACTGCTTCTCTGTGGTTTTCATCAGATCACAGGCATGACTCGGCAGGAGGCTCTAAAAGCTATTACCCAGCAGGCCAGAAAGAAAGGAATAGGTGGAGACCTAACAAGTGACAAATTAAGAGACTGGTTAATATCTCGACAGCGGTACTGGGGAACACCTATTCCTATCATTCACTGCCAGACATGTGGTACTGTCCCTGTACCTTATGAAGACTTACCTGTGGTGTTGCCCAATGTCACCACCTTCACAGGAAAGGGAGCCTCACCTTTAGAAACAGCTCCAGAATGGGTGAACTGTTCCTGCCCGAGGTAAGCCAGTGCTGCATGGAATGCAAACTGGGAGAGATCGCTTCGTACTTGCCTGTTTCTTGTGCTCACCACTCTGAGAGAGGATACCACTCCAGAGTGATCTTTAGTCTGACCCACCATAGGGTCCTTTTTATAACAGACACCCACTGCTATTTCTTCATAAGCAAGCTGAAGCAAAGTTCCCTGTTCTTAAGAAAACAGTGAAAACAGATTTTCTCCTGTGCCTCCTATTTCTCAACAGTATTTCTCATTTCATTTACTACAATAATTCTCATTATCTTTCACCAGCAGAGTTCATATAAACCTTCCTTTTATTAAAGAAACTAGCATCATGTTCATTTTCTTAGCAACAGTCGAGCAATAAAGCGTTTCCTATGCTATGTTTCTTTATCATGAAGTATCACATTCACTGTATAAATGACAACATGTAATTCAGATTGGAGGAGATAGCATTTCGTCAGTGCTGTAATCTTTATTGTTTGTAGTCCAGCTGTTTAAGAAATAAAACAGCCTAAAGTAGGAGAGAGATCAGTTGCCTAATCTTGAAAGCTCCTTAGATACTGTGTGCACTGGAGTTTGCGTACAGGTTCTGCAGAAAGAACTGGTAGAAGTTTTTGTCCCAGAGAAGTTTTTCATCAGCAGTGCAATGTAATGCTGCTGCTTTTTAATATTAAAGCCTGCCTTCCAGATGGATGAATGTCTAAGGAGTATCTTTTTGGATAGTATGCAGGTGACTGTGCTCTACTTACTTTTGCTAAGTGTTCTGGAATAGGAGAGTGATGTGCAGGCAACTGTTGTAGACAAGTTTTTGTTGTACCTTCTCACAAAGACTTTTGACAAGGACATGTAGTGACAAGACAAGAGGGAATGGCTTTAAACTGGCAGAGAGGTGATTGAGATGAGATCACAGGCAGAAGTTCTTCCCTGTGAGAGTGCTGAGGCGCTGGCACAGAGTGCCCAGAGAAGCTGTGGCTGCCCCATCCCTGGCAGTGTTCAAGGGCAGGTTGGACACAGGGGCTTGGAGCAACATGCTCTAGCAGAAGGTGTCCCTGCCCATGGCAGGGGGTTGGAACTGGATGAGCTTTAAGGTCCCTTCCAACCAGAGCCCATTCTATGATAGTTGTTCAGGCTTCTTTTTGGTTGCATTTTGTTTGATTTGGGAGGGAGAGGGAAGGAGAGATGGCCCTGTTGCTAGTGTTGGACTTTTTCTGAGCTTGTGACTTTTCAGACTGATCAGACCACTTCAAACTAGATGTCTTCATGACCACTCTGTACACAGTTGTTTGGGTTCTTTCCCCAAGCTTTTCACTTATCTAAATATAGCTTTTCTCCTTCTCTCTTGCTCAGGTGTAAGGCAGTGGCACGGCGAGAAGTCGACACCATGGATACATTTGTGGATTCGGCTTGGTACTACCTGAGGTACACAGACCCTCACAACACAGAGAGGTGAGGGCCACAGGCACAGGGCTGGTTGGGGGAAAGTCACTTCACAGAGTATAAGGGAAGGAAGAGGCCAGGCACTCTGATGCTTCTGGCTTCTAACTGCCTTTGGTAGGAGACTGCATAAACCCCTGTGCTACCCCAGTTTTGTGCGTGCCCTCCGGCCTAAGCACAGCACAGGGGAGACTAGGAGCTGCTCTACAAAAGTGGCCTTTGGTTGCTTCCATGCCAGGAGATCTACAAGATCAGGTTGTATAGGTGCAACTGTGTAAGCACAGGAGCTACAGGGCAAGGGGCAGAAGTTTGCATGAGAGAGCACAGAGGAAATGTTCAGCTGAGGAGCTAAAGATTGCCCTTAGTGGAGGGTTCCATGAAGAATGATAGCCTACCACGACTCTCAGAGAATGTAGTTAGTTGTGTGGACTGTGCCCTCCCTAGCAATGCACTGAGTGGTTCAATGTGTGGACAGACAGTGCTTTTCCACCAGTTAGAAGAGGAATAGTCCAATGTAACACCCAGCTGCCAAGAACAGCACCTTCATTTCTCTCCTCCTGAACTCTAGGAACTTGCTACTTCCTCATACACAGGCCTAAAGCAAAGTGGCATCGCAGCAGGCTCCTCCTGTGTCGGCACTTCTACTGAATGCATAAATAATAAAAGGATGTTTTTCATATGCTGGGTATTAGTAGCTGCAGCATAGAAAGTGTGTAAGGTAAATGTAGTCATTTTAGTTGGTTTTCTGCTTCATAGTGTGCCTGTAGTAGCGGTGCTGATAGCGCTGTTTTCTCCAGAGAAGAATTAGTGGACCAGCTATACTATGTAGTCTCAGGAAGAGAAAAAGATATTTTTTGAGATGCTGATGTATCAGCTAGGACTGTATGAGAATGTGGTTTTTTTATTGTCCAGAGCAGTCTCTGGGTACAAACCACATACTGAGAGATGTAGTATACCTGGGCCAGTTATTTTTGCAGCACTAGTTCAGTTAAACTGAAGAAAAATCTTCTGTGAGCACTTTTATTTCATGTTAATGTTAATTATTTTCTAGTGGTAGTGTGAATTTATTACTAATGTTACTAAGTCAGGCGCATTGCTTCCCATTCAGTGACAGTTTAAAATACTCTTATGCATGGACAAGAGGGACTTTTCCCAAAGGTGAAGAAGTAGTTGGATGTAACACTCACCTGTCAAAGTAACAGCTTAGTGTAGCTAAAGCTGGTTTATATTGAAATAAGAACACTCGTATGAACTTCTGCATTAGATCACTACCTCAACTTGATTTATTTATTTGGACTTTTTAGCTAAGCTGCTTAGATGTAAGCCTTTTATTTCCATAAGCTGTATTTCACAGGTCTAGAATTTGGGATAATTACTCTGTTGATTTTGGAACCCTGTGAACAGGTTGGTTTTGATTTGCTCCATTAAAGACATGAATCGCAGGTGCACAGTTTTCTTCTGGGCTCACCTGTGAGGTAAAAAAGTGTTGCTCTTACAAAAGTTACAGGTGAAATAATCAAATAGACCAAAACACATACATTTGCTGGAACGGGTCCACAAAGTATACGTTAAAAACACATACATATGGTATTTTGCAGGCAGAAGTCCATTACAGAACCCATAACAATATTTAATGAAGCAGTAAGCAATGCTAGAAAACCATACAGGTGACCCCAGATGACGTAGTAAATACACTGTAAATGACAGATTCACTGTGCGTTCATTGGGCATCCTTCAGTTGGAGTGCAACGTGGCCCATCTGACTCTGGAGTTTTTTGTAGTCTTAAACTGCTTCATTACCCCCTAATGGCAACAGTGCAAACCTATGATTGAAAAAACCCAAACCAAAACCTCCCAAAATCTACAGAAAAAAACCCTAGTTTTGAATGTGCGTATGTTTTGTCTTTCCCTCTAATATGTTTGTATGTAGCACTTGATAAATACTAAGAAATTCAAAGGCTTGCCACAGGGTATTTATTAAAGAGAAAAGCAAATATTTTCATCACTTTCTCAGGTAATGTATGTGAGATCTTAGTTGCTTGTCTAAAATATAGGAACATAGTATTTGTGTGGCTCTGCATCTCAGTGGGAATTAAAGTTTTGCCTATCATTTCATAAGCATACCACTTAAAAATGTGAAAGATCCGAAAGCAAAATGAAAGTTTTATTGCACATGTATTGCTCTCAGTAGTGTGTAGTCAAGTATGATGAGCTACTTTGGTACAGCTGATCTTTCTTTTCCATGCTATATTTTTACTGTACCTGTGGTGGGGTTTTTTTTAGGCCCTTCAATAGTGACTTAGCAGACTACTGGATGCCTGTGGATTTGTACGTCGGAGGAAAGGAGCATGCAGTTATGCACTTATTCTATGCAAGGTTTTTAAGCCATTTTTGCCATGATCTAAAGATGACAAAACACAAGTAAGCCTTAATATATTTCTATAAAAACCTTTTCTATTTCATTTGACTAGCAGGAGTGTTAGTGGACTGTTACAACGGTAGAACATCACAGTGAATGAGCCTGAATATTCCTGCTTGTCAGTCTTGGCTAACTACTTGGTTTCTCACACTTAGTTGCATTTCTGTATGCATGCATAGATCCATAACATTTTTATTACGTGAGTATTAACAGGCTCAGAGCAAGTGATAAAATGTTGCTGTGGATTTTCAGCCTGCAAAGGCTTGCATAAACCGCTAACTTCAGACATTCTGTGTCGTGCTATTATTTCAAATTGGGTAACTCCCTGCCAGTAATACTGTTAATGTCAGTGAAACTATGCATATGTAGGAAAGCACTCCTATAGTTCACTGCAGTATTGGAGCTAAGCAGTGCAAAACACTTCACGATAAGTAAAAGCAGTACATGTATCTGCTGTCAATTTATTTGTTATTTATCAGACTGGAACAGTTTGACCAGAGAGGCTGTGGGATCTCCAGCACTGAGTATTGTCAAAACTCAGCTGGATGGGGCCCTGAGCAACCTGAAGTTAGGGCTGCTGTGAGAAAGGACTTGGACCAAATGACTTCCAAAGGTCCCTTCCAACCTATGTTATTTTTAAGTCTTTGTGATTCTGTGGCTATATTAATTTTGGATGTGTTTTGTTCACACTCCACTGTGACAGAGCAGTAGCACCAAAGTTGCGTAGTGTAGACTGGTATAAATATGGTGAATTGCAGAAGAAAACTCTTAACTTCAATGAAAAGAAAAGGCTTAAGAAGTACTGACTGTGTATGGTGACAATAGCAGAGGAAATCAAAATTGCTTTTGTAGAAGTTAGAGACTTCCTTTGACACAATGTACAATCTCAGGAGCTGTTGCACATACGAAGATAAGTTACAGCTTTGCCTTTAGGATCCGTTGTTTGTGCTACTACACGTGCTGAGATTGCGAGGTGATTATAACAAATTCATTATCTTGTACAAAACTGTTTACTTGCTTTAGCTCAATGCAAGTTAAAGCATTAGGTGCTTTAAAGACAGGAATTCAAATGAAGATTTTGTTTTGATTTGGAAATAGTACCATGTATTTTAAATGGTTTAGTATTGGTCAGAAGTTGCTTTTGTGCAGTCTTCTGTCAGGACTGCTCAAAGGCTGGTCTAACATCTGAAAAGGGTGATAAGAAGCAACAGGCTTACTGTTAGGAAGCTTAAAGTGATGGTGTTGAAGCCTACAGCTCTGAGGGAAAACACTCGGATGTTAAAAAGCACTGCCCCCTTGTGCTTTTTCAGCCTTCCTGTAGTAGCTCAGGTCTTGTTCACTGACTTAAATTCAAAAAATTCTGCTATACCTCAGGAGAACTGCCACCATTTAAAGTGTTATCTGGTATCCTGACAAATTCTTTATGAATACCCCTGTTAATCTTTAGTAATTTTTCATTTTTGGTAGGTTTTATTCATGGAAATTTTCATTGACTCCTATCCTCTGACTTTTGAATCCATTGAAATGTTTATGATAGTCCTTAATTCTGTATTGATGACTATTAATAAAATAATGAGATTGAAAACAAAAGTTAAAAATTCCATAGTTTATATTTTTAAAGCAAACTCTTCAAATCTGATGTTCATTATTGTAGAATCATAGAATAGTTAGGGTTGGAAAGGACCTTAAGAATAAACAGCACCCTCTGGGTATCGGTACATGTGATAACAGCTTATGTGCAAATTGATGTCATTGTGGCTTAGCAGTCTGGTCTGTAAGTGCATCTAGAATTAATTCACAAGCCAGTCAGCCTTTCCAGCTGTGACCACCACAGGCACAGAAGCCAGGTAAGCAGCTGGGACCAGATGATCTAACCCCTTCCAACCCTAACCAGTCTGTCTGTTCCAGCTTAATCCACCATGGCCGGTGTGTGCTGACACTGTTACACCTGCTCAACTGTATTATTGCAAGTACAGGTTCCACAGAATTTGACTCTTCCCTAGACTTTAGTAATTGGTTTTGTCTGATGAAGAATTGGAAATGGGATCTACCACATTTGCCTGACAGGTTATAAAGCAAAACCAAAGCCTATTGTTGACATTAAGTCAGCAGATTTGACTCTGATAGAGGGCAGGTCTCTTGAGTAAGAAGGCACTATCTTCACAGAGCTGCATTACAGAATAGAAGATGTGCGTGACAGAAATAGCTTCTTTTGTAAGGGAAAGGTGCTAGAGCTTCTCTTTGGTCATTAAAGACTTTATCCCTAGTGTTGATTTTGAGCAAAAGCACTCAGCTACTGACTCTGTAAAATCTTGAATGTTCAATATTGTTTAATCTTTCTGCCTAAAATGATCAGTTTCCACATCCTCCAGCTGCTTCTATTGCTCTGTCCCTGTTCAAGGCCAGGTTGGACACAGGGGCTTGGAGCAACCCGCTTTAGTGGAAGGTGTCCCTGCCTGTGGCCCGGGGTTGGAACTGGATGAGCTTTAAGGACCCTTCCAACCCAAACCAGTCTGGGATTCTATTCTATTCTGGCCTTCCACAGGGTTGCCAGGTTGTTATAGCTTGATCTGACATAAGGTTTCACAACCCCTGAACTCAGCTGGCAGTGACTCAGCTTGCCTTTGCTCTAGGGCACAGCATCAGCATCTTTCAACCTTTCTAAAGGTGCAGGATGCAAATACATGCAGTGAGTGCCATTGCTAGGGATATCCCTTCTTCTGAGTCTTTTTATCACTGTTGCAAGCTCCAGAGTCCTTCCATCCAGGTCAGTTGTAATTCAATTGAAACTCCTGCCACTCCCCTTACAGAGCACAGCAAGGAGCTTGAGGATGTGGCACTGAGCAGATCCATCCACTGCGTGCTCCTATATAGAGAGCTTGGTCTGCCATAGAGGTGAACCTAGATATGAACATTACTGAAATGAGGAAGGATGGATTACACATTTCATAGCTAGCACATCTGATCCTGCCCGGAGGTGTCAGGCAGGTGGGGTCCCAGCTGAGGTACAACATGAGCAAAAGCTGCACACAAACCTAAGGCCTCAGTGCCCATACTCCAGCATGGGCAGAGGCAAACTTCACAGGCAGGTAAAGGTGTATCCCATTCCAGCATCCTTACAATCTGAAATGTGATGGAGCATTCAAAGAAGCTCAAGCCATCTCTTTCATTTACTGTGCCAAAATGTCTGTCTGTGTGGACATGGCTTAATTTCAGTTGTTGGCAGAGATACAGCTTCAGAGGGGTTCATGACAGGAGAAGTTCAGGTTAGATATAAGGCAGAAGTTCTTCCCTGTGAGGGTGCTGAGGCACTGGCACAGGGTGCCCAGAGAAGCTGTGGCTGCCCCATCCCTGGCAGTGTTCAAGGCCAGGTTGGACAGGGCTTGGAGCAACCTGCTCTAGTGTGGGGTGTCCCTGCCTGTGACAGGAAGTTGGAACAGGATGATCTTAAGGTCTTTTCCAACCCAAACCGTACTGTGATTCTGTAACACCAGGCTATGACTGGATGCTGCAGTATTTAGATCAGAATTGCATCCAACCTTCTGTGCTTCAGTGTTTTGGCAACTCCATTCTGCAGCCAAGAAACACATCAGTCTTCAAAGGGAAAAGTTTTAGGTGTCTTTTATTAATCTAAATTAAAGTGTAACATCTGCATGTGACCATGAGATGGAGCCACCACAACACTGGCAAAATCACTGTGCGCTTCAGGAGAAATGCAGTACTCTTGTTTGTTTCTGAGCCCTGTGTTTATTAGATGTGCTCTGCCTTTCTCATTTTGGGCACATCTCCATTCTCCTGCGGTCTCCCGCTAGGAACACGTGGGGTGTTTTTTCCCCATACTTGGTAATGTATTTTATATTGCATTTTTGGAGCCTCTGTCAGCGTAAACAGAAATAGGAAATGCTCATTCCTGCCTTCAGCTTTTAATAACTTGGCGTAGGATCTGAACTAGCTGTTTGTCATTAAAAAGAAGTGTTCTTTGAAAAATCACTTCCAGGGGAGAGCCCTATTTGATGTGAAAGTTCTGGATACCCCATTAGCTTTATTTTAGATAGCAGGAAGTGTAGCTATTTCAATAACTGCTTGAGATCTCAAGCAGACCAAAGTACTGAATGAGAGGGGAGAAACTGGTTTTATTTTTCCTTGGTGTAATGTCTTTAGTTTGTAGAAGGAACTCTCCTGAACAGTTATCTCCTGAAGCACCTTTCCCACCATTTGCTGATAGGATTTCAAGGGTGTTGTTCCTGATTTTCATCTTCTAATTCACTTGGGTAATCTGTGATAATTCTTTGAGATTTTAGGTAATTACTGCCTCCTATTTTAAAATACTTTTTCTTGTTTGTGCTGTCTGAATTTGACTTCTCCTGCAGTTCCTTTAATTTATTTCTAAGGAGGATTTGCAGGCAACCTTTCGAATATTGTCTAGGAAATATTTCTAGAGGTGCCTGAATTGCTGCTCTTAACATTGTTGATGAAACTAGGTGGCACAGCAGAGACTTGTACAGCTTCATGACTGAATGATGCACCACTATGTGCCAGTACTTGCACAGTATACTTCTAAGTATAGAAAATATGCAAGGAAGGAAACTCATGTTCAAACATGTATATGTTGGAGATAAAGTATGAAGCCTGTCACGTTTTCCTCCTAGTTGAAGGCTTTTCAAATATGTCCTTACTTTAGAGTCATCAAAAGAGCTTGAAGGCTAGTACTTGGAAGGTATCAGCTTCAGTACAGTTAAAACATTCATAATTGGTATATTATTAAAGAATATGTTGTTAAATAAATTACTGTGGTTTAAATCACAAGATAAATTTTCATATAATTTCTGTTTCTTAATAATGTAAAATACTAAATTAACACCTTAGAGGTGAGTAGTATTTTGGATTATGGCTTTTTGTGCGTGTGAAGTAAAATGTAGAAGTCTGATTTTACTCTCTCTTCTTCAGATGGATTTATTTCTGCTTTTTAAGAAGTAAATAGGAGTCATGCATCCTCTTTACATGAGTTGTTTTGGGAGATAGGTGGGGCCTGGTTAGGGGAGGTGTGGAGAATTCAGCTTGCTTAATGTTGAGCCACAAACATGAGCATTAGAAGGCGTAATCAGGAGTAACCAGTGCTGATTAGTGTGGCCTCCAAAATGATGGTCAGCAGTACAGTTGTGCTGGAGGATCCCGTGAGAAGACTCCCAGACTCTGTATGCCTTCTGGGTCTGGCTCCACACCTCTTCCCTGGCCCCTGCTCTTCTTGCGATTGCTGTTGGGACTGCCTTGCTTTCCTGACCTGTTGGGTGGGGAGCAAAACCTCTACAGATGAATTTTGTTGCCCTTTTCAGTGAAAACATCAGCAGACATCTGACTCAATGAATTAGAAATGCAAGATCATTAAAGGAGGTGGCCACAGCAGTCAGATGGAGCAGTGTTTAGTGTGTAGTGCACTGCTGCCCTTAGCTTTGGTGCTTTTAAGGCTCTTTGTAGCTCTATGATACACACACTGCAGAAGAGTTTACTCTTCAGATGTAAATTTTGCTAGAAAAGGAAAGCTTTAATGTTAAAGATGCTAAAAAAAGTTGATCCACTGACGTATGAACCTTCCAACATTGCCATTTTTCTAGTGTACATTTTTCTTACAGCTAAGTCTTCATGGCTAGTCCTGCAAAGGGACAAGGCATGCAAGTGCTTGTGTTAGAGAAACTATCTTTTCTGTTTATAGAAGGAAATGTGCAGTGAGATAGAGCTAAATATTTGTAAGGCAGTGAGGCCAGGTGCTTCAGTGCTTTTAGACAGGGAGATTTAGCTTGAAGCTAGTGAAATTGCACTGTTGGCCAAGAGATGTTTGTGTATTATGCATATGCTAATTTGAAAGGTGACGTTAGATTAACTCAGTACTAAATCAGGATGCGAGAATGTGTGCAGAATAGAAATCAATACTTAACAGTTGCCAGCCAGCCACCATGAGTAAATGCACAAAGTCCCTTCTAAGGTGGCAAGCATTTATGTACAGTCAACTTGAAATTCTTGTTTCATTAAGTAATGGTGCCTGATTGGCTCAACACCTGAGGCTTAACAGAAAGTATGCTTTTGACAGTTCTTTTCAACAGACAAGTTTCTTTTCCTTCCATCCTTAGGGAGCCTTTCCATAAGCTCTTGGTTCAAGGTCTTATCAAGAATCAGACATTCAGACTAACAACAACAGGCCAGTGTCTGAAGAGAGAAGAGGTTGATCTCACTGGTAAGAGAGACTGCATGGGAAAATCAGCATAGGTACATCCAGAAAGTCTGGGACTCCTTCAGTGTGTAATTGTCAGCGCTGGGAAAATCTGGAAGAGAAAATTAATCCTTGTAATATTTAAACTGGAGAGTGATATCTATGAGTTTTGGATGCAGATGCACTGCTGAGTGCACACAGACCCTACTAATCCAGCAGCTTTGAATTGCAGCCACACAGAAACACTGCTATGGTATTATTTTAGCTCCAGTAGACTCCAAAAAAAACAGAAGGCAGTTTTGTTAAGACAGTGATCAGCTACTTGCTGAATGGAGCTGGTAGTCCTAGCAAACAGACTACCTATAAAAGCATCATGGCAAAGCTAGCACACGTTTGTGTATTCAGTAGCTATTAGGAATGTGAAGTACGTATAGGAAAGAGTGCTGTTTCTCATGTTCTTTCCAGTGCTTTCACTGTGTAAACTGGAGCAGCAAGTCCTGGCTTGGGGACCTGTAGCAACAGGAGTGGTTTGGTCGTATTTGCCTCCCTTAAGCACTCCTCTGTGCAGCCACATTTTTGCTGTTCTCCTGCGTACAACCCCCCTTATGCTTGTCACTGTTTGCTATCCTGTTTTCATCTAGAAAAGCTAAGGCTTTTCTGGAGCAGATGGTTTTGATGGTTGCACCTTTATTAGTGTAAATGCCCTTTTCCGTGTCTAAATTAATGACAGAAGGCATGTTTTTGCCAGGATAACTTACTGCAATTGAAAACAAGCACCTATAAATCTGGTGTTTGTAAAAGCTAAGTGCAGCTCAGAATTGTACCAGATCAGTACACCTATCTAGGAGGTTTTAAATGGCAGGGTTTTAACAATGCTTAAATCTCAGGGGCTGTCATGGTAGCACATGAGTGCCAGATACAGCTTCCAAATGGTAGAAGGATGCTTTCTGTCATGATGTAATGGAAGAATTGGCATGTTAGTGGTGTTAAAACATTAAAGGGGGAAACCTTACGAGGGAAGAGGGTGTTTACAGTGGGTGGTTTTCCTCTTTAAGCTGGTTGGAAATGAATAAACCCCACTAGAAATAGTTGTTTCTTCTTATGGTTAGGGAACAAAACTTATTGCTGTTACAAGTGAGCCAAATTTGTTCTAATATTTTGCATATGAATTAATATTTAGGAACTGAACCAGTTCACCTAAAAACTGGTGAGAAGCTTCAAGTTGCTTGGGAAAAAATGAGCAAATCTAAGCATAATGGAATAGACCCTGAAGAGTTAGTGAAAGAGTATGGCATTGACACCCTGCGTCTGTACATCCTGTTTGCTGCTCCTCCAGAGCAAGATATTTTGTGGGATGCTAAAAGTAAGTTGGATTGTTTCTGTTGCTTTGTTGGTTTGTGTTTGGTTTCTTGGGGGGTTTTAGTTGGTTGGTTTTTTCCTAGTGTGTTATATTTTAAGCACAAAATTAATGTGGTTCTTGATGCCCAAGTTTTGGAACAATTGAATCCAAAAAAGTATAATGAGCAGGATTTATTGTTTGTTTCTTTCAAAAGAGAAGGAGTCATAAAGCTGATACTGAGAGGCAGGCTTCAAAGGTTAATGCAAGCAACTTACCTTTTAGGAGCTAAAAGCATGTATGAAAAGTGGTATTTTCTTCTGCAAACTTGGATTTCATTCTCTTATCTTTTTATTAGTTCTGATTGATTGACTGAAAATTATTATTTTAATATTTTCTTCATTATAAGCTGCTTTTTTAATCATATCAGATCGCAGGTAACACTTTGCAATATTTTATTATTTCTATTTATTTACCTATGCAGTGATTTTTGTAACCTGGACTATGAAATACTTCTTGAATCTCATTAGAAGGTAATCAGGGTTGCTAGTGACTAATATTTGCACACACATGACAGTTTTTATGAGCTTATTTCTTGAGGAAGTTAGGATTTACCCTCCTACACATTTATTTACTGCCATCATGCAAGTTGTCACACAGACAAATCTTAATTTCTTTTACTATTGTGGTTCATACATTTTAGTGTAGTCTTATGCATACCTTTAAATCTAGCCCTGTTGTTGCATAAGGCATTTAATCAAATGCTCCATGCCTCATTTAAAGAGGTGTGCTGCTGCTTGTGTTAGTTTCTTGCTAGTTAGTTCAGTCTGCAGTAAGTGTTATTTCAGTTGGTGTCTGTCACCTTTTACATTCGTATGTGTTCATTTATATGCTACTGCACTACTGTATGTACTGGAAGCTTTGTGAGCTTTCTCATTTGGCTTGCTATCACAGTCTAATCACAACAGTACAAAGCTAGGTATGTGAAAAGGTCTCTTAAAAATACCACTTGCTTGCAATCAGGCTTTAACTCATGCATCCCTAACAGTACACGGGTACATAATTCACTCTGAAGCAGTATATTCAGTGATGCACGGTCTCTTTGCTGTATTTTTCCACCTTGAAACTGGAATAGTTAAATGTGAGAATCGTGGGTACAAAATCTTAGCTGTAAAGTGTACTAGAGCTTGGTGATTAGACTTTATTAAAGAAAGCTAAGCGCAGGTATAATGCTAGCAAAAATGCATTTAGTCATTCAAACCAACCTGTTTCCACTTGAGAATTACAAAGAAAGATTTTGGAGTCATGTTCTGTTAAAAGAGTGTTGGAAAATGTGAGCAAAAGATGTTAGCAGCCTTAAGTTACTTTGGGGGGGGGGAGGGGAAATGGTAAGTAGGTAAAAAGGATCTCTTAAATCTTCAAACTTGGGTTTGAATTTCTTAATGATGACAGAATAGTGAATGTTTAAATTGAAGAAATCCAGCAAGCTTGATTTGTTGGTGATGGGTTTGACCTTGGCTGGATGTCCACCCAGAGCTGCTCTATCACTCCCTGTCTTGAACTGAGCAGGGGGACTAAAATGCGATGAAAAGCTCATGGGTTGAGATGAGGACGGGGAGAGGACATTCACCAATTACCATCATGGGCAAAGCAAACTCCGCTTTGGGATATTAGTTCAGTTTGTTACTACTGAAAATCAGAATAGGATAATGAGAAATAAAACCAAATCTTAACAACACCTTCCCCGTACCCCTCTGTTCTTCCTGGGCTCAACTTCACTCCTGATTTTCTCTGCCTCCTCTCCCTGAGCAGTGCGGGGAGACAGAGAATGGAGGTTGTGGTTGGTTCATCACACATTGTCTCTTCTGCTTCTTCCTCCCCAGGGAGGACTCCTTACACTCTTTCCTTGCTCCAGTGTGAGGTTCTCTGTGAACTTGTTCAGCATAGGTCCATTCCATTTGCTATATAGAGCAGCTCTATATGAGCTGCTCCAGCGTAGGTTCTTTAAAATTGAATAAATGAAGTTTAATTCTAGCATTCTGTTCCCTTTCCACTTTTCTGTATAGTTCTGTGTTCATTCATTGTGACTGAAATTCGTTTCTGCCATCTTTCATTAATCTCAGCTGATGCTATGCCAGGCGTTCAGAGATGGCAAACGCGCCTCTGGACACTTGTAACCAAACTTATTGAAGCAAGGACATCAGGAGCCATGCCAAATCCTGAGCTTCTGAAAAAGAAAGAGAAGGCTGAAGCCAGAAAGATCTGGGAGCTGAAGAACCTGGTGATTTCTGAGGTTAGAAGAAACACTGACATAGTTTGTAAATGACTGAATATGTTGCTGCTTATGCTAAAACCTCATGCTTGACTTACAGAGCCAAAAGTTTTGCCCCCACATAAGTAACTAATAATTATTAAGTGAATTATTCTCTGTACAATTAATTCTATTTACCTAAACAAAAAATTACTGAAATGTGTGTTCATCTCTTATGTGTTGGCTCATGCTGTGATTAGTGTCAGTTCCATTATCCGAGACTCAAAAGGAACCATAAATCTATGCAAAATTAACTTAAAGCTTTTATCCATAGAAAAGTATTTTAAACCCTGTGGTGAGAGAACTTCCAGGTTCTTTAACAGACTTTATAATTATGATCTTGCAATCTATGGACAAGCTTTTACAAGGATAACTGGACTTACAAGTATGAAGGCCTCTTGTCGAAGCAAAGGGAAGGTAACATAATGTTCCTCAGGGATTATAACATTATGTCCTCAACATGAGAAGGACATGGCACTGTTGGAGCAATTCCAGAGGAGGCCATGAGGATGATCAGGGGCTGGAGCACCTCCTGTATGCAGACAGGCTGAGAACATTGGGGCTGTTCAGCCTGGAGAAGAGAAGCTCGTGGAGACCTCAGAGCAGCTTCCAGTGTCTGAAGGGGGCTACAAGGATGCTGGAGAGGGACCCTTCATCAGGAACTGTAGTGGTAGGACAAGGGGTGATGAGTTCAAGCAGAAACAGGAGAGATTTAGGCTAGATATTAGAACAAATTCTTCCCTGTGAGAGTGCTGAGGTGCTGGCACAGGTTGCCCAGAGAAGCTGTGGCTGCCCCATCCCTGGCAGTGTTCAAGGCCAGGTTGGATGGGGCTTGGAGCAACCTGGTCTAGTGGCATTCTTGGATGATGATGATTATTTTCCCATACACACATATGACTGCATAAGTGATATGATTGCATCTCATATGATTCTCATGTAAGAGGTAAGATGGGCATATTTCACAAATTGATTATCAATGATTCTTTTTCATTTAAAACCCCAATATGCCATGTTTGAGAATTTCATGTAATTAATGATAGACCTTTTCTTCTAATACAAGGTGACAGAATACTTCACAAAGGATCATTTGTTCAATGCAGCTATTTCCCGATTGATGAGCCTCACCAACCTACTCCAGGTAAGTACATGACATTAATGAAAGTATTTTTCTCTCAAACCCTGTTCCTTTAAGTCTTAATACAAAGCAGGAGCTGCCTGAACTAGTAGTCCAGCTTTCTGTAAACCATTTACTGTCATAAACATTGCTACTAAGTCAAGGGCCTCTTTGAGTTCAAAAGCAGCATGTTCTGGTGTCCATGTAACTCTGAAATACACAGGTTTGCAGGAAGAGCTTGATGGTATTAGAGCCTCTAGGTTCTGATGTTCACATCTGCATCCTGTAATTTCAAAAGGATACTTTTTTTTTAGCTCTGTTCTTTGTTCTCTGTGGGTTTTGTTGCATATGTAGCTACATATAGTAGTGCATTATAGAACTACCAGACTTTCTGATTTAAGGGTTATTCTTTGCAAGGAAGATCCCACATAATCTTGCCTTCTTCAGAGCCAGCCTTCACCACTAGAACTTCCTGCTAGTAATAGAGTTTGCAGAGTCCCCTTTTTTAAAACAAATGTCAAAATAACTTAAGTCTTCAGCATTTTTTTTGTTTAGATTATGTTGTTTATCAGCCATTGGCAACAGATCAAATATAATCATAGACTCATAGAATGGCTAGGCTTGGTATAAACTACAACTGTGATTTTTTTGTTACTGTTAAATCTGGTTGGGCAATCCTTCAGGTATATAACAGTAACCAGAAATCAAATAAAAATCAGGATGTTTTCACCTTCTTTATTGAAATACCTTTTTATACTTTATGGGTTCCAAGGCAATTATTAGCAAAGTCAAAGAATTTGAGGGTGTGCACAAGGGCTGTACTGACTAACTTAACTCTGAGATACTGCATAGTGCTGGGAAGATGACACACGTTTCTTTATCTCCCAGCTCAGAGATTCAAATGCATTGTGGCTGGCAGACACAAACAGCATCCTGCAGACAGCCAGGTGTTTGAACACTGACATAGTTCTTAACCGAAGAAGTCAGTGCAGTATCTTTCAAGAACAAGTTTCCCTATAGCACGCGGACACTTCCTCTTCTACTCCCATTTGTAAGGAGGAAGTGAGGAGGTGGGTGAGGATTAAATATAGTTACTAAAACTAGTCGCAGTGATAAGAAGATGCCATCTAATAATGTTTGTGGTTTGCATCAAACAAATGACTGGGTTTGGACAGTTTTATAGTAGATGACAATGGGTGATCATCACACCCCCAAAATAATTCTCATGAGTTGACATGGTTTGCTGTGTCATTAGAGGGGCAAATTACAAAATAAATGCAGAATCTGAATTTACCATGAAATGTGACCTCCGTCCCTGGCAGTGTTCAAGGCCAGGTTGGACCGTGTCTTGGGTGCCATGGTTTAGTGTGTGTATCCCTGCCCATGGCAGGGGGTTGGAACGGGATGATCTTAAGGTCCTTTCCAACCCTAACTATTCTATGATTCTATGAAACAGGCAAAGAAAAAAGAAGCTTATCTGGCTTCATAGGAGAATGAAAGTTCAGATTTTGCCTATATAGAACCATTTGTAAGAAATTGAAAATGTTCTGTACTAAAGAAGGTGAACACTTTACCAAAGCAATCTGAACATCAAATTGTAAAAAGCTGTGCTGCACTTTTCATTCCCAAAGCTTCCTTCAGCTCTAAAACCTCAGTTTGTCACTAAATTCAGCCTTACCTAAGCTACTCAAGGACCCTGTACAACTGAACCTTATCCCAACAAACCCCATGCTGCATTCTGCACATTTTGACTCTCTTATACAAGTACTTCACCTCTTCTCAGATAGCTCTGGTCTTATCTAAGATTGCACTTCTAGAAGTGGCAGCACTCAGGATGTTTTTCAGTGCCACATGGGTCTGTGTTCAGATTCCAGTACTAGAGCAGATCCCTAAGGAACTGCATCGGCCTCTTCAGGATTAGCTTCCGAGTGTTAGAGAACACTCAGTGACCAAGAATTGTGACTTTAGTGCTCCAGAACTTTTCCTAAGTTTCCAATTTATTGTGAAATTACATTGTCCTAAGCATAGATACTGATTTTAGGTTTTACTACTGTATTTTCTTCTTAGTTAAATTATATTACCCCCACCTCAGAATATTAACTGTTCATTTTCTTTTCCTTATCTTTTGCTTAGCAAGCTTCCCGGCCTCTTCTTCTCCACAGCACAGAATTTGAAGATGCTTTGGCTTCACTCTGTATTATGGTTGCACCTATGGCTCCACACATTGCATCAGAGATGTGGAAAGGTAGTTATAAAAATAAACTTTATATTGGTGTTCCAGGCAAAAGGTTTGCAAAAAAATGCCTGTAACATAGTACATGTGTCAACTTATCCCTGAATTCTGCATCTGTCTTGTCACCTGCTCTCATAATTCCTAAACAAACTTGAAGCTTGTGGTGTTCAGATCTCTCTTTCTGCTTTTAGTTTCTTTTTTGTTGCATACAAAGGTGGATTTCTTCAGGCTAGGCAGAGAAAGGGAGAAGGAAGAAAATTTCAAGACAGGGCTTGCATAAGGAATTCCTGTGTCAGCTGCCAGCTGCTCCTGAGTGTGGATGGCAGTGTGAAGAGCTAAACGTGAGGATAGAAACAGCACTTTTCCAAACAATTGTTTCAGAGTCTTTGGACTACAAGTATTTCTTTTAGGAATTCAGGTAAAGAGAACCATGGCAGAGGGCTGTAAACTAAGAAGTCCAATCAATATCCAACTCTTGTAGGGTTCTCTGGAGGCTGAGGGATGTCATGCTGCACATCTGTTTCGTGGAGAGTGGGAATGGCAGGCAGGGAATCTTTTTTAAGGTCTGTCACAGTAGTAAACCTTGAGGTCTGAAGCCCAAGTGGGCCGAGTTGCTTGGTGCAGTTAAAGCAAGTGAAATAAGATACTTGCATGCTAGAGTTCAGCAATTGCTTTTCAGGTTTGCTGGGAGAAGTCCCAAGATGTATGGGGGAAGGTAGGAATATATTCTACATTAAGACTAGCTACAAATTGCTATGTGGTTTTGGACCTAATGTTAGCTCTTGGATGGAGTTTTAACAGTTTTATTTTCAACTGTCATCCTAAGACGTTGTGTATTCAAGTGTTTACAGAGCAGAGCTAGTAAATTGCTTCTGTTTGAGAGTTGTGCATGGCCCTGGAACAATGTTCACTGCCAAAGAAAGGCTGTTCTTGTTCGCAGCAGTAACATGGGGCAGAGCTCAGGGAATAGCAAGATGTGTTAGGAAGAGTGGGGTTTTTTTCTGTGTTTTTATTTCCAGTGTTCTTAAGGTGTCTTAATGCAAGCTTAAGTGTTTAGAATAAAGAGTGGCATCAGACTTGATCTACCTGGAAAAAAGCTATTTCTGGTTGATATTCTCTTAAGTTATGAAGTACTGCCTACTACAATTAGAATTATACTTGAATGGAAGTGATTGCCATGACTTTATTTTCCACACTGCTTGGAATGGAGGCAGAAGAGGTTCTAGGTAATTACTTAAACATAAAGTGCCTTGTGAAATTGGAATTCAAATATATGTTAGGGAATACAGAATTATCAAATACATCTGATACAATGACAAAGAAGACAAGGATGTCTTAATGTAACTTGTCAAATGTAAAGCTTAACCCTGTAACATTTTAACAGTAGAGGAGCAAGTCTTTTCTAAGTACTAAAATCACTGGAGAATGAGAATGATAAACATTTGGTGGATCTCTCCCTGATGCAAGACTGAAAAGGAAGCATATAAGAACTGGGAGTGCATTGTCCTCGGCTTCTGTCTGCATTTAAAGATAACAGTTTGCTTGTGTGGTCCAGAGACTAAGCATTATAATTCAGTGCAACTAGCATAAAAAACTCGACTGTGTGGTGATTATTGTCTGAAGAATTTTAGGACTGAACAAGAAAATCACAATCTCTTTGAGCACAGTCAAAATTATTAAGCAATCGTATCAGGAGAACATATGTACGTTTAACTGCTATGGTAAGGAGACTATGTTGCTTTGAAATAGCCAACAATTCTGTCCTGGGATTCAGATTTCTGGTGAAAAACACTCACCTGTAGTCTAAAGAAAGATTTTCCACATTCATATTCCAAATTGCACTCTGGTTCCACCAAGTCTTGTTTCTCTTGTGATGGAACCAATTTCTTAAACTTTATTATGTATAGGTAATGATGCTTTCTTATTTTAAATACCTTCAATATAAAAAGTAAGCTTTCTAAATACTCTCTTTGGTTTTCTTTGTGCTTTAGTTCTCCATACACACTCAGAGTAAGTCTCTCTTTTTGTACCTTGACTTTGCATCTAAAAGTAGGGATAGTGCTGCTTCCTCTCTCATAAAGTAGTCCGGAAAAGCTGACTAAGTAATTAGCTCTATAAATAGCACATATAGCAGTGGACCCCCACACTTGGTGGAAGCCTCTGCTGCTATTGTAACACCGGTAATAAGCAACACATAAGCAGTGCATTTCTAATTAAATACTGGTATTTCATTCTAAAGTAACTTGTGCGCAGCATTTACATGTTGCTTGGTTTAGTGATTAAAATAAGGAGCATTTTTCCTTCTACAGGGATAAATGAAACAGGGAAATTTGGAAGCCCTGCAGTTAACATAGTTAACATATCATAGTTTTGCATTTGAGTAGGAATAGCGGTAGGAGCAGTGACTTGTGTTAACTCTGAACCACGTTACACTTCCTTCTGTATTTAAGCATTTTTGAAGAAAAAGAGCATTCTTACTAATTTTGACTGTTTGCATTGTTCACAGAATGAATAATACTGTTATGCTGTAACCTCTCCTTTTATGCTTTTCTGATCACTGGTTATGGTCAAGAAACACTGAAGTAGAAAGTACAATAGAATTTAAAATCAATGTGAAATAATAACCTACAATAAGACCCTCACTTCATGTATTGGATTACTTAATTCAGCCAAAGATTTGAAAAGACGGAACTATAGAATTTTCTGGCTGAGCACCTGGAATGAGGCTTTGTAGTGGTAATAACATTAACTTTTGATAAGTGGAAGTTCTTCTGCTAGTGTAAGTAGTATTTTTTTGCAGTTTAAATGACAGTTCTTATGGAAATTGGGGGAAAAAAAAAAAGATCAACCAACCTTCCTTTCTTTTCTAGCATTGGAATAAAAAGCTGGGCAAAGAGATTAGCATCTATAAATATTAAAAACTCGAAGACTCTCATGTCCAAAAATATCTGATACTGATGGTTTTATTTGGTACTTACATAAAATATTTTCCTTTGCTCAAAAAAAATAACATTTTGCTGCAAATGGGATATGATAAATTTTAAGTATCTAACAGATTTTCTTAAGTATTTGCATTCTGAATGCATTTATATTTAAATATATTGTATTTACATGATTTCCGTTTCAACCTTAAAGTTATTTGACACAGATCACAACAAAATGTAAAAAGAAAAGAAGCAAATCTGTGTTTTCTAATATAGTAGCTTGTACGAATTAAAACCTGTCCAAGTGTATAAATGTGTATGTAGGTATCATCTTGGTTAGCAAAAAAAGTTCCTTAAAGCTGGGTTTAACTGCAAATCAGTCTGAATGATAACCAGCTAACGAAAGTATTGGGCAGATTACAAAGGATATGTTGGAGTGTTAAAGATGCTTTGCTTGACATTTAAAGTAATGACTAGCATCAGCGCTATAAGTAATTTTGATAGTAATACCGCTATTCTGCTTTGTAAGAGTTGCATCAGGGTTCATTTGAAATCGTAGCTTTCCAGTCCACTGTGTTTTCTTTGTTAGTATGTCAATAAACTGCAAAGTCAGAACTACCGTTTGACATGCCAAGGATGCTTCTGATGTAGCATGCAACTTTTAAGTATAATTGAGGTAAAATTAGATAGAGTCAAGGGACAGCAATTGTTGTTCTTCTGCAGATAAAGAATTACTCTCCCATGGGGTTTAGTTTATATATGACCATCCTGTTTTCATGCATCAGGTAGAAACGAAGAGTTTGGTCTCTTTGTGAGCGGGTTAAAGAGCATACTTCAGTATTGGTAGTGAATACTTCTAGTTCGAGTGAAGGACAAGCTGCTTGAGTGCTGTTTGATAAGTGCTTCACCTTTCAGCAGCTGAATAATCGTAACCCAATGCTTTCATATTTTGTGTGTGAAGGAGTTCTTTTCCTGATTAGAGGAGGAACAGTGTTTTGGTGATTCAACCTAATGGTCTTTAACTGTGCAGTGAATACACTGGTTTATCGCTTAATAACATACAAAGCGACTGTAGCCCCTCAGTGTGGGAAGAGTTCATCCGGCTGATATCTTGGCAGTTTATGAACACTAACAGGATGAGGAAATCTGTTTCCTTCCTGAAACCTTGTATCTGAGGAATATACAGACACCATTTGAGAGGTTTTTTTGTTTTTAGGTTGTACTAGTACAGGATTTTGCTGTCCAGACAAGGATATGAAACTGCTTATTGTGAGTTGTTAAATTTTTATTAGAGATAGCACATGAAAGATACACCCTGATGATAAGCACAGCTTAATATATGTTGAAATGAAACATAATTATTGGAATTTGTAATGGTATAGTTCTCTTAGCAACATTTTAACTCGCGCTACAACAGCTCTTTTGCAAGGATGTCTTTGTCTGAATTCAGTCCTTGCTTAAGAAGGCATCTGTAAAGAGCAGAGCTAAGTGTAGGAGCTAATTAATTTTGAAGGTTTTAATTGAAAAGCTGAATGCAGAAATCCCCTTTCACAAACCCAAGAAAAAACACAATTTGGAACTAATGAAAAATGCTTTATTTCCTCCAAGAGTAATAACCCACAATGGAGGACAGTAAGTTTGTGCAAATAGAGGAAGACAGATCATCTTCCAGAGGTTAAAAGAATTCGCATGAAGTTTGCTGAATTGGAAACACATTTTAGAGTTAGAATGGTTAGGCTTTTCTCAACCCGGTTCTGCAGTACTGTACTAGTAGTATGATAAGAGTTTTTCTCAGAGCTGTCTGGAAACAGTTGTTACTGTTCTTTAAGCCTGCAGACCATTTCACATATGACTGACAGACTTATTCCTCCTGGGCTGCAAAAAGGCGTTTTGGATATGCTACTGTCAAATAGGAAGATACATTAAATAGTAAGAAAGAATATCAAGAACAAATAACACAGTAACAGAGACTGCAAAGGCAAGTAAGATACTGACCCAGATGCATCTGCACTTACCCTTACATTCTCCTGCTCTGTGCTTTATAAAGACTTTACTGCTTGTCTGCTGGCATGGTGGATTTTTACTTTAGCTAAATCCGAAAGTTACCATCAGCATTTGGATAATGCACCCTCATACTCATTTTATGCTGCTCCCTCTGATCTGTTAGAAAATCCCTGGTCCTAAACTCTTGACACTGCATTGATTCAGATGCCTTCATTAACTTCCTTGCCTCTTCTGCTGTGTTAACATCTCTGTGCTGGCGCTTACTCCATAATCACATCAGAGCTTGCTAGTCAGTAAAAGTGCATTGAAGCAGATCCAATAGCAGGATCAGGGCTTCAGATTGAGCACAACTGTTGCCTTTGATCTGTCCTGTGTGGCTGTACAGATATGTATATGTAAGTAAATGGGTTACAGTAAGTAAAAATGTACTCAGTTGGCTTTCTGTCCTGTATCTGCAAGAGAATTTATAGCCATAAAAGCAAAACACATCAAAAACAGACAAAGCAAGTTGCACACTGCTTCATAATGTGCACTTCACTAGGCACTTTTCCAGTACAATGAGACAGTAAACTAAGGTTTTAATGTTTTCACAATAAAAGTCTGTGAAATGGTCAGTTTTTAACTTCTCGAACAGTGCTTTGGTGTAGTGTCTCAGAATCAAGTGGGAAGGCTGGAGGAGGGTTCTGCCTGGATCCTAACAAGTGGACCATCACCATTCTGAATCATGGCAGTGAAGTTTTGTGTGTGTGTTCGTTTTGAAAATACAACCCAAATTGTTACATTTTCTGTGGTTTACAGCTCACAAAATGTGAATTAAGGCAGGAAGCCAAGGAGGCAGCATAACCAACACCTTCATTTTGGTTTCCTGTCAAACTCTGTTTTCTGAAACTAATTCTGTTGACTTTTGCACTTTCTTTTTTAAAATGGATGAGCTCACTTTGTAGCAAGAAAATGAACCAAAAGATCAACACTGTGCTTAGTCACACTTTATCTTCTTCAGAATACATTGGAATTTTTTCTAGTAGTAGGTTTATTAGGACTAACGGCCTCCACAAAGATTAAAGTGACCTTGGTTTTTTGCTTTCGTGGCTCGAAGCTCTTGACTTATATCAGAACGTGGGGTTTGAAGAGTTAGAAGAATCCACTTCAACAGGAAAGTAGGGAGTGGCCAGTATGTATACTTCTGCCACAAGGCATGTGATCAGTTGGAAAGAAATGAGCTCATCTGGTTGTTCAAAGCCAAAAAGGGAAGAAGCTAGCAGCTGTTGTCTTTAAAGTCAATGTGATAATGAATCACTCATGCTTGGGTTCCTATCTTTTTGCTCTTTGAGTTCCTGAGCTACTGCTGCAGGAGGAAAACAAAATACACAAAACCAGATCCATTGAAGTGTTCCACTCAGTTATTTACCTAATAAGATTGTGGCTTAGCTGTTATTCTCATGAAATGTGCACGTTCTTGCTTGCCATTGGAAGCAGGTCCCATCGGTGCATCCCACTGCCCCTTTCTGAATCAGTCAGCAAATAGCAAGGTTGTGCGTCATCTCAACAAAGTGCTTTGTCTGAAAGAGTGCTGACAAAGCTCTGGCAGGTTTTTCTGGAGAAAATGGCTTGTCTCCTTATGTCCCTGATTGCTGTTACTCACTGTATGAGTCTAAACAATCCAGCTGCATTTGCGTATGCATTGTGCACGGGTTGGTTTTGCTCCTCTGTCTGCTGTTGTACTGTGTTTTCAACAGTTTCAGGTGCCTTGGTCTCAACAGTGAATCTTCTCTTGATGGGTTTTCTTTACACTCTTGCTGGAGTTTCCCTAAACCAGATGAGACTTCACATGCATTTTGCAGTTCTGAGTGAAGCATGTGCTTATGGAAGTTTTAGTTGTGTTCTTATTTATACACAGGGAATGGCTTTCATTTTAAAATCCTCTGCCTCTGTGAGATTCACAAGGGCAATCTTCATCAGTATTGATCATATTTGATAGCCTGTTGTCAAGTGGAATCTTTTGTCCTACAGATGGAGTAAACAGCAACATAAACCCCACTTAGAAGCTTTTATTCAGTCAAAGAATGCAGCTTCAGAATTAATTGTATCCTATTCTATTACTTAGACAAATCAGCAGTGAATTGGGGAGAGCAAAACCTCTTTAATACAAGATCACTTACAGCTAATGAGCAGCTTTATATAAAATCAAAGGATGAAGTGTTTCAGAATGCACATATAAGAAAGGAAAGCAAGCTGTGCAAGGTATTGTTATGTGGCACGTTCAGTTTATGAGAAAAGATACTTCACTTGACATACAAATTTAGAAGCTACGCAGCATATTACAGATGGGGAAATAATAAGCCATTATGGTTTAGCATTTTGATTGAGCTGTTAGTAAAATTCTAAACTGGTGGTGTTATTGGGGAAAAAACCCTCAGTATTATGATTGACTTCTGGAAGGAGAGGTCAGCTCTGTTGCAGTGTTACAACTTCAAATCACCAACAGTGGTCTTCTGAGCTTTTGGCAAAGTTATGGAGCGCTAGTCCACACCTAAAATGTGCCCACAGCGTTCAATGTTAGCATCCCTATGCATGGTATGAAACAAGCACTTCCAAAGTAGCTATCTCTCTGTTTACAGCGTGCTGTATGCCGATCTAAACAGTGTTATTTCTTCCTTGGGGACTTGCTTTTAAAGTCAACTTTATTCTGATGTTATTTGTTAAACAGATTGAATGTTCTGATTACAGTACAGCTGAATATTTGGCTGGTTTCATTCTCCAGGTTTGGCACACCTGCAGAATAAACTTTGTACTCATCACCGCTGGGATGCTGATGTGCTGCATCAGTCTTGGCCCAAAGTAGACCCAGAGTACCTTCAGCCATCAGATGTTGTGGAGATGTCTGTTCTGGTAAGAGCATTTTCATCTGCTTAAGTCGTGGCCAACTAATGCTTTACAAGCTCTTGTGGAAGTCACTTCCCTTCTTAGGTGGCTCCAGAGGGACTAGAAGCTGCAATTACCATTATGCTGAGTAATTAAAATGGTTTCCTAAATGAAATGAATGTAGTAAATCTGGAAGGGAGATGATCTAAATCTAAATCTTTTTGAGTGAATGCATATTGGTACCTGTGGAGATCTGACTAATGAACAACTGTGTGCAAGGGCGGTACAGTCAAAAGTATGCTCAAAATACAAGTCCCTCCAGATTTTTTGCCTGACAGAGAAAAAATGGCCCTGTACAAAAATGTATACTTAGTGGTACCTATAGTGCTATGGTTGCCTAATACAACCCCTCACAAGCTGGGTTAAGTTGCTGTCATTTTTGCCAAAAGATGCTTCCTGTCTGCCTTGGGATGAATTTCTGGCACGTTGCAGGAATGAGGTTGAGGAAAACCCTGTATCTTTGGTAACATTATAACTGCATTCCACTTTCTCTTCAAGCTCTAAGACTGTTGTGGTCTAGGGAAAAAGCCAGCAGTTCAGTAGAAGAGTAGACATGTAACGACCTTTAGTTAACCTGTAATTTTCCAACGTATGTGTACATGCACAGTGTAGTTTACTGTCATTTCCCTATGTCTTTGGTTAACTAGTCTGTATTCAGCAAGCTCCCAAGCATCATAAAGCTTTAGCATTAGATTGTACACAGTAGCAGCAAGTGCCACTGCAACTGTAAGAGAGGCTGCCTCCAGCTAAACACGTGGGGATCCATGTGTAGTGTCAGCCCCTCCATCAACTGACTCCTGGTCAACTTGCCTTCAGGTTTAGTGATATGGTTTAATGGTGGCCTTGGCAGTCCTGAGGTAAAGGTTGGACTTGAAGATCTTAAAGGTCTTTTCCAACATAGTTAATTCTCTAATTCTGTTCTGTAAATTCTTCATGCTCAGGCATGTTATGGAAGTCTGTAAATACGTAGTTACGTGCTATTAGAACTGCAGGACTCCTGCCTTTTTCACTGTTCACCAAAGAATAACCTTTAATACAGCGTGCAGACATTGAATGAAATGGAGCCTTTACAAGAAATGTAATTTGGTCCTGTAAAACTGCATGTGCTGTGTGTGTAAGAGGAACAGAAATAATGCATTTATTCTGTTAGCTTCCTCGAGTAGGAGTAAGGCCGTTAAGTTATTGCTGTTCAGCTTGGGTTTTTTTTGAGGAGGAAAGAGGCTGGTTGGATTTAGGGGAAGTCATGTTGTTGTAGATTTCCTTAATCAAAGTATCTTTGCAGATAATTTCATGTCTTGCCACATCTCTGTCAGTCCACTTGATCAGAATGAGAAATGCTGCTAAAACACTGATTTTTGTCCAACATTCAACATATGTCCTTAGCAAAGGCCACAGAAAATGTATTTTTGGAGGAAATTTTTCACTGACATCTTTTCCCAAACCAAGGAGATGGACTCAAGTATCAGCTGGGATTAAAAGCAGATTTAGCCTAATATTCACTGTGGGTTTGTTGCTTTCCTTCTCTCCTTCTTTCCTTCTTCGTCTTTCCTTCCTTCCTTCTTTCCTTCTTCGTCTCTCCTTCCTTCCTTCCTTCCTTCTTCGTCTCTCCTTCCTTCCTTCCTTCCTTCTTCGTCTCTCCTTCCTTCCTTCCTTCCTTCTTCGTTTCTCCTTCCTTCCTTCTTCATCTCTCCTTCCTTCCTTCCTTCCTTCCTTCCTTCTTCGTCCCTCCTTCCATTCATTTATACCAGTAGAAATCTTCACTGAGGTATATAATTTCCTCAAGCTTCAAAGAAACCTTTGCCTTCAAGCACAGCTAGCAAACATCTTTAATTCCAGTGTCCAGTTTATAAGGAAGTGATGAATGAGAAATTGTGTAATTATAGAAACTTGTTTACAATTGTGGGTAAAGCAAATCTGGTATTAAATATATCTTTAAAATAAAAGCTTCAGCAATACAGGGAAAACGATAAACTCCAGTGGTTTTAAGACTATAGAGCCAAACATGAAAATGTCTGAACATTTCACTGCTGGTTTTATGCTGACATTGAAACTTCCTTCTCACAAATAGGAACCAGAAAAGTAAAAATGAATTTTGCTTTAAACAACCATTATGAAAATTATGTTTTGTTTCGTTTCCTGGTTGACTGTGTCAAAGCCATAGCCTTGTGGAGAAGTCTTGTAATAAGGGAAAAAGCAGTCCCTGTGTTCTAAGTCATACATGATGTAGATAAACATCTTCCTTAGCTCTGAGAAAGCCAGGGACTGGGAGACCAAAGAGACAAGTTCCTTTTTTCAAACTGGCAATAATTCTTTAGAACAGTGGCTAGGGAGTATCCCTGGCTTCCTACTGTAAGAGGAGGGCAAAAGGGAAATATGGAGGAGCAGGGGGAAATCATAAATGTGAATATTTGTTGCCACTGTAGGTTTTTGTATGACTGCAAAAATAAATTGACCTCATTAAACCAAGAAACACTTGACAAATGGAGGAATTGCTCAGTTGCAAAGAGGCAGTGTCTCTTCACAAGGCTGCACAGTCAAACTGAGTCTTTGGGCCGCAACCCTATTCTTCTCGAGACATCTAACAGCCTCAGGCTGCCAGGGATTTGCCTGCTGAGACATTCTGGTTTTATTTCTCTTGACACAAAATACTTCATTATTTCCTGTCTGTGCTGGAGTTATGTCTTTCCATATTTAACCCAAAGCAGCAAAAGCAACCAAGTTTCTGCATCCTCAGCCGATAGAATACAGATTGCTGAGAAGACAGACTTTTCAATTCACTGCATATGCCTGGTATCTGTTACTCTAAATGTTATTGCAAAGTTGAAGATTTTGAATTGTACTGTATGTTGTTAATGCAGTGAAAAACCTGACCTGGATGCAGTGTGCATTTCAGCCTATGAACGAGCCCTGGGGTGAAATGATGAGCATTCCTCACATTTTCTAGGTGGCACAGGACCATTAGCAGCGTCTGTCTTACAACTGTGGTCTCAGAACTGATGTTTTTCTAAAGTAAAAAATAGTTGGTGTCACTTTTCTTGCTTTGGCATATGAAGAAGGCCTCAAAGTGCACAGATAGTTATTTTCCTTTGCACTTCTTGGATGGATTAATGCATCAGTGGTAAAAAAATACCAGAGTTGAACTAAACCTTTTTTTTTTCCTCTGCAGCCTCCAGGTGCTTATTTTTCAGTCTTTTGTGATTTCATTTCATCCTTGATAACCCCTTGAGTTCCCTCTAGATCCAAAATAGTCTAAAATGTCAAATAGTTAAATAATAACTTAAAAAAAGAAGAAAAGAAAAAGCATCCATTTCCTTCCTCAGGGGAAGGAAGGACCCAAGCATCATTTATTTCTCCTCTTGCAGTTTACCATGTTACGTCAGAGAGAAAAGGCTGCCAGCACCCAAGTTTCTTGGGCTGGCACTTTGACCTGGAGCTGCTGAAGGTTATGCAGAAGAGAGATGGAAGCAGAGCATAAGATATTCATCCTGCTGGCAATCTAGCCCCTCAACTAAAACAATACACAAATAGGAAGCTTGCAACACTTAGTGTGAATTAAATCTGCAGATGCTTATTTTAAGAGTGGTGTTAATATGTTTACATCATGATACCTATGATATAATGAAATCCGTGCTGCAAACATGTGCTGAAATCATCACTAGCCTAGCATTTGATAGCATCACAGCACACTGTGGGAAGGTATGCAGTGTCAGGTTGCCCAGTCATTTGTTTACTAAGTTGATTTGAACCTCTTGGCTTTTCTGTTGGGAACAGCACCAAAAAGGCTAGCGTGGCAAGTTTCCGCTGGCCACCATCCGCCCACTGGGACCTGTTAATTTGCATCACGGACAGTGAATGACATTTTAACTCAGCAGGCATAGTTTTGAACTGCAGCCTGTGTGTCCTAGCAGCAAGCTGACAAGTGTGCTTTATATTATCACTAAACGTCTGGCTGTTTGGATTGTACTGTTTTCTTTTTCCTATGGAATGCATTTCTCCCCTGAAGTGCCCTGTTGAAAAGAACAACTTGTATTTATTTTTCACAAAAGCTTTTAAAATGAACTCTTCTGTGTTTTTCAAAGGGATTTACTTTGCACCAGGTGCTAAAGGCAAAGTTTAAGACAGACAGCCTTCTATGGTTCCGTGTTACGGCTGCATGTAGGAATAGCAAAAAGCCTACCTACATTATCACTGCAAATTAATGCTGAGTCTGGTCAGAAACCAAAAATGACTCATCCCAGCTGCATCTGAGACTTCATCTTGTTCCTTAAAAATCTGTACCAACTTCCTCTGCCAGAGGATTGCCCAGATTATTGTATTTTTCAGTAAAATACAAACTAGGTAGTGAGGTAGGTCTCTCTCATTCGTGGTATGTTACATACGTGTATCCTGGCTGAAATCTAGGTGAAAACCAAACTGTGTGTATTTTTATGTCCGAGCTGTATGAAGCAACATGTTCCTTTTAGAGGGCTGAAAAGCCATTGCATTGATACTGGAAATCAAAGATCTGCAGTACCTACAGCAGACTTTCATGCAAGTAATTTGATAGAGCTGGATTAAAAAGTTCAAATTCTTTCATTTGCTACGTCATGGGATGGCTGTTCTGTTCATTAATCCTCTGCAAGTACTCCATATAGATCTGAAAGCTTTTGTAATCATGAACTTAATGCCAGTTCCAGAAAGGTACTCAGTAAAGCTCTGTAGTCTCTGTCCACTGTCTGCCCTTACTGGATGACAGAAAGTATTCACAAGACCATTTTATACATTAAGGTGATTCCCGCTGAAAGCCTTACTCAGTTTTACTTACGTGATTCTGCCCTGCTGATGCAAAACCAGCAGGGAAGCTGCTCTGAAAACCAGCCACACAGAGGAAAGCATTATTTTATGCGTGGTTGTCATCTTTGTGGTCAGTGTTGGCTTAATGAGTCATGCATTTAGGACAAATGCAACATACAGCGAGTTAAAGCCTGGTTTTCTAAAAACAAGCAATGATGAATCTTGCTGGTACCTTTTCAGCCAAATATTTTAGTAACACTTGCATTTGGATCTCTTTAAGGCATTGCTCAGCTGGAAGGAATCCAGGTTTCAGCCTAGATGTACGTCCAACCAAGATTCCCACTTGACAAACCACTGTGTTCACTCTCATTATTCAGCTTGCATAACTGTCACGTTTTTCAGCCTCAAAGATCGCCGTGTTGCATAGTCACATGCTCCTTGCTGTCTGCAAAACTAAGGCTTCCTATGGCCACTTCTTCAGTTTTCCTTGAGTATCCTGAGTCAGAGTTTCATTCTCTTATGACAGTTGGACAGAGGAGGTATGGCGAATGTTAGCCTCTACTTGGAAAGTTGGATGGTGGCGAAAAGAGAGTTTGGTCCGCTTTCTGTGTAATGAGATGGATTGGGTTCAGGCAATGAAATTGCATAAACCATTCTAGTAACTTCTGTGCTTTTCTCTCATTTTCATGTCTCTCTTTTCCAGATCAATAACAAAGCTTGTGGCAAAGTTTTTGTGCCTCAGCAAGCAGCCCGCAATTTTGAAGAAGTCCATGAGCTGGTTCTTCAGAGTGAACTTGGAGCCAAGCATCTCCAGGGGCGAACCATTCAAAAGGCCTTTCTGTCTCCCAGAACTGCCCTTATCAACTTCTTAGTGCAAGAATAGCAAAGCCTCTGCTGGGCTGTAAAAGGGACTGGAATCTTTCGAGGTGAAACCAACTCAAAAATACCAGTTATGGTTATTTAAATGTCACGTAACAGAGGGGAAGAAATGCTGTGACAATAGCTTGCTGTTAAATCTTCATTTCAATGTGGAGAAATGCGCAGAATTAAAGTTTCTAATGGAGTAATGGTAAGGTGATGTTTGTCCATATTCTCTGGGAGAATGAGAAGGAAGCACCAAATAACTAAATGATCGTAACAGAATCTAAATGATATGAAGTGCATAGGTTTGAGTCTCAGCCTTGGGAATATATCCTCTTGGAAAGTTGGCTTGGCTAAATGCAGAGGCATAAGTACGATTCCAGGACTGAAAAACTGTCCTGAACATGTGCTGCACCAAATGTTGGGTATACTTCAGCCAGTTTTTGCTCCCTACCTCTCATGATTGGGTACCCTGCCATCATTAACTAACATTTAACAGGACATGGTGTCCCTAGCCATGGCAGGGGGGTTAGAAATAAATGATCTTTAAGGTCCCTTCTAACTCTAACCATTCTATGAGTTTAAGCTGTAAGAAAATGTTACTACAGAGTGTTGATTATAAAAGGTTTTCTTTAGCCCTGCCCAATGCGCTTGTGCACAGCAGACAGCCAGAATGGAGTGGTTCGATACATTTCACATAGGTTTCAGAGCCAAGCCAAGAAAAAGGTCAGATTGTTTAGCTGAACCTAGCCAGGATCCTCCTTGCTCACTGGCATATTTGTGTTGGCTCGTGCATGAGACGTTCAGCTCCAGCAAAGTGCTGGCGGTTGTTTCTGCACAGAACAGAATGGAAGTTACTTCCTACGCATGAGCCATCTCAGAGACTTTCTCAGGGGATTCAAGAAAGGGATGAGTCTGCTGCTAGCAATGCAGCAGTGGGGAAAGCAGACAAGGCAGGCAGCAGCTTTTTGCCTCCACTCCTGATAGTGCCTGGGTCATAAAACTTGAATCAGGATTCTTTTACTGAGGGGTTCATGAGGTGGAAATAGCTGTCATGTTCCTAAAAATCAGTCAGACTTTCATAAAACACAAAGTCATTCTCATGCCTCCTTTCACCCATTTCGTTTGTACATTGTGCTGCTGTTACATCTACATGGAAATGTTTATTCTATTTAGCAAATACTTGAAAAAAGGGTGTCCGGAGGAACAATTACAGGGTTTATTGTGCAAGAATGTCTTTAATAGCCATTAAACTATATAGTCCAATAAGCCAGCCATTTCTGAGCCATTCTGACAGTTAAGAAGTTGGCAGTAACAACCAGGTATGCAAATACCGAGGTCTGTTAACCCTCCAGCCCAGCAGTCATCCAGACTCTGTATTAGATTAGAAGGAAACCCACAAAAATCTCCCACTTAACAGTAAATAAGTCCACTAGATCCTAAGAACTAGGATCAAGATGGATCACACTGTAGTGTGAGTACTAGCTAAGTAATGCTGGTATTCATTTTGGCTTTTAAGCATTTTTGGTACCGAAGATGTTGGTACATAACAGAGATGCCAACCTCAGTGAGCAGATTTGGCTCTACACATCCCTACTTCTGCAACAAAGCATTCCTGATTTCTGCTTCCTGCTGGACCACACTCCTGCAGATTTTCTCTGCAGCAGTCCTTTGACACAAGAATGACTAAGAAATGGAATATTTGTAATGAAGAGATGGTCTTTGCAGTTTTAAGACTCCAAAAGTCTCAGCCACAAAGGAATGCATTCAGACATTCAAACACAGGCCTTTAGTTGGAGTTAAAATAACTCGAATTCCAGTGTCTGCCTGACATGTATGTTGTTATTAATTCACAAACCTCCTGTTCAGAAGCCCCTGAAAGGACTGTGAAAGAGATCCTTTAAAGTAAAATCTGCAGCACAGTCCTGCTTTTATTTTCCCCCTGTATAAAAGTTGAGCACAGGCTGTGGAGCTGTTTTAATGTAGTTTTCCTCTGGGGGAAAGGTGACAGGTTTGGTGTAAATAACGGGTTTTAATATTTACAAGGATGAAGAGAGATGTTGTAAGCCCAGCAGCCCTACAGTGCTTTAACCAAAAGCTGCAGTCACTCCAGGGCTGAGCAGCAGCCGCAGTGTTTATTGCTGTTACCACTGGTATTTGCTCTTGCAGGAGGAAGTGAATTGTAGATGTCATTTGGTGATTCAGGCAAGAATCGAGATAAGGAATGGACTTCTACAGGCTATAAAAGGAAAGGTGGTGAACAGCAATCCCACCAAGAGCGGATGGTCAGAAGGCACACCAGCGTGTTTACAGTAAGTTGAATGATGTGTTGGCTACAGGATAGAAAAAAGGTGGTGGAAAAGTGAGAGCGAGATGGTGCAGGAAGTCTGACAGAGTCTAATCCCCTTGGAAGTGTATGTTTGAAGGAGGGCAGAGGTGCCAGATGTGGAGCTGTGAGGTTGTCCTGACAGCTGCTGACATTTCTTACAAGGTTGACCTGCTCTGAAGCACAGTTCTCTTTGAAGATAACTGTGGTCTGTTCCTAAATAGGGCTGATGCTGATACGCATAGGCTGCACGTAGCCTGTTGCCAAGCCTTTTTAAACTAAATTATCACAGATGCCTCTTACTTAACAGTTGTTAATTGTGTCATGGTACAGATGCATCTTTATGCTGAAGGTGGTCTAAAATGTTATCGCAGATTGTGTGCCCTTGAAGAGCTAAATAGTGTGGGGGTTTTACAGCTGGGAGGGGATACTTGAGGAGTGAGAAGGAAAGGAGCTGACAGGCCATCAATCAAATTGCATTGTGTCCGTCAGGTGTGGTGCCACTCACCTTATTCCATGGAAGGCAGGAGGGCTTTTAACATCATGCTAAGAAGCAGTGTTACACCTTAGGTCACTACCAAAAGCAGTGCTCTAGCCCGTTTGTCCTACCTATGCTTTGAGAAAATCCAGCCTACACAAGGGCCTCTACACACATGTATTTTTCCGTGCTCGACCCCAGAATCCAAACATGGAGATCTAGAGTAACATAAAATCTGTGTGCTCTCTCACTGAGCTACCTGTTATAGTAATGCCTCAGAACTGACATCTGGTTAATGATGGCTTTTTCTGCTTTGACACTGTAAAAGCCTGCTTGTTCCTTCTGCAGGGAGGAATTCCACTGATAATGCAGGTCATACAGCCTCTTTGTCTCCTTCAAGTGTAAATCCTCCTAGAAGGCTGTTCCTCTTCTCTAAACCTTTTATAAGCAACATGAACTAGAAGGAATGTTAATTCGCACTTTGCTGCCTGTTCCTTCTTCAGGAGGTTTGCAATACATGAGATTTTTCTGAAAGCTTGGCTATAAATGAGGACAGGGAGAGAAATCACTGGGTTTGGGGTTTTTTTTCCTTGTTTTGTGCTTAAGTTACTTAAGTTTTTGGAGGGTTTTTTCCCTTGTTTTGTACTTAAATTACAGTTTTACAGAGAGGGGATTGTCTTTATGTATATTTACTGGGAAGAGTACACAAACTGGTTTTGCTGGGTGCTTATTCTGCTTCTTCGTTTCTTCAATCCTACTACGATCAGAGCTGATTTTGTATTTCAGGTCTGTGCTGTAAGAGGTGTTGAACCTGAAGCCAGGTCTATCACCAGATAGACTGCGTGGTGAATATGCTATCAGTCCAGGTAACATTGCTGGAACTGCAGCAGTGCGTTATATTTCTTTATGGAAATGGGATTTATGTCTCAAAGAAGGAGCATAAAGCTGATCACAGTACATCAGAAGCAGTTTTTAGCATGTCTCAACTGTGGCAGGAGGAGAACTGAACTGGAGCATTGTCTCTGTGCAGGAGGGGACAGGATCAGAGCTCTCATCTGCAGCCCAGATGATAAAAGAGATCTTTGCCTGACATGCAGAGGAAAGGTGGGATTTTTTTCCCTTTCCTGGATAAAATGACTTTCCGGTACCACAAAGCATTCTGCAAGTCACTAACTCCATCTGTCCCTGGAGGCCCCAGTCACACACAACTGTTGTCTCTCATGGCACTTCTCTGACTCAAGCAAGCCCTGGGTTGTTGGGTCTGGTTTCAGCCCTGGAAAGCTGCAAATTGGCATCATCTTCCATCCAAAGCTGCCTCTAGTGTTATGTGTAGGCAGAGAGTTTGAACAACTGGGATTGTCAGTTGTTAGTGTCTCTGAATGGGAGCATTCTTGCTTGGATGTAGTGATGTTGCAGACCAAAGTCCTGATGGTGTTTTTCCATCTGCCAGTCTTCATCTTGGCCATGAGAGATGGAAAACTGAGTCGAGGTCAAGTGGATGCTGTATTTGCAGTCAGGTGAACATGGCCCAAACCTGTGAGAGATTTTGATCACAGGAATCCCATCAGAAATACCCCCCAATGCTGGACACCTGGGACTTTTCCATGTATGCTCATCTGCCTGTGCCACACCAGTCTGCTCTCCACTGTAGGCTGACAAGTTGCTTGTTCAGCAAAGGAACATGTCAGTGGGTAAAGCTGAAGTATAGCAAGTTGAATGTTCACATTCTTCCTGCTTGCACTTGTGATGCTCAGCGTGGAACGTTTGGGGCATAAGAGGCTCTTGTATTTGAAGAGCCTGGTCTTCTTCAGTTTAACACTAAGCAGAACATACACAGTTACATGAAGAGAAACATGTGCCTTTGTGCTTGCTGTCTTAGATGCAAGCACGCTCCCTGGGTTGGCTGCGAGAGCAAGGCCCGCAGTCACATCTAAGGCTCTGAACTTCCTTATCTACCAGTAGTTTTTTGCCCTTGCCAAAACCAAGCATAAAAGGTCCAAGGTTCTCCCAATACATCCACCTCCTGCTGCCAGAAGAGATGCACAAGCTGCCAAGCGAGGGCAGTTACTCTCCAATAACTGTGCTGGGTGCCAACAATATGTGAAGCGAAATATATAGAGTCATAGCAGCTGTAGGTGATCCAGTGCGCTGCCCAGGAATAATAAACACAGGACACATAACTGGGGCAGAGAAGAGAGTGATCTAATAAAGGAACATGAGGCATTACTGACAATGGCAGCCTGGGTTTGTTTCTGATGAAGATTAAGAGAACTGGCATAACAGGAAATTGTTTTCTGCTACAAAGGGAAATCAATTGTTTCTAAACACACAGCAGTGTAATTAGCAAACCTCACTAATTGCTGCACAACAGACATACAAGTAAGTGTGTGTTGCCGGGCTGGCTAAGCCAAGGGAGTATTGTGAGCGAAAATGTGGAAGCTTTTAGGAATGAATATTTCTCTGAAGTACGTCTCCATCCCTGGAGATCCACATGGCTGGATGAAATGCCAAGGGTGCAATAAAAGGATCTGCTTCCCAATTTTCCCATGTGAAAGAGCATTCAAAAACATCTGTTAGTCAGAGGCTTCTCCTAGGACACGCACGGAAGAACAGGGTGGATGCACTGACTGCATCTGGCAAGTCCACTTGAGGTCCACCAAGCCACGTGAGGCCAATGATTGATGGCAGGATGTCGTCTGACCTGCGGGGTGCTTCCAGCCCACGATTACTAAAGGCCATGTATGTTGGTTAAACAGGTCACTGTGCTGTTTGTGTTAATGTGCTGATAAAGAGGCAGGGAAACAGAGCTGGAAAATTCTCCAGGCAGGCTCTTGTCCCGCTAAAAGGCTCTTTTCAGTGGAAAATGGAGAAATCCATGTTCTTTCGGGCAGGGGTAGGAAAAACACCAAAGCCAGCTGTGCTATTCTGGTTCATCTCTCCAGGTGTTGGCCCCATGGAGGGACATTGAAGGGGGACCGGGATCTCCACCACGGCTGATGGTACCTGGAGAGAGGAAGGCAGAGGCTGTTCTCCTTGGAGCAGCAGCCAAGCACTTGGCCCCAGCTCTGGCCTTCCTCGAGGAAACCAAGCCACTGCAGCTCGGGGATCTGCAGCCTCTTCTCTCTGCTGCTTCCTGGGCTCCTGTTTGGGATCTGTGTGAGTCCCCATGGCTCCCCTCAGTTCCCCAAGGTGTGCCCTGGCAGGTTACCCTGCCCTGCCTCAGTTTACCCTGCACAGCATCCCCATCAAACTGACACTGCAGATGCAGTTAGTTAAGGATCACAACCCTGAAAGCCTTTCTGTGATGCATTCGTACTGCTCCACAAAGACAGTTTGGAAAGCTGTCCCTGTGCTGCCCTGGCCCTTGTGTGCCATCAGTGTTAATTAAATGACTCTTACCGTTAATTCCCTGCAGAGATCATACTCTGTAGCAGGCAGTTGCCCTGCAACATCCAAGTCTGGACCCATTTATGCCCTGAACAGATGCACAACCCAAGCTGCCTCTGCAGCTTGGGGGTTAAATGTGCATGCAGAGCAGGAATGCAGAGGCCCCTGGGGCAGCGGTGGGGAGAAACAACATCTCCCAACCCTGCTCTCTCTCTTCCTGCAAGCTTTTTGGAAGGCAGAGGATGAGGTTTGGCTTCTCCATGTCCACAATGTCCCACCCAGCAGCCTGGTCCTGGCTTTTCCACCTGCGGCACCTCTGGGATCACCTCCTGTGCCACCTTATTCCATCCCTCCCTCCATCACCCTCTTATCTACCCTCCAGCCCTGTGCATCATCCTCCTGGTATAAAGTACCCAGCTGGCGCAGATAAACAGTACCCCTGTTAGGAAGCAGAAAGAAGTGTCCATCATTTCCCTATGCAATGCACTATTGAGAGATGTGTTTGCTCCTGCAAGGACCAAGCCAGGCTCCATCCTGGAAATACTTCTGCCTTACACATTGTTCACTGTTTATATTCTAGCTCTGAAGCTTTTCTCACTTTCCTGCTGCAACACCCCAGAGCACGTATCTCAGTCCAGGTGGCCATGGCATCTTCTCTAGCCCTGGAGGGCTGTGCCACCCTAGCACAAGGCTGTGGCCACATGCCCAATGGTCCCAAAAGCAGGACCTCAGGGCTGCTTCTCCCCCAGCTGCTGCCTTGCCACGTGGAGCAGGGCTGGGTTACAGGCTGTCAGCATTATTCTGTATGAGTAAGTGCAGCGTGTAAGCCTTGCCCACAGGGAGAAAGCAGATGAAGTGGGCAGTGCTTTTTTGCTTCAAGGGATAGGGTTTAGAATCAGCTAATTAACTGGCACATAGATTTTGGTCCTGGGCTACAACAGCAGTCGTGGACCCTTCATTTCTTAATAGGCATGGTCTATAAAGCCCACAGAAACTGTAAAAGTGTGGGACCATACCTAATCGCAGCCTACAAGTACGTGTAGTATTACAACTCCTGCCTAGTAGAGGGTTTGGCTGCTTGCTTGGCAGTACCCGAGTCTCACAGAAAGGATAAATCCAAGCAGGAAACTTCAAAGGTGTTTTGCTGCCTAACGCTGACTGTAAGCGTTGTGAATTCAACACCAAAATGCTTTTGAGTCACTTGGCTATGATCCCCCTTCGGAGGCGCTTTGCCATCAAACTCTGCTCAGGCGTGCGGAGCCTGGGAGGAGGCCAAGCCCAGTGCGGCAGGTCCCTATCCAAAGAGCTTCAGCATCCTTTTCCACGTCATCCGCACTGTTCTGCAGACAGCTGAGCTGATAGGGGCTCTTCATCAGGGACTGTAGCGATAGGACAAGGGGTGATGGGTTCAAACTGAAACAGGGGAAGTTCAGGTTAGATCTAAGGCAGAAGTTCTTTAGTGTGAGGGTGCTGAGGTGCTGGCACAGGGTGCCCAGAGAAGCTGTGGCTGCCCCATCCCTCGCAGTGTTCAAGGCCGGCTTGGGGCAACCTGGTCTAGGGTGAGGCGTCCCTGCCCATGGCAGGGGCTTGGAGCTGGAGGAGCTTTCCAACCCAAACCTTTCTGTGAATATAGTATGAAATATAGTATATTTCCTATATAGTATATAGTAGATTCATATAGTATGCATATATATATATAAAGACTATGAAAGGATTTAATCCCCGTTTCACGCCTCGGAAGCGATTTGTGGCGGGCTGGGGGCGTGGCCAAGGGGGCGGGTGGCGGGGTCCCGCCACCCGCCCCCTTGGCCACGCCCCCAGCTCCGCCCCCTCCTTGCACGGGGCGCGTCAGGCGTGAGGCGGCTCGCGGCGGGAGCAGTTCCCTGGTCCCGTCGGGAAGGAGGAAGAGAAGGAGGAGGAGGAAGGCGGGGGTCAGCCCGCTAAAAGCCGGTCTAAATCATGGCCAAGTACGACGATCTAGGTCTGGAAGCCAGCAAGTTCATCGAGGACCTCAACATGTACGAGGCCTCCAAGGATGGTCTCTTTCGCGTGGACAAAGCTGCCGGCAACAACCCCGAGTTTGAAGAGACCAGGCGGGTGTTCGCCACTAAAATGGCCAAGATCCACCTCCAGCAGCAGCAGCAGCAGCAGCAGGAGGAGATGCTGATGGCAGCACTGAACGGAGGGGCTGCTTTCAACCCCCCCCGGCCCTCCCTGCCTGTGGCACGGGGGTCCAAGCCACCCCCGGCCGCCGCGGAGGGGTCGCGCGTGAGGCCGTACGATGGAGGTGAGGCCCCGGGCAGCCAGGCTGGGCGCTGGGGATGGGAAGCGGAGCCCAACAGGATCCCCAGACCCGCTGTGGGGCACAGGGAGCAACAGGCTGGGACCCCCAGTGACCCTCAGCCCTACCGTGGTGGGCAGGAGAATGGCAGCAAGGGCTATGAGCCGGCGGCAGCCGGGCAGAGATCCTCCTTATCGCATGCCCGGGCCCCCCCGGCACCCTCGGCAGGGACAGAGGATGGGGTACCGGGGGCCCTGCCACAGCAGAGGTCCTCCTCCTTCTCAGCCCCCAGGGCCGGAGGGGACAGCAGCCACCTGTGGTACCAGGGCGTCCCACTGTCCTTCCCCACCAGCTCCGCGCCCGCCACCCCCAGCGCGGACTACCCGCACACCACAGCTTATGCCAGCCCAGCCGGACACTTGGTGGCCCACGGTCAGAACCACCGGGCCAACGGCAGCAGCCCAAGCCCAGAGCCGGGCTCCTCACGCCTGGCCTCACGTGGGGTGACGGCTTCGGATGCTCCACAGCCGCTTTTCTCCGAGGGTGTGAGCGGACCCCGGTCGGACACCGGGCACCCCGAGGGCTCCAGCACGGCCAAGGTGAAGCTGCCCTGCCAGACCCTCCTTCCGCAGCAGGAGCAAGGGCCGTCGGCGGCTGAGCTGAAGCTGGAGGCGCTGACCCAGCGCCTAGAGCAGGAGATGGATGCTCGGCCGAAGGCTGATTACTTTGGTAAGGAGGCAGTCTGCCAGGCGGCGTGAAAAGGGTTCATTGCGAGGTGTTACTGCAGGGTTTGCACCTGCAGGGTTGTGTTTGCCTGTATGCCTGCGTGGTTTTGCTTTCTCAGTTGCCTGGGGCCGTGGGGTGTTATTTTACTTTATTTATCACAGGGACAGGAGGCTCTTTCTCCGGTGACACCTTTTTCTTTAAGCCTATCTCTTACATTTTTAAGAGATAGGAGGAGGGGGGTTGGAGATGGGGAGGACAGAGCTGAGAAGAAGCTGGAGCAGCATCTCTCGAAGAGCCCTTTGCTCTTTGCAGCGGAAGGGCACAGAGCTCAAGGGAGGCTTGGTGGTACTCCCCATGGAGATGGCCATGGCTGGGTGTGCTTGCAGGATCTGTGGAAGAGGAGTTGTTTGGAGATGGGAAGGGTGGTGGTTTCCCAAGCTTGCCAGGATTTCCCCACCAGCCCCAGGTGCTGGTTCCCAACAGCTGTGAAAGGCTCAGTGCATCCTGAAGACTGCAGATGAACAGACACAGTCCTCCCTAAATCTCAAGCAGTACATGTCTCCCGCAGAGGTTATCACTGGTGCTTGGCAGTGAAAAGGCACTGCCTGCATATGAGGATCTCCCAGTGGGAATATTAGATGTCCTGCTGGATTAAAGCAATTTACTGTCCCAGGATGGCAGAAGGTTAGGGGCAAATCAGGTGTTTCCTCTCCCTGCCTCACCACTTCACAGTTTAATAGCAGATGAGATAGTTTGGCTTTGGGGAGGACGGAAAAGTTTCTGGGAAGGCTGCGAACTCCGCGGTTAATTTAAGGAAGAACAGGAGCAGGTCTCAGTGTACGGACTTCCCTCGTGATTTTAGACCCGCGGTCAGAGAAGTAGAGGCAGGGCTGGGTTAAACTCTTCAACCTGGTGCAGAGGGAGGGTTGCACAGCATCCTGTCCGGTGGGGTCTGTGGGTGGCTCAGCAGTGGTCTGTGCACACAGGAGCAGCCATGGGCTTCACACTGGGCTTTGGGGACGTAGCTTGAGGGACCACGTTGCAAACTGTGTGACAAAATGTCTTTCTTGCCACCGGGCACTGGTACGTGCCCTCAGAGAGCTGTTCTGGGGTTGTTTATCTTGGTGTCAGAGTCTGGATCCAGCCGTGTGGCAGGGCAGACACGTCTGCGTTCTGTCGCAGAAAAGTGATGTGTCGAGTTGCTGCACTCGGAGCGTTTGCGGCTGGAAACGTGTTTTGGCGCTTTCCGTCCTGCTCGGTTTGAATGAGCCTCGTCTGGGGGGGGGGGCTGATGGCTGTGACGAGCAGCTGATAACAAAGATGTGGTTGGAACAACAGTCTCGCTGGCGGCAGTGCTCAAAAATCGGAATATAGCGGCGGGGGGAGGCTTTTGTCCTGCGGGAAATGTGTAGTGAACAGGAGTGATCCTGGCAGCACAGCACGGAGTGTCCTGCTGGGCAGGCAGCTGAGTTACAGGTGAGCCCCGGGCGGGGGGGGGGAATGGAGGCTGCCTGATCCCTGCGGAATTCGTTTGGCATCCTCGGGGCAGGAGGTTTTATACCAGGGTGTAGTGTCTGAGAAATCTGGGAAGGAGGAGAGGGAAAATCAGAGCAATGCAAGAAGTAAAGTTGTTCAGAGCCTCAGCTCTGTGGGGGAAGGCTCAGCAAATCTGCCCTGTAGAGAACCAAGGAGCAGGAAAGGGCAAGTACCAAGGTACTTTAATGCTGGCCCTCATTCCCCTTTCTTTCTCACTTTTATTTTCATTTATTCATAGTCGCCCTACTTCCTTTGGAGGGATAAAGGACCCAGCTGGTGTTCTGAATCTCTTTGCTATGCTGTGCCCTCAAGCTAGCAAACTTTAGGATGGAAAATAATACTTCTGTACAACAGTGATAAAAAGGATCAACAGTTTGTTTTGTTTCAGGCTTTCCCCCAGTGAAGGGAAGTCTAATGTAATAACTTTGCAGTACTAATACAGGAAATGAAACCAGGACTAAGCGTGAATGACCAAAGTGTTTTATCTAAAATGCTTACATCTCTCATAATTTTGGGTGCTGCTTTTGTAACAAAGGGATATTTTAAAGATAGGTTCTTCAGTCTGTCTTGGTTTTCCTTCACTGAGTGAAAATGAGTGTTTGTAGAGGAAAACCTAGGAAAGGGTAAGCTAGGGACTAGACAAAATGTAGGTAGGATGTTCTGCTGAGAAGTAACAGACAGTCTGGTTATCTGTCAGCACCAGCTTGCTATACAGAATACTTTGGTGTGCTCCAAGTACGTATAACAAGGAAACAAACAAACAAACCCAAGGGAGTTTTAATTTTTCTGCCTTTTTAATAGCGGCCTGTGTGAACAGCATGGGCTGCACATGTCCCTGAAGTTATCTGGATTCTCCAAGAGGGCTTTTGCAGTGCTGACTTGATTTATGTGGGCTGTCAAGGGGTACGTAGGCAATCCCAGGAATCACGCAGGACTTCAACTTGGGGAGGGGGGGGAGAAGTCCTGAAATTGCTCCTTAGAGAGGCTTTCATTCATTCATTCATTCCTTCAGCAGAGCAGGGGCCTCATGTCCCTTGGAGGTGTCGCTGGAAGCCAGCTTAATTTCTGTTCAGGTTTTTGGTGTACCATTTCCAGGGGCCATCCAGCAGTGAGGCACCTGAATCCCACAGATGTTCCTTTGGATACACCAGCCTTCATCTAACTTGGTGAATGGAAAGATCAATTAACTAGGAGGGATTGTGGGAGTTGCAGCTCCTCTACTAGCACCATATTTTGGGTTAGGTGAGGTGACACCATAGCGAGGAGTGGTACTGGATGAGTTTCCAGGTAAGACCTGGGCTGGCGCACAGCCAAACTGAGGAGCTGCCTGGAGGTGACTTGATAGGGAAGAGGCCTGGCTGAGGGGCAGCAGGATCTGCAGAGAGGTTTTACCATTGTTTTAACTAAGCCTGTGGTACCATACAGCTCCTTGGTCTGCAGGCATGGGTGGGTGTTTTTAGAGATGTAACGCGTAACATCGTGTTTTTGTGTGTGCTTATTTCACAGAGCTAGAAGAAATCTCCATCTGATGAGGACTATCTACACCCTTACCTAGAGCTTTTTTAAAAAATAATTCTTTAAATAGTTTTCTTGTTATAAATGTTTGTTAGGTGTTGATCAAGTTCTGGCTTCTTTTATTTGGAGCAGAGCTGGTAAGTTGTAGATATTTTAGGAGGGCCCCAGGCATCTTGTTTTGCAGTGAAATATTGGGATGCTTCCCAGCAGTCAGGCAGAGTAAGATCTGCTAGTGAAGTCTGCAGTTTTCTTTTCCCCTTGGCAGAAGTAGAGCAGTAGCTGGATGACTGAACCCTGTGGAGACCTGGAACCCCAGCACCTCTGAATTGGTGTGATCAGCTTGAAGGCCGACAGTGCTCTTTTGAGGTCTTGTCTACAGTGAAGTTAGTGTTTTACCACTGCCAAAACCACAACATGTTTTAACTTTAAGGCTGTACACAGCTGTGGACTTTACTGAACCGTGCTGCTGATGGTACACCAGGATGCTTTGGTAGTATCAAGGGTAATTTCAGGGCTGCTGAGTGGAGAATTTCTGGTTAAAAATGAAAGTTCTTCTGAGGTTTCTTTTGTGTGTGGATGATGATAATGATGTTTCCACTTGGGAATGAACAGAGGTATCCATTACTGCCTGCTCCTAGGCTAGAATAAAATCACCGAATCATAGAATGATTTAGATTGGATCATCCAGTTCCAACTCTCTGCCATGGGCAGGAGCACCTTTCACTAAACCAGGTTGCTCCTGACCTTGAACACTGCTAGGGATGGGGCAGCCACAGCTTCTCTGGGCAACCTGTGCCAGCGCCTCAGCACCCTCACTGAAAGAACTTCTTCCTTATATCTAACCTCAATTACCCTTCTGTCAGGTTAAAACCATTCCCCCTTGTCCTGTCACTACATGCCCTTATAAAAAGATGATGCCTGCCTGCAGCACAGAGGAGGGGGAGGCAGGATGAGGTGGGTCCTGGGTGGAATGAGGAAAGCTGGAAGGATCACAGCATGTGGGCTGGTGGGTGTGTGCAGATTGCAAAGCTTATCTCACTGCATGGAACCAAACAAATATGTATTCGCCTGGGATACTGCTCTTCACGATTACAGCAGTGTGTGTGCTTCTCCTCCCTTCCTCTGGGGACCTCAGCTGGGCTTGCAAACTAAGGAAAAGTCTACCAAAAGGAAAGAAGAAGGAGTTGAGGCAGAGGAGCAATAGGTCTTTCAGCCAGGATATTGTGGCAGCGGGGACTGAAAGGAATAGGAGCCTCATTCATGTGGCACTGGAGTTAACATTATCTCTGACATTGCTATAGGGTACTTAAAATGTCACTGACGTGAGTTTGATGGCATTTTTATACTTTGCTGGCAGTGTGTACTTGTTCTGCAGCTAAGTCAGGGGGTCAGGAGCATGGCATGCAAAAATGGTACAGAAAAATTGCACTTACCAGCCCTGTTTTTTTGGGGGGCAGGAAGTACCTGCATGTCTTTGCTGTCACTGAGTGACAACCCAGTCACCCGGTGGTGAATGGCACAAAACTGCCAGGCTTTTCAGTCACTGAACCTTACATGGGCCTCCAGATCTCCTTGAAATCCACTCTTCAGCAAGTGCGATTGCACAGTAGTGGGTAAAGCACACAGTGTGTGTGATTTAGAATTGGATGTAGAAATGACTGACTTAAGGTGAGCCATGGGGAGGTGGCATCAGGTTCTGGAGACAGTCTGAAGTAAAACCTAAAGAACTGAGCATCGCATTGGGTATGACAGGGTGAAGGCTTTTCTCAGCAGAGTCTTTGGAAAATGTGAGTGCAAGTGGGGGGCTTGGTTCTCCTGGAATAAATAGATGGGTTGCTGAAGCTGTGTATTCAAAATGCAGAGCCTGTGTCTTCAAAAAGGTCCTCATGAAGGACTACCAGGAGGCATCAGGGTCTGCTTCTGGATTAGCCATGTGTGTGGCTGGGCAGATGGAAAGGATGATACCAGAGGTATGGTTGTGCAAAGGTTCTGGAGTTTCTTCCATGTACAGCTGTGCATTCTTTGCTATAAATCCAGCCTCCTGTAAGGAGGGGACAAAAACCAGTTATGTTTGATGGAGAAGAGTCAGGCTACTTGTGGAAGCGCTGCGTGTATGGAGTAAGTGGAAAGGGTAGGACAGACTTGCTCTTCCAAGTGCTGTTTCTGCATTAGCTACATATGCAGACCCACACCACCAGGATGGTCCTGCTACTGCATTCCTCTTATCTAGAGCTCAACTGACATTGCAAGGAAATCTCACCACTGAAGCAGCACACTGTCATGTGTGACCCTCCAAAATCAAGCAGCAGTTGTAGCAAACCCAACCAGGAGCATGTGTAGCAAAGCTTGGCTCTCCTGGATGTTGCTGAGAAGGGGGATACTGCTGAGAAGTTAATAGTAACTAACTATGGTGAGCATGAAATAACAACACTTAGAGGAAAGGCTTTGAATCGGGCAGTAACTGGAAATGCACTTGTTGAACTTAGAGGGTGGCACTGACATCTGAGGCTGAGCACCGGGTTCGCTTTCATTTCTGACAGCCCTTGAGGTCTGCATTGGACATGTTTGATCTTGTGTGCTGAGGCTGTTCCCAGTGGCAGCCCTCCTCCTGGTTTGCAGTGCCGAGACAGAATACAGCAGGCACTGGGAAGTGGCTTCCAGGGCATGTTTTTCGGTCCCAGCTCTGCCCCAAAGGTCCCTTTGTTGAGGCACTCAGCTGCAGCGCAGGCGGTTACTTGCCGCATGATGCAGAAGGGAACAGAGATTCCTTTGTTGTGCGGGGCCCGGCTGCCCTGCTAGCAGAAATTGAGCCGAAATCAGCAATTCCCATCTCTTTCCCTTTTGAAATCTGGCTCACATTCTGCCGGGGTACTCAAGCGTGAATTTACCTGTGCCATGCGTGTGTTTCAGGCTTGTCATCCTGGTGACTAAAAGAAACCTTTTATTTCTCCTTAATAACATGTTAATAGCATTGTCTGAGGTTCCAAGTTGTCATTTCAGAGGGGATATCTCCTCAGGTCACTGCTTGCATAAACCATGGCTCTTGGGATCCCTCTGCTTCCAACTGAGGACAGGAGTTGTTGCTAAAAGCTTCTCTATGCCAAGAAAATCACCCAGAGCTGCTGACTGTTGTCAGCGGCATGTGGGGCTGGCCGGCTGGTGCTGGCCAGCGTTTTAACTCTCTTCCCTGGCTAGCAAAAAGCACGCTCAGCACTCTTGTCAGGAAATCACTGGAGCAGGGCACAGAGCCCGTTTTGCAGCAGAATGGGGCTGGATGTGGCCTGCGCTGTGCTGCACTGTCTTCCATCAGGCTGGCTTCACACACGTGTTCACCGTCCACTGTCAGCAGCAGGTATTGCTTTTTGCTTTCATAGTCTAAGCTGGAAGAACGGGATCATTATGGCAGCAGGCAGTGAATGGGAAATAAAGTAAAACAAAAAAAGTGGAAAGGAAAAATCAATAAAACCCACCTCTTTTTCCCCTTTCAGGCCAGGTGCGCTGAGTGTCAGAGATGAAGGCTCAAGCGTGTTACTTAAAATACTTCAGAATGTTATATTTTGAGGAAGCAAAGGCTTGTTTCTAGAATAATTCCAGTTGCTCTTGAGATATAATTGGCTTTCAAGTCAGATTTAGCAGATACAAGTGTAAAGATAAATTCTACACAGATTTGCCATAATGCCATTTTTCAGTTGTCAGCCTTGCCACAGGACATCTATAAATATTTATAGTAATGCTGGTTCTTACGTAGTTGTGAAATTCAGTACATTACAGATTTTATAGACAACATTGTCGTTTTATTTTAAAAGCTCTTTCATTCTGTGACTTTATTTTCCGTGTTTTAAAGGCTGAAATAAATATTTAAATAGGTGGATGGAAGGTTCCATCGGGGAATGAAATGGGGCATGTAGTGATAGCAAGGAGGAAGGATGGTTGGGATGTTCCAGGGACAGGAGATGGAGGAGGGTTTGAGTATGGATGGAGGACCACAGGCAGCTCTGCGGGATGTGGCCAGAATATTATCTGTCCTGTTGGCAAAACCACAGGGGTAGTGCCTGTGCTCTAAAGCTTAAATGGGATGGACAGGAGACAGCAGAGGCAATTTCTGCCCTCCATGGGATATGCATTAAGGTATTTATATAGTGGCTTTATACACCTGCCAGCGTCTTTAACATGTGCTGAGCCTGTCCTCAGCTGCTGCCTTCAACCTCCTGCTTTGTGACGCTCATCCATACTGAGAGTCACCCCGCTGCTTTCTGGAAAGGAGGAATCGGAGCATGCTGGTAACTTTTTCTGGAGCAGCCGCTCCTTGGCACAGAGAAGGGGAAAATGCAGCGCTTACAGTGCAGTAAATCTATTGGTTCTGCGGAAAGCTTAGTGAATGTCGTGGAAAGAAGGTCTGAGCAGCAAAACTGGCAGGTTTCCTGCTCTCCAAACTTTCTGCTTGGCATTGCTGTAGTCAAGAGGGAATTTTGCAGGGTAGCCATTAGCTCTTGTGTAAGACGACTGCACAGCAGTTCAGGCTGCTGCTGAATGCATGCACTCTTGGGACAACACATCCATTTGAAAAGCCACATTTTGTCATCCGTGTTTTGTCTTTTTTTGTTTTTCTTTTTTTTCTAATGCCTGCATGATTTATCTTTTGCCTGCTTAAGGTGTTTCTTTCAGTAAATGAGATAAATCTGCTTGATTCAGAAAGATTCAGCGAGTTTTGCTAACTTGGTGTCAGTCTGCTGCTGGGGTGGGCTCACAGCCAAGCTAGCATTTCAGTTCAGGTCGGGTTTGGACAAAGCAGAGTAACTCATTACTCTCTGCAGCCTTCTCTCCAGGTCTGTGTCAGTTTGGACTCTGGCTCTGAGTGCAGTGGGGCTTGGAGCAGCGCAAGGATAGCTTTCAGCGTGCTGGTTGAATGCGTGCAGGCAGCTGCAGCACAGAAAGCCAGGTCTGCTGTGGGAAAATGAAGTATCTGCTTTTCAGCAGCTCTGTGTGTGCGATTGCAAAGGGCTCCCAAGTGTTTTTATCCCTGTAATGTGAAAACTGACGGCTGTAGCTATAAGCTGCAGGAAGAGTTTTTTAAGCACCCTGGGAGTGCCAGCATGGTACTGCTGGGGTTGGGAGTTACTTTTGAGCGCTGTCGTAAGTAGGTGGCTGGGTTTCTTCCTAACTTTGACCAGACCTTTCCAATTACTCCAGAGCTTGTGGTGCCCTGAGAGAAGTGAAGTTTTGTTAACCACAGCATGACTAAGGATCTCCAGCAAGATGATGCTGTACCTCTTCCTGGGCCAGTAGAAGCGAGATGTCACCAACCGTCCCTGACCCAGGGAGTTTTGGGATCTGGGGAGATTGGGACTGAGAAGCAGTGGAAGGAGAGACCAGGAGGTGAAGTCACATCCACAGGGTTGTCATAGACCAAAGGCAGAAGCTTATCTTCCATTTGTCCTACAGTGTTTGGGTAGATCCAGGGTTATTTGCTTAAACACAGATTGAAGCTGCTCATTTAGAAGTAGCTAAAGGGTGATGCTGCGTTAAAACTGGTCTGTCACAATCATAGGGTAATGCCTGGAGTAAGTAAACTGCCTTGATGTGTCCTTCTCCTCGGACAAGGACTTTCCCTCCCTGGATACTAATAGTGGTTTTGGGCAGCCTTGCTGCATTTCTCCCTGTAAGGTGAAGGGAGTAGGTCCTGCTAGTGGATGCTGTTAAGGGCATGAAACTCAGCTGTCACTTGTTACGGTTATCAAAAGAGTGTTATGTGGAAATGTGGTGAGATTTGATAAGCCCCAGGTGAACACACAACACCCTTTGTGAACCTGCAGTGCTGAAGTCTTCTCCCTGCGCATCCTCCCCACCACCACCACTGTGCATCTTCCCCGTTGCCACTCGGGTTGGAGCCCCACACCAGGGCGGGTGCTGGTGGAAATGCGCTTGGGTGTGCTGGCAAGACACTGAGCTGAACAGCTGAGTGTGGTCATCTTCTGCCTCCTCTGGAGCTCCAGAGCTGACCCTGGTCTGTAGGTGATGGTGGTGGCTGGAAAGCCTGGGTGTGAGGAGCAGGTTGGACTTGCCCTTTCAACAGTGTGTAGCCATAAATTGACTGTATTCTTCCCCTGTCTCTCCTTTGCCCCATGGGCTGCCTGAGAGTCACCCCCTCAGCTGCCATCAGCAGCAGCTATTCTCTCCTCAAAACTGGTCTCCTGCTTGCCTTGTCCTGCAAGAGGGACATCTGGACAGGATGCATGGTCTGTAGGTAGCGCCTACATGCAGTCTCTGTTCAGATGTGTTTGACAGAGGGAAGAGAGGCAAGTGTTGGGTAGCCCAGCTCTGTTTCATTGGGAAGTCCTTAGGGCCTTCAGCAGATGTGACCAGGGTGTGAAATCATGAAGATTTAAAGGGAATAGGTGGTGTGTTTTCCTCATACCAATTGCAACCAACAAGCTTATTTTATGCAATAAGTAGCAGGAACACTTGGTCTGTGAAGAGCCCTGAGCACCATTTACTACCACCCAGACTTTTGGGAGGATCCTTAAGTGGTTTTAAATGTGTATAAAGGTTATAGGGAAGGATGGGAGAAGGAAGGAGATGTCACTGTGGCCAGTCAGGGCTGTTCTTGATGACTGTCATGACCACTCTTAACAGCATCTTTCAAAGTGGTGACGCCAATGTTACCTACATCTTGTGGCTTCAATGAGCCCCCTGGTCCCAAGCTGCGGAGCCACCATACTGAATTAGAGGTGTGGCCATCCATCAGTGACCCAGCCACCCCACAAGGTCCTGCTTCTGACCTCTGTCTCCCTCTTTCTGTTCCAGGCACCTGCGTGAAGTGCAGCAAGGGGGTGTATGGAGCAAACCAGGCTTGCCAGGCCATGGGCAACCTCTACCACGATGCCTGCTTCACCTGTGGAGCATGCAGTGAGTATCCCCTGTCTGGACTGCCACTGCTGCTTTGGCTTGACACTTTTCTGGCATACAGAGGAGGGGGGAGAAAAGGAGGTGGTTTATTTATGTTGTTTGGTTTTGAATGGATTTGAAGGCCAACAGCATCCTGGCCTGTATCAGAAATAGTGTAGCCAGCAGGGCCAGGGCAGTGATTGTCCCCCTGTGCTGGGCACTGGTGGGGCTGCACCTTGAACCCTGTGTTCAGTTCTTGCCCCTCACTAAAAGAGGGACATTGAGGTGCTGGAGTGGGGCCAGAGAAGGGCAACGGAGCTGATGCAGGGCCTGGAGCACAAGTGTGATGGGGAATGGCTGAGGGACCTGGGGGGTTCAGTCTGAAGAAGAGAAGGGGACCTTATTGCTCCCTACAACTGCCTGAGAGGAGGTTGTAGTGAGGTGGGGTCGGTCTCTGCTCCCAAGGAACAAGGGACAGGACAAGTAGAAATGGCCTCAAGCTGCACCAGGGCAGGTTTAGATGGAGCTGAGGAACAACTCCTTCCCCAGAGGGTGCTCAGGCATTGGAACAGGCTGCCCAGGGCAGGGCTGGAGTCACCATCCCTGCAAGTGTTCACACAGCGTGGAGACGAGGCCTCAGTGCCATGGGTTAGTGGTGGCCTTGGAGTGCTGGGGAACAGTTGGACTGGGTGAGCTTAAAGGGCTTTTCCAACCTGGTTGATTCTGTGATTCCTGCAAGGCATGTAGAAAAGGTACTTTGGATTGTGCCATCCATCTGCCTTCTGGTATGGGGAGCGTTTTTTTAACTCTAGGGCTAGTAGGATATTTTTAGAAGTTTAGCTGTATATATGGCATCAGAAAAGGTAATAACAATCCTTGTGGTGCTTGTCTATTTGGTTTTCCCACCTAAGTCTTATGGTTTTTCTCCTATGTTGTATTTAGAGTTGTAAGCTCATCAGGACTGCATGTGTTTTATTTGGAGCTGTAAAGTGGGAATAAATATAGAAAGATGTGTATGCTTTTTAATAATAGCTGAACCTTGAACTCTGGTCATTTCCCAGCTGTCCAGCACCAGCTGCCTTGCCTCACCTATGTTTTCAGTAGGGCGTTTCACTGCCATCTGATCAAAGAGGGGAAAACTGAAAAGGTGATATTTGCATGTGGTAGCACTTTCCTAAAGGCTCAGAAGTCAGCAGCTCACTCTTTTGTCCTCTCATATATGAATTCAAAATCCTCTCCTGCAGAGAGGATTCCTGACTGTAGCCAGGGCTTTGCTTCGGGGACCTCTTGCCCTCCATGGCTGGGCAGCCTCTGAACTGCCCTTGCACACAAAGCTCCTGTTAAAAATAATCCAGCAGCAGGTTCAAGCCGAGTTAAATGTCTAAAATTACTACTGTGCAACTGGTGCTTTAGAAGGAAACACTTCAGATCCTCCTTTTAGAATGGATTTTACCATCTTCATTTGGAGACCAGCACTAGAGAGATACCTGCAGTTGCAGAGGTAATCAGTGGTTACTTCTCATGGTCTGGTTAAAAAACAGCTTGATCCTATTTCTGATGAGTTGGGTTGGTGAGGGCTGATAGAATAGCTGTTTGTTGCTTATTCTAAAAAGCAACCCTTTCCAAAGGTTTCCAATGCAAGACAAAAAGGTGTGGGTGCCAGCTGAAGACTTAGGAAGATGGAAATAAGCCAAGTTTAGCAAAGTGAAGCCCATCTTCTCTCGTACCCAGGCTGTAACTGAGAAATGTGCTGAGATGACGTCCTGGGGCAAAGGGTTTCAAATGGAAAGAAGAAAACAAAGTACAAAAGGCTAGTGAAAATGCTGCTGTCGCCCAGAGAGGGAGCATGCCTCTCTGCAGGCTTTCTGTCATCCCTGGAGCTGCAGTAAATATGATGAGACCATTTTATCTGACAGAAAAGCAAACATTTGTCTGGGTGGTGGTGTGTGTCTAGCTGCAGAGCACGTCTTGAGCAGCCTGTGTGGAAACACTGGTTTGTAGCTGAAAAGTAAGTAGCGCTTTTAAGGTCAAGTGGAGTTCAGCTTGGACACCATCCAGTACAAACTTGTCTTTGAGAAGTCAAGGTTGCTCATGATTTCAGTCCTAAAATTTCTGCTCTGGTGGAACATTAAATATTCCCCAATAAGTAAAATAGGCAAAATTACCTATTAAGGTAAAGCATATTGTTCTCCAGATATTTATATCCTCTGTCCTGCTGGTTTCATTTTAGTGAGGATTTCTAATGTTGCTCATAGTTGGATTTGTGGCCAAATGTGCATTGGTTTCCCTGGTACAGCAAACTGAGAGGGTCTAAGGAGTGTGTGTGTGATGGATGATACCTCATAGAGCCAGATTTCCTACACCGATATACGTATGTTCGGTGATAGAGCAGTTTGTTGAGCAGAGCTATGCTAGGTTACAGGGTTCTGTTGTCAGGGGAAAAAATGTACTGTTTTATCTGAGCCACTGGCATGTAATGCAGAAAATTTGGCTTAGAGGTCAGAACAACAGATTTAGAATGATTACTTTGGCATAAATGTCTCATTTATCTTCTTGTTTGTTACAGGGCAGAGACATAAACAAGGCAGCTTTCTGGAGAGGGAGGGAGGAAAAAACCTCTTTCTGCAGGATTAGTAATAAATTATATTTGCTTTACAGGAGGGCTGTGAAAGTAGGTTAAAAAAGAAACTCCTCGAAACTCATACAACTGTTTCCTGCAAGCTCAAGGTGTCTGTTTCTGTCTTGGCTTTCTTTCCTTTTGCTTTTCAGTTTGTTGGACAAACGGTGGTAGTTGTCAAATGGTTTTGTTACTCATTAACCATTGCAGTTGGGGGTCCCTTCCAACCCTAATGATGCTGTGATTCTATTAATAGCTCCTCAGAACACAAAAGATGTAGGTGTTTCCTCATGCTGATGTTTGTTACTTGGGGAGTAAGGAGGTCTTATAAAAGATATAACTAGATGATATTACTCTAACCTGTTGTGGTTTAGTGTATTCAGCCAGGCTTATATCCAACAGCTGCAGGTTGCCTGGAAAACAGACCTTTTCAGCTCTGCTAGCAGCATAATTCAAAGCATAAGGATCTTGTATTTGAGCCACTTGATCCTCAGAGGAAATCTGAAAGCTAAAAAAGTGCAAGGGAAGTGTCCGAGATGACTGTGAAGGAAATCAGTAGGCGAGGAAGGAAGTCAGAAAGAAAGAACTGTTTCCAAGGTAGTTTGAAGGAGGTTCAATGTTGAACTACAGCAGAAGAGACAAAGCGAGGAGCAGATTTTGGACCCATCTTGCAAAGAGGTGGAAAGCTTGCATGCTTGCCAGGCTACAGAATTTGACCTTTGACATGGCAACATCCCTGCATTACTTTCTCTTTTCTGGTTTTTGTAAGCTCAGCTGAATGCTGATGGCTGTGTAAGGGTAACAAGGCTGCTGTGACAATGGCAGAGCTTGAAATCACATGGCAGTTGGCTGTTCCTTGCCACCCTCTGGGTATGTATATGTATTTTATGTACCATTTCACAACATAGTTGTGTGTCATTTACTAAATGAAGTAGCTAAACTATCAAAGCAGTATTATCTGGGAGCATAGTCCCCTGCTTGAGCTAAGTAGTCTGGCTGCAGTGATTATAAAGCATGACTACTTAAAGCAGTGCAGCTCTTGGTGTCTTTGGGCTAATTATGTTGAGTAAGTATGTCCTGTATTGGTATATAACCCCAGGAACATGGTTTTTATTGGCACCACTACATAACTCTACAAGTAGAAAGTCACCTTTTTCTGTGACTTAATGCCAGGCTGCAGGACAGCCAGCCTTGCCATGTGTATTTCCCTGTGGCACACGTATGCATATGTTTATCTTGAGATGAAGAAGCTGCCAACTCTTCTAGTGGAGGCAGCATTTACTGCTTGTAATTGGATATAAACCCATGACACCGATCAACACACATGAGAAATGTGCATCTTCAAACTGGGGAGTGCATAGCACTGCACTCGGCATCCCTCAATAGAGTTATCATACCAGAGTCTGTGTAGTAAACTATGTATATAATTTTTAGCAAAAGTAATGTCAGAAGGGATTCAGGTGTGTCTGACTTTACAGCTTGGGAGGCAGGGAAGGCATCGGTGCATTTTTCTGCTCCAGTCTAAATTGCTGCTTTGTTCTTGCTGACTTTTTGTTTTCAGTCTCTCAGCTTGCTGGTGAGAAATCACTGTTTGGCACAAGAAGTGCTTGCCATAGATGAGAAATGCCAGGACAGCTCTCACAGGAGGATGACAGTACTTGTTCCTCTCCCAGACAGATTTCAGTGCTTTGGGGTCTGAGCTGGAGGGGTTTTGGCACGGTTCATTTGTCCTCAGCAGATATCCCAGCTGAAAGGGTGCAAGTGTTCAGAGCACCCAACAGGAGGTGCAGTCAGGGCTTTACCAGCATTTTAGTGGTTTGAGTTGATTGCAAGTGTTCCATTGCTGGCTGAAAGTCTGAAATCATTAGGACAGTGTGAGGAAAAATGTTGAAACCTTTAATGGAATAAGTTTCCAGTCTTTCTGGTCTTTTTATTTCATAATGTCCCTTCAGAGTACTGCATTTTGGTAAGAACAGGTATAGGATTAATTGTGCTGTAAAGATTTTAGGGGATTTCTTATCATAGAATCAACCAGGTTGGAAAAGCCCTTTAAGCTCACCCAGTCCAACCGTTCCCAGCACTGCCAAGGCCACCACTAACCCACGGCACTGAGGCCTCGTCTCCACGCTGTGTGAACACTTGCAGGGACGGTGACTGCAGCCCTGCCCTGGGCAGCCTGGTCCAATGCCTGAGCACCCTCTGGGGAAGGAATTGTTCCTCAGCTCCATCTAAACCTGCCCTGGTGCAGCTTGAGGCCGTTTCCTGTTGTCCTGTCCCTTGTTCCTTGGGAGCAGAGACCGACCCCACCTCACTACAACCTCCCGTCAGGCAGTTGTAGGGAGCGATCAGGTCTTATTATAATGTTTAATGATATTTTTCTTAGGAGCTCAGTAAGCACTGAGGC